TAGACTAGTGCGACCATGGGCAAATGCAGGTATCAAGTGAATGCCTCGAATAATCTGCTGTGGATCAAGAAAGCCAAATGCTCCTGGTACATCAGCAAATGAACCCAAGCCTATGAAGACACTTTGCCTTCCATCCAGACCATAATTATTAGGATCATGACCAAACCACCGAACCCACAAGAAATCCATCTGCCGGGGTTCGAATGAGGGTGCATCCCCACCTCTATGGATGATGTTTGCGTGAAACACGCCCAGGATACGTGCATACCAGTATGGATGTGTGTCGTCATCTTCATGTCCGAGAACCATGACATCTGCATGCGTGGGGATTAAGAGAATCTTGAGAGCGACGCAGATCATATGTCGTGTAATTGACATGACCTTGTGCTGGAATATGCGGTCATTGACGAACAGGACTTGGGCACGCGGCTGAAGAGAACTCTGTCTCGTCACCATCGTATTCACGACCAAGTATGCAGAAAGGAGGTGATCTTTCAGCCGAGGAAGGAAGTCCTTTAGGAATTATGATCATGAGCACTGCTAACTCAAAGAAACTGACAGCTTACATTTAACGCAGGATCGTTTGCATGTTTGATGAGCCATCGGGGGAGATTCAAGTGGTACCTCGTGCCATTGGAGATGTGGTAGTGTGACATTGGGTCTGGAGTAAGCCAAAGGCTCCGATGCTTCAAGGGTCCTGTGAAAGGGTGCTGCATCTTCACCTGCCGTCGTCTGTGATGACCAGGTCTATGGACTGTTGTAGACTTGCCATTTCTCCTGATTCATGGAATTGTTGTGCCTCTGCCCGCAGCCATTTTCGCTGAACGATTTCGTTCACGACGTTCCTGTTTCGCAATTCCAGATGTGAACTTTGCTTTGCTGACTCGTGGATAGAATCGTTTGAAATGACGATGTTCAAGCTCGCCCTGGAATATATTGATTCAGTGGCAAAACTAAACCAAAATCGCTTCTAGAGCACACCGGTTGAGTTGTAAGTTGTCCGTTGTTCCAAACTGACGAATAGCATCTACATAGTCACCGAGGGCATGGAGCTTGTATGTCTCAAAGTTGAAGCGTCGGATCTTCGGCCCATCTGTACCTCGCCTTGAAGTCGGTGCTGCAGACTGTGAAGGCCCTTGTTTTGCTGCCTGTCGAGCCTTTCGGCGTCCATGAGCAGCCTCCTCGCTTGGTAGATCTTGTGTCTCGAACTCTTCCTCAGTCTCCTTGACAAAGTGCCTGAGAAACCTTCCAAGATGTGTCGTGGATGTGTCGAGAAAGCCAAGTGTCGTGTCAGTATGCATTCGCAGTTTCGCAAGGCCTTGCCATGTTGCAAGTTTGAATAGCAGATCTAGCAAAGGTTCATTCCACCGAGATGGAAGCAGCAACTCAAAAACGGGTATAGCACACTGTTTTGTCAATGTTAGCTCCAAGCGGTAACTCCACATTGCACGATGGTTACCTGCAGCAAGTCTTCAAAGTTCCTCGCTGCAAGACACTTCATACCTGAGGCATTGTTACTGAATCGACGTATTGTACCCCATCCGAACGTTGATACTTGTCGATACCTGTAAATTCAGTCTTAATATGAGGATGGTGTAAGATAGAAAATAAGCAAACCGTTCATTTAAATCCTGAATTGTATTGTTCCCGTATGAGTACAAAATCCGAAGAAGATGAGTGAAGATGGCCTTCCAGACTCCGAGCTCGAACTCATGGAGTAGGTCAGGTACGAAAAGTGAATATAAATTGAATCCAAATTGAGCAAGTCGAGTCGAAAATGCACTCTATTAATCTGTTACTGGTGATCATAATGCAATTGTGTGAGAATGACAAACCGCAGTAGCAATAAGAGATTCTGGGCCAAGTAGACGCTTGACAAAAATACTAGTAAAGTTGGTACCCTTCACGTACAGCCAGTTACGAACCCTCTTGATTGTTGATCGTAGGCCATGACTATCTTGGCGTGCATCTCGATCGCGATGGCGCCTATCAGCGCGAGTGCCAAGAGCTCCGATCTTGTCCTTTGGAACTAAACATCGAGGGCAAGGACATTTCGCCAGAAACTTGATACAGGCCAGAAGTGTTCTGCAGAGTGTGTGAAGTCAATATGAAATTTGAGCTGGTGAAGATTCTGTGACTCACTTTTCGGGGTAGTCTGCAGAATAAGTAAAAAACCGGGGAAAGACTCGCCGACAGATACCATTGAGAAATTCAATGACAATTCCAAACTCGTATGCATGCATGAAGTCATCGTCCATGAGGAGTAGCCAGATGGCTTGCATAACCTCATGTCGGCAGTGCGTCAGTACCTCAGCAGTTGCAGGTTTGTCAAATGCTTGCTGATAAAAATCCTGAATCGTATCTGTAAGCTATTAAAAGGTTATCAGTGGGAAATGCACGGCATCTCACAATAAACTCACTTTAGGAATATAGGCAAGATGGTGCGCAGCAAAGCACGATGGCTTGCCCCAAACATATTTTGACTGATTCCCAAAATACATATATATGGGCCACAACGATGCAGTGCCAAAACTAGCGAGGTGTGTTGAATCCGACCATAGCATAATCGAGGTGACTACCGTCTCGAGGGTACAGCCATCAACTTTAGGTGTAGATGCAATCTTGCGATGCTCGTTGATCATGGCTGGGGACATGTACAGTTCTGAGTATACACGCTCCACAGGTTCATTGGGCGATGCTTGGAAGGAGGTTTCAAATGGCGTGAGATGAAACTGTTCAGCTGAAGCTTCACGAAGAGCCGTTTTGATGACTTCTAATGGGTGGCAATAGAAGAGTCCAGGTACAGCAAATTCGGGGGCAGATTCCTCTGAAGGGTGCTTGACACCATCAGCAGGTAAACGGATCTTCACTGAGGTCTCTATCCATCCGTCAGCTGTTGAAAACGATGAGCGGATGTCCTTTGGATCACCCTGGTAATTATCCAGGCGTTCCAGCTCCTTCGAAGCACGAAACCCTTGCAGGTCCACCTTATCAAAATCCTCTGCAAGGATCACCTCATTGACGAGGCGATCAAGTTCAGCAAGGGATTTCATAGTCGACCCTCCATAAAACCAACACATTAAGCGATATGTGGTTGCATTCAGAAACGGTACAAAGAAGTTCTCCTTCTGTGTTTTCATCGATGCACCAAAACCGGACCAGCAAGGCCTCGAACCAGCTGCATGCTGCTGCACACTTGCAAAGTGCGCTGAGTCAGAAAGATTGGCTAGGGAGGTTATTTCATCAGGGTTATATGATGGGAGCGAGCCTGGATATGTTCAAAAAAGTCCATAGTGGTCAGGTTGCGTGGTGTATGACTGCGGCGGTGTCGGAGAATGCGATTGAACACCAGTGGGTGATGATTCTGGGGGAGAAGCGGTAGGCACCTGTGGTGGTTGGGGAAGGACAGGTAATGGAGGGAGGATGTCCCAGTAACGTTTGGGCAGTTGACGAGCATGGTTTGGTAATCCAGATGGGCGAACTATGGGTGGTGGGGTTGGCTCCTGGAAATCCTAATATCAGGCATTAAATTCTAGGCCCCAAGAGTTACTGAAAAACATACGGGTATCTCATTGTCGTCTGGTGCTTCTGCACTCTGTTGCTGGATTGCCTCCCGCTCCCTGATTGCAGCATCTTCATCTTCTAGCCTTCGCACCTTGGCAGCAAGCTGATTGTCCCGGTCCTGACGCCGCTTTTCAATTAAAGATGTTATTGACCCTGCCTCCTTCCGTGCACACTTGCCACGTTTGTGATTCGAAAGGCCCCGTGCACTGTCAAAGGTAGCTCTGCAAACAGAACATGGGTAGCTGACCATAATGGACATACAATCAAGGGGCTTGTCAATAGCAGTCTGATACTTATATCATGGGTGAGCACTTGATAGGGACACGGTCCGACCATCTGTCACGTTCCAAACTGCAATTGACTGATATTATTAACTTGCAGACACGCTGCAGGCGAGATCATTGGAACTTACAGACATGCTGCAGACAAGATCACTCGATTGGATTCAATAAATCTTATATTACAAGCATGTCCATAGCCATATTCAAACAAGGATCAAAAGCAGGTCCAATCGCAAGTGCGATATCGCCAAAGCATGATAGTATTGGTATCTTGACATTGCGGTTAAGAACGTTGCTCTGCAGGTTCTCGAGTAAAACATTCATGAACGCGCCTGTTATCTTCGTGTGCTTTGAGGGCGGGATACAGGAATGGCAGGAAGGCGTTGAAGAGACTGATCAAACGCAAGGGGTGAAGGTACGAGGGCGGGTGAACGTGTGAGGGCAGTTAAAGATGTGAGGGCGGGTGAATATGCGAGGGCGGGTGAGAATGTGAGGGTGGGTGAGAATGTCTGATGTCGTGCAGAGTTCGTCATGACCGGCACATACGCTCCCCCATATGCGGGAGGCGAAACGCTGTGGGACGACATGTAAAGAGAATGCAACGATGACGCCGGCTGTGAGAACGAGTATGGGGCTAAGCTGCTTGACATCGTATGCAACGAGGAGAGCATATCAGGAGAGCGTGTGGGTGATGCAGTGAGCGCATTGTAACTATGGTAGGGTTAGGGACACGCACCTTCAGGACGCCTAGTTAGGGATTTGCACCTGCAAGGTGCTGGCACCCCATGAGGGCACCTAAGACAAGAATAAATGAATAAATATGTATATATGCCAGATCATAGGTGCTGGTGCGCCGACCTCCAGCACAGCCAGCACCTCCCAGGCGCATAAGTGAAAATTAACCTATAATAAAAGATAGAATTGTTAGTCGGATATGAACGGAACATGCTCTCAGTGCTATAGGTGAAGATGCGAGAGTGGGTGAACGTGTGATCATGTGACTTTCAAAGCCAGCCGGCAAATGCCAGTAATGGATATTGACACTACAGTTGCGCTATAGCCTTTCATTTCTACGCTCATTATCACACCTCCACCACAACTTTTCAATTACTACAATGTCTTCCTCGGCCGTTCTATCAAACGTCAAGATGCTCCAGGATGTTATATTCATTGAGATCGATGGCGTAGAGTCAGCATGGGACACTTATTGTTTCGCCCTAGACATTGAATCTCCGAGACCAAAGGTACGTTAGTCTGAATTCTGTTCACTGATGCTTGTGCTAATCTTATTTGTAGTGAGTGGTTTTTCGGATCAAAGACCCGGCTGCAAGCAGCTCTGCAATATCGGAGGAACGTATGAGTGTCAAGGAGGAAGTCATTGGTGTCAAGATTGAAGACCAGGACGTCGGCCTCAGTGAGCCAAGGTACGAGTATCATTTGTTTATACACTTAATCTCATAGATTTCTAGCACTCAGTGTGCCACATCCCCATGCCACCTACTTACCAGGCGCGCAGATAACCCACGAGACCCAAAGGATACTAGCGAGGTATGGGGCTATTGGGTTCGACCATTCCCAAGCTCACGGATCCCCGAGGTACAAGCAACCTTGGAGAGGATCAGGAATGGTCCACAGTGTTAAGTGCCGTCGCGTATAATTGCAGTTTTTTTTTATTCTTATTTGTTGTCGCGCACTTGTACTCACTGTTATATCACTTCCCATGGACACTGCCTCTCGTAGCACTTATAGCCGTACTGTTTTTTGTTGTCATACACTTGCGCTCGTGTCACTGTATTGCTTGCACTCATTGTAATTGTAACATTAGACTTCGTTGAACGTTGAATGGCGCATATAGTCACTCGCACTAAACTTTGACGTGTTGGTAAGTCAACAGAACCAAACAAACAATGCGTCAACAAGATTCCTGAATCATATTTACCCCTTACCCGGAACCACATCATGCCCGAGAGCACAGACCAAAACAATCGATCCGAGGACTCTTTTGAGGCTCTTCTCTGGAGCTTAGATGATACTTCATCAACCGGACGCAAGCAGAAGAAAGTGTAAGTCACCCATATGCGAAATTGAAAGACTGTGACTTATATTGACTATCATTACAGGAACCCACTCGATCCTTACCTAACTGCCGCTCAATTCTTCCGTCTAAACTACGACCTTTTTGCTAATGTTTTCATTATTCTGCGAGATGGAATACTTGCTGAATTCGAGCCCGAGGATGCTGATCATGACCAAGAGCAGGACGAAGAGTTCATTTTCATTCCAACTAGCCATTATTAGCTAATGGTTCATCTGTCGCAGAACACGAGCCAACATTCATCTGTTTATGACATTCGCAAAATCGATTCCGAACTTCAGTGGCCTCATCGCAAAACTCGAACGAGAACCAGAGTCACTAACTAGTTTCCTCAAATCGGTAAGCGCATATATGCACTTTTTAGCATACATTTTGCATACTGACATTTTGTAGATGGAAAGTGCAGTAAATGCAGCTCGTTGCGACGATACAGGATCTCTCAAGCATGCCGGACTTCAGTACATGCTCGACGACCCAGCCAAGGATCGTTTTGACCCCCCGATACTCAAATCTCACAGTAAGGCCTTGCGAGGGTGGAACCACCCACAGATGGCACGACTCTTATGCCCTGCACGGGATATTACTGAATTTGACATGGACCCGCAGTACATACTTGTACTTGATTGAAACTGACACTAACATGCTTCAGAGCTTATATGGACAAGGTCAACGCAGGGGAGAAGAAGATCAGCGCAAAGCAATGGCCATCGATGTTCTACGACATGAGCTTGTATGACTCGAAGAACAAGAAGAAGGGATTCCTCCGAAGTCGTGTTGTGATACAGGTAACGTTTTTGACATAGCAGAACCGCACTTTGACCTCACTTGTTCTAGGCATGGCGCCATATCTTCACAGGTCCGATGTCGGCTCTATCCAAAGACAACATCGGTCGCTTGTCGAAGCCTGGGAAGGGGAAAATGCATCACCTTGCCGAACCAGGGATCAGAAACATAATGTATGCGGCGTGTCAGGTATGTGATTGTATTTCAATATCTACTACATCTGAATATTGTACATCAGATGTATTTCACAGCCAGCAATGCAGAGTCATGGACGCCTGTCATTGGGGCCATGGACTTTGGTGACCTGTACTATAGAGCCATCGACATCGTCCATGATAATGCCGAGCAGCAGTGGGTCAAAGATCTAATGAAATTCTGGAAGGAGTAAGTGCACCATCCATTTGTTATTACCTGAGATGACAATGGGCAAAGTGAAACTCCTGGCCTGGCTGACAACCATCCCTCCAAGCACCGCAGAGTTGCTGCAACCAGCAACTGTGATACTGATGACGACATGGACAATTTTTTTGGAGATGATACAGCAGCTGCTGACCAGAAAGATGAGGAAAACGAAACACGTAGACTCGCCAACAATGATGAATCTCTCACTCAGGCAGCGGCAGGCAGTAACTTTTTTTTTCCCCTCTTGTTTTCATTATTTTGCATTGATGTAATCTACTAGGTTCATGCACTCTAAATCAGAGCAACACCGGCAATCCTCAGAACAATGCCCCTCCTACACCTCCTCACAGCTCCCCTGGACCGGCACCTCCTCACAGTTCCCCTGGACCGGCACCTCCTCGCAGCTCCCCTGGACCGGCACCTCCTCGCAGCTCCCCGGCTCCTGTTCAACGCGAACCTTCTCCTTTGAGCAAACCTCCGGCATCTCCTCCACCTGCTGGACGCAAAATGAAATGAGCAGCGCCAGTGCCTCCAGCTGATGCCCGCGGTCGTGGCAAGGCGAAATCACGACGCTAGTCCTGAGCTCTCCCTTAGTCGTTTCTATGTGTTTTTACCATGTGTTACTTGCTTCGATGTCCTGTACTAGTACTTGAACAATTATTATGTCATTTCAGTTACATCCAAGTGTGATCTAAGACCGGTAGCTACAATGACATGACTATATAATACTGGCCCAGACCTCAGCAAGTCCACACAAGCTGCCTAATGAATATAAGCTGCCCAATGCATACATGGGTCACCAGGCACCACATGGCGGTACACGGACCACATGACTGACTCAGACTGGCATGAATCTCATAGAGTATGTGTGCATAGCAGCGTCACACAACACTTGTGCCGCCTTGCGACAACTTGGGGAGCTTGTGGACCCTTATACGGGCAGGTGAAGTTAGGTATGGTAGGTGCCCTTTTGTTGATGACAACTAAACAACCGACGAACTAAGCTGGAGGGATGTACGCGCTCGTTTGGAGGCCTGGGGGAGAGACCCAGTGGACTCAAGGGCAGGATGTTTAGGACGAGATCCTGATGCTACAGGTACATTCTCCTTGTCCTGCTCAGACAAATCTCCATACGAGGGCTGCCAGCGATCCTTCGGGATGCGCGAAGCGCCCTGCTCAAGATCCGTAAGTTTCATCACCCTCCAAACACTTACTGGCAATGGGACCCCCGCCTCTCTATGTCCAGGTATGGCGAATTCCTCGTGCTGGCCCAGGATATGCACCGTCATGTTGTAGTGCCATATGGCTTCAACAGGGAGCATGGGAACCTTTCAGGTGCTCTTTCCGGGCTGGGGAGGGAGTACAGGGTGACAAAGTTCGCATTTGAGGGGTAGGTTGCGACAGGGCTTGTTCTTCGATCCCGAATCAACGGACCCATACCTGAATGAGTGCTGGTATATACATCTTGTTTCCCAGGTGGGCGCCCCACTGCTTGGTACTGCGATTCTGATGGTGCACTCAGGCACTCCAGAATGACCGCAGAAGCCACATGGGCATGTAAGATCAACCTGGTTACAATGAGTTAGTAAAGTAAGATAATAGATTTAGAAAAAAACTCACGTCTTGCTTCAAAGGCGGCTCCTCAGGAGTGTTGGTCATTGCACGTAATATATGGCGGCCTATGTGATCCCGCATGTCGAGGACCTTGGCGTCGCAAAGCGGACACATTGTGATGCGCTCGCCTTCGGATGCTGTGAGTTGGCTGCTGGCCTCAACAGAAATGACTGCCGGAGTGCCTGACAATATAAAATTATGATTAGAAAACAAAGCGCGAACCACAAACACAAAACATACCGTCTGCTAGTCAGTAAGGGAACATATTTGGATCTGATGAAACGACAGCCACGATAGACTTCAGGTTGACCTTCAATTCGTTGGCTTTGGCCCAGAGGAGTTCGCAAGCTGCTTGCATTGCATCCCGAGAGATCTTCCAAGTACTTTGGCCACTGTTCACTTGAGTGAACTTGTCAGTATTGATGTCGTCCCTCAAGTGAATGAAAATAGCCTTGGGGTTGACTGGTTCGACGAGGGAACCAGGAACAGTGACCATAACGACACATTCTGTATACTCTGATGTTCCTTGAAGTTGCCACAAGACTGAGTAGTTGACCGGTTATCTTAGCCATAGTTCGCAATGCCTTCATCATTGTCACGTTGATTGATGCGCGGGAAATATTATTGAGGCTGGCAGTGGTAGAACGAAGCACGCCAATCAAAAGAGTGTGACCAGAACGAAGGACAGTGAGAAAAATGTCCCCGACGAGAAAGAGATTGCGATCAGTGATACGACCCACAGATACGTTGACACGTTTGTTAACTTTAGTATAACCTCCACGGATGTGCTCAAGTCGATTAAGGGACTTGGAAATAAAATCCTTGTTGATCACGAGACGACATATCATCTGCTTGTGGATCCACCGTCCTTTGTATAGGAGGTAATCTTTGGGGCATATTCCAGGCCCTTGTGGCAAAGCAGGGGTCGAAGGGTCATGAGAGATGTGCTGAGAAGATAAGGAGGGAGCAGGGACATCAGTGAAGGATTTGTCGATCAACGACTCTTGGAAAGTGAGCATCATTTCTTCATCGTCATCACCTCCAGCCAAGACCCCAAGGCCAGCAACTGCATGGTCAGCATGGTCGTGATCCTCGTCTACTAAAACTGTCTCTAGACACTGAGAGGGAGGGGCGATCACAACGGGAGGAGGAATATTAGGAACTTCACTGGTATCCTCAAGGTCATTGTCTATGGTTATTACAAGGTACCTGTTCTGTCCAAATGGACGAAGCATATCGACACCAGGTACACTGAAAAGCTCCCTGAACGAATAATGAGTTGGCTGGAGCTGGGACATGGTGAGGATGGAAAGGGCTGCGTCATGACCATTGCACCATGCCAACGGCAGATCACACCGACCAGAGATAATATCGCCCTTCCAGACCTCATGATTGATATGATCAACGCCTTCCTGGCGCGTTAGTTTGAGGCGCCGGTGGCCTGGATCAAGTTCTGGGTGACACCTGAAGACAGCGTCAATATCCTTCGCAGCTCCTAAACAATCGAGAGCCTGAGCATACAAAGACGCAGAGTTATGGCCCCCAATCATGTGTGTGCGGCCAAAAAGAATCTTGAGGGGATCATCCCCAACATCCCCAAGGAAAAAAGGAGCATGTGGGTCCAGTGCTTGTTGCTTAGCGAGGCAGAATGCAGAATTCTTTACCATCATCTGTAGGTCGTAATACAATTGATAGGACATGAATGACCGTCAATGCGCGTGGAAGAAGGCGAAAGCAAGATGAGAGTACCGACTGAGCAGCATGAATTGTTCGGACAGGGAGAGAGAAAGATTGGTAAAAGGCAGGAGGATGGACTCTAGAAGAGCACTAAGAAGAGCAATTGATTGGAGATCTGCGCGAGTGTCGATATCGGTCGAAAACGAGTCGTTGACAATGGCATGCTGAGATTTGGAGAACTTGATAATGGCAAACATGAGCTCGACTCCACGAGGGACATCTTGAGGATCGTCTGGGTAGAGAAGTTTGGTGACAGCTGCTTTGTCAAAGGCAGGTAGCCACACGAGATACCGTGCAAGCATCATCGAGTTAATGATGCGACCGTTATTGAGTACGACACCCGCGGAGATCGAAGGAGAGTGCATATACCTGCATTTAAGCTGATTATAAAACGTTAAATGTAAGCAAAAGAAGTGACTTACGCTTGAATATGTGTTTGAAGTCGAAATCAAGTGTCACCTCATTATTGCCTGTGAACAGATTCAATCCCGGCATGTTGATGAGTGTACCGTACAAATCCGAGCTCTCAGAGAGCGGACTCTTGACAAACAGCCTATGGCCAGCAGCACGGCGAGTAGCATCGCCATCAGTGGCAACTGACCAGACTGGTCCGACCTGCGCCGCCGCCCCAGTGGCATTCCATCGATCAATTGCTTCAGTGAGGATCTGCTCCATGTCATTGGCGTTCTCGCTCTTGCAAGTGGGAGCAGCTAAGATGGGGAATATCTCGTCCCGGCCAAAACACGAGGCCCCCATAACAGTTAGTTCCTTGCCCAGATGGACATGACCATCATGGATCCTCTGTGCAATGTTGACTGCAGATTCGTAAGTGCGGAGAACAGGATCGACTAGGTGTGAGTGTTTCCAACATAGACCGCCGACCTTGTTGTACTTGCTGAAATGGACGGCCATCTCCTCAAGTGCAATCTCGTCAATCATAAGACTGACACCACACAAGACAGATTCCGTGCGGCTACTAAGAACAACGGCATGAATGTTGTTGTCGAAATGCTCGTTACGAATGGTCCCAATTGTGGGAGTGATAACGGTGAAGACAGCTCGAGTGCGGAGTGTGCGAAGGGAAGGGATAGCAAGTTTCTGGTTTAGCGCGAAGAGAAGTTGACGACCACCAAGCCTGTAGACAAGGGTGGCAATATCCAGGTCAGTCGCATCATATCCCCGAGGATGGTAAGCACCCTCAAGGGCATCCTCTAATTTATTGACTATCTGATGGATGCTGGCACCATTGCGTAAAGCAACGTTGATGATCTGTTGAAGGCGAGGAATGTCTCGTTCAGATACAGCCATGAGGAGTCAATTGTAGTCGTCGAGCTGCGTGAGCGCACTCATATACTTGTGCGAATCATTCAGCTGCTAATCAGAGTTAGTATGTACACAAAAAAAAACATAAAGCAGACGTACCTGCAGCTTCAACTGCTTGATTTGTTCTGCGTAAGTCCTTGCAACGTCCTGCACATGTGCAAGACCTAAAAACTTGTAGTTAGTATGCGCTTTTGGAGTGCGCGCAATGTCTGCCAGACATTCGATGTGAAGAGGGATCTCAGTGCATTCATCACAGGGAGTACCATATGACAAGCAGCGCTTAGACTGGAGGCGAAGAGTGCTGGGATTTCGAGTGTCTATGAAGAAGGGTAGGGCGTCCAGGCCATTGTGATAGCGCTCCCAAGGAAAGAGCATAATGAAAGGGCAGAGGTCCTCTGGCCAGACGACAGGAACTCCAGTGCAAACACTATTAAAAACGGGTGCAGGTGAGAGAGCACGACGAGGTCTGCAGGCATAGTATGATGTAAATACGTCTAATGAATTAGAGCCGAAATGAAACATACCTGTGTTCAAACGTAAGGCTCAGGGAACGAGACAAAGGCGCATCAGACACGGTCCGAACAAACATAGGTTTTGCTTTATCAGTCGATGCCTTGATGCACTTACGGCTGCCTCAATGGTTGCTCAATGAGCTAAATTGCCCAACATGCCAGAGAGGTAGTTGGGATGATACACTTGTCTGGACCCATTCTTTGCAGTCAGGACATAGCATCCTCCATCGTTGTTGGGTACTGATGGTTACCGCTAGCACCTTAGCCATGTATACGTTGTAAAGCAAGTCCGGCGTGTTTAGTAATAGTTGTTCCTCGATATCAATCTCCGAATCAGGGACCGAAGATGAACGTTGTGAGTCTGAATCTGATCAGCCCCAGTATGAGCTGGGACCTCGAGAAGGAGGTGATAAGTTGGGGAAGTCTTCTGGGTATGCTGTATGTGTGGTATCATCCGATAATTGTACATTGAAGTCTATGTCTGGGCTATTAGAGTGTCCAGAAGCCAGTGAATCTGTGTTGGGATCTGATCCGACGAAGTCCATCGCTTGATACAATGTGGCTATATGCGCCTCATTTCTGATAGGAGCCGAGGTTTCGTAACTTGCTGGGAAATCAGACTGAGTGTGTGCGTGAAATTGTGTGATAGAATACATAATGAACGAGAGTATGCAAAATGAACGAGTCTTGATGATGTGGGAGGCAACAGAGAGATGAGGCGCGTCAATACATATGAGCGCATCATATCTATATTCACGTGTCTCATGTTATATTGGTCACATGTTCTTAATTTTTACAACCAGACAAGTTGATTTGGCTAGTAGCATCATTGCATGCTCTTTTCTCGTTGTTCCAACTATCTAGATGTGTTCTTAAGTACTACTTAAGGGGGCCTTCCAGCGTTCAGTTAATCTTTTCACTAAGATCTTACGCCGCTGTTGAGGAACTCAGAATGCTGCTCTCGAAACTTCAAGTGGCTATACATTAAGGTTTTGTAGATTATGTAACGACGAGCCCCATGTTGGGCATTAAGGTTTTGTTCACCTCTTGCCTGCAACATTGTCCTAGGGGCCAACCCATTGCCCTGAGATTTCCTGCTCTGTAAAAAAGGTCCCACTCGTGCACTTCTCTCTGACCATATGTGATGCCAATTTTCCTCAATTGACTAGTATGTACGGTCGGCTTTTGAACTTCCCGTTGTTCGTCCCTCAATGCTTGATCATTTTCTAATGATCACTACATGCTGTTGAGTATTGTCGCTATTGTATTCTACACTGCTTACTCGTAGGCTCTTTGTTCTGTTCTTCTGTGTGCATTGGCTTATCCTTTCCCGCAGTGTGCGATATTCGTGTGTAAAGTCCCATGCCCATCGTATGCACGCCAGACAAGTATTGTTGTCCACCGCATGCGGTTAGTACCCATTCTACCTCAAATTACCCGACTTATTATGGTGCACTTTATTACCCTGAATGCCATCTGTTGTGCTTCAAATCCTCTGAAAACTCATGTTCTCGGCTTTCGTGATCTTTGGTTGAGCACCACGGCCGTTGTTGTTCGTACACTAAACCGTTTGCAGGTTGTGTGTGGTTGATGGAGAGTCGATTGTGGTAACTCACAACGAGGTGTCCATGTCACCATCTCTTGTCTTTCAAGCATCCAATTATACACGCTGTGCTGTGCTGCATCGATTGGTTCCTGACCGATGTTCTGATGTGGTGACATCTGTTATTGCATTCATGGATCATTTCCCTGCTTGTTTCCGCCACAGCCCTGCCGTAATTGCAGAACATTTGAGCGATTTGATGTACCCCCTTCTGATCCTCTGCACTGCCTCTCCGGTAGTAGTGTTCGCTGCACGAGAGACGCTAATGTTGGCGATCTTGCAGCATTTTCTCGACCTTCGTGAGGTCTTGATGCCTTGGTCCACCGCCTGTGTGGCCTTTCTATCGACTTTTCATCTGAGGCTATCAAACATTTACCAGTACAAAGGTCGTCCCATTCTCGTACCAAGGTCGGTAATGGATTGGTGTTTTACATTCGGAAACACCTTTTATTTTTGCAGTCAGCCGGCTCACAGATCATCAGCATGTTTGCTGCGGACAGAACCCTACCCCACTTATCGTGGGAGTTGGGAATACATTTGTTAGCGGAGTAGGTTCTGCCATGGCACATTCATGGGTCCGAGGTCGGCACCTCACTGGCTGTTCAGCGTGAATTAGACGGTCCGAACTTTAGACTTGTAATTAGTCTTACTACATTTCCGACATGTTGGGTGCTTGACGTAGTAGCTTACTATAAATTACCAAATATAAATAGGAGAAAAATGAGAATGCTCAACAGATGCTAACATCCCTTGCAATTGGTGGCCATGATGCTATATAGCTACAATGTTGCCACATTATAATAATAGTCACAAACTCCTCATGGGATCCAGAGTCTATAGTGGGACTCAGAGTAGATTTTTTAAACTCGCTAAAACATAACTAAGACTCGGTAAACTTTGAAAAAACTTGGCCATAGACGGCCGGCACATATCGGAGTTCAAAACAATACTTGTGCATTTCTGAGAGATAATGGAAGATATTGGGGGTAGCGCGCATGATAGAGAATGTAGATATACGTAGATATGTCAAAGTAATTAGTCCGTCAGCCTCCAAACAATGAATGAGCACCGGGACCCATCCCACAATTGCACGAGTGAACAAGTGTCACGAGGAGAGGGGAAGGGAGCAGAGCCAAACACCTCACGACTGTGGTATGTTGGCGTCTGGGGCTTCCGCGGGAGAAGAAAGGTGTTTTTTTCCACGGGAGGGGGAGAAGGGGAAGCCACGTACGGCCGCTTCTGTCCCACCAACCTGGGGGGACTGTGAAGGCTGATGACACGATGATGGGAGGAGTCAAGCTCCATCCCATTGTCATCATCCATGTCAACGTCCCCCCGTCCAACATACCCAGCATGTTGCCAAGGGGGGCAAAAAAAGGACCGTTGTCATTGGCATGGGGGTCGTCGTCGAGGTCACCATCTGGATCGTCGATTGGACTGCCCCCAGTGCCGGAAAAATGAGGAGGGGGGTGCTGTGAAGGGGGGGGATGCAGAGTACTTGGGGGGCGTGCTGAGCGCCCATGGGACCAGGCCGAATACTTGGAGGAGCACACTGAGCGCTAGTGTCAGGTGGGCTCCAGAGAGGGAGCTGAGGGTCTGGGGGAAGCAGCTGGGGGTCTGGGGGAGGGGGCTGAGAGTTTTGAGGATGGAGCTGAGGGAGCTGAGGACCAGGTGGGTTTGTAGAGGGACCAGCCCCCCCACATGGACGAATGAGCGAGTAGTAATCTGCGGCGTGGTCGACTCCCGGCTGGGAGGTGAAAATCTTTGCGCTGATTGTTGGATTGGAGAAGAGGAATGGGTGGAGCTGGTCGTACCAAGGGAACTCCAGTAATACTTGTTCTTTAAATCAAATAAATCAAACAAATATAAAAACAATGACAAAAAACTCACTGTGAAGATTGGCGGCCGCGTGTTCGTCAAGCGGGGTGACGCCAGCGCCGGTCTTGTTGAACTTATCGTGGTGATCCCTAAACAACTTCCTAAGACTTTAAATATTTAAATTACTGTATAGCTACGCACTTAAGTTCGACCTGATATGGGTGTGACCAAATGAACATTAGGTTCGAAAGTTCGAAGGGGTGTGTGACGTGTGACATGCTGCGCATAGGTTCGTTGTGTGAGACGACCGACTGGGCTGGGAGTCTCATTAGGCAGACGTATTCCTTTCTTTGTACGAGCGTAGAGATGCCCGCGCTCAACCTGGAGACTCCATCGCTAGCGCTCACCCCTCGGAGCTTCGTTTGTAGTGCTGCCGCGGTCCGGTCCAGAACCATGGTTCGAACTGGACTTTTGGTCCAGTTCTCCGCGGTTCGGTCCATGGTTCTTGCGCCAGCTAGAACCGGACCGGAAACCGGTTCTCGGTTCTAGGTCTTCCCAAACAGTCCAGTTCTGGTTCGGCCTTCCCGAACCATTCCGAACCCTTATCGACTTTGACTTCGACAACATCTGCCTCGACATCAGACTGTCATATTCGGGATTCACGTTGTTGATTAATCAAGCTACATTTAGCCTTTTCGAAGGTAAGCACTAACTAATTAAACTCTCAAGTCTCTCACCAACTCCCCTCTATAACAGGAGGTTCTGTTCATTGAGGACCGGCTACAACACTGCGCAAGACTATCTTTTACTGGAGGTGGATATATTAGGCGCGATCAAGGTGGATTTTGGAGGGATTGTGTCTTGCACTATGCTGCAGAGGTGCATATTATGATTTGTACTCTGAATGCTGATGGCTCCCTCGAGGGCCAGCACTCATCGCTACCAGCGCACAACCCATCACACACCACGCTACCTGCGCCTATGTTGATGCCTGCCACCTCACCGCATCCCCTCTCACTCGCTTGCTGTTCTTGCTGGCTGGCTTTTGCTGGCTGGCTCGCTGTGTCTCACTCACCCACTGTCTCTCGCTCACTGTCTCACATGCCCGCTGGCTGCTCTCGCCCACTGTCTCTCACCCTCTGTCTCTCGCCCGCTGTCTCTCACCCCGCTTTCAAACCAATATTCCACGACAACTCGACAAGAGAACAGAGGGGATCCATAGGAACGGCAAAGACACGCACGCTAATCTACTGCCCACCCCCCTTCTCCTCCAGAAGACATGCCATCGAGCTGTGATATGCCTCGCCACTCTACCCCAACGCCACCCTCTCCACCCACATCTCAAACACGTCATCAAGCACCAAAACATATCCCGGCACCATTCATCACTCGACAACCTTCCAAATATACCCCGACGATGTCGAAACGATAGATCCGCTGCAAAACTCGGTCAAAAAGCAACCAATAGTCTACGGATTGCTCAAGTCACGGTGGAGGGGTAGGAGCCGCAGCCGTACTAACCCGCAAAGGCGTATACTAAAATACCATCTAGGATCCGACCGCAAGCACACTGCATACAAAGCCGAGGTCGTACATTGAGACTTGAATGAGCTTTCGCTAATATGCTCGAGTAAAAGTTGTGTCATTCACACAGCAGGGAAACTAACATTTTACCACCTTTTTCCGCCAGTGAAATCACATCCTAATGGCGGTTAACCGGCAGCTTACTTCAAATTGCTTGTCTGGATCAGACGCCGCAGGTTCACATTCCCCACGGTAAGCATTGGTTATTGTGTTTTATTTCATTCTCACCATTTGTATAGATCAAATCAGTTAGCTCTTGGATCAGCGGCTACAGAGGCAGAGAGGGGTATGTAGCCATGTCATTGGAGTAGCTACTCAATGTGTAAACTAGTATTTCAATGTTTTTTTTTTCATGCTCGCTGCTGAAAATTTTCAAGTTTGGTTCGAGTTCAGACCAGAAAAAAACCGAACCGGACCACAGAGAACCATTCTCTGTGGTCCGGTTCTCGGTTCTCGTCCAGGACCCTCTGAACCGGACCGAACCGGACCACGGCAGCACTATTTGTTTGCAAGTTCAATTCCGTTCGGCACGAATTATCAATCCCTGATGGCTACAGCGCTGATGGATTGGGTAATCTGCTGGCGGACAATGAGTCGGAGAGCTATGAACGAGCACCAGATGATACAGAGCCTGAATTTACAGCCATGACCACTGACGGTTCGAAGGAGGTTGATGTTGAGGGTCGCAGCAAGCGCAGACGCGTTGCAAATACTCAGTATAAGGACTTTTGGCAGCACTAGGACTTTTTTCGTGTTTTTACTGCATGTTTTCGTGTTTTTACCGCATGTCACAACTTAAGTTCGATGACCTCAATTTGAGTGTGACTGTCACACAAAATAGGTTCGGTTCGCTCGCCCTGTGATGGTGTGACAAACTTAAGTGCATAGCTATACAGTAGTGGCGACAAATCTGAATAAAGGAGGCCACTTACGCAGTGCAGCGGTTGCCCACTGATACATCGAATTTTTTCGGGTCCTCAGCGTATAATGCTGAATATTCGGAGTCCTTCTCGAAGATCAGCTTCGACAAGATTCGATAGATGTCCCCTTTGTCCCTGCCAGAGGGACACTCCTCAGTGCTAGAACTGGCGGTCTTTTTCCCCTCATAGAAAAGAGTGCGTGCATCGGAAGGATTAGTGGTAAGGTGGGTCACAAGAGTGTCTGTGTGGTGGAGATCTTGGGCCCTGGTCCAATGGACGATTATCTTCGGTCCGGCAGCCTTAGGAGGCTGATTACGAGCGGGATTGGACCCACGTCCTCGAGATTTCCCTCTTCCACGGGATGTGGATGGATTTGGGGGCAACTCCATCGCCTTTGGGCGAGTACGACTGTTTGCTTGAAGCCTTGCAGAACGGCGGACACGTTGGCGGACAGCAGGCATGGTTATTTAGACTCCGACTTCATGCCGGCCGACTCCTCGTTGTTGGCTGTGCTAGAGCGCTTAGCCGGTGTTTTACCGAGCGCTCTAGCGAGTTTAGAACTCTACTCTGATTCCCACTTATAGTTTGCAGACATTGATTCCTATGAATCAAACAACTCAAATTTCTCGCAGTATATCTCATACTAGGGTATATCTTAGCACAAATATACAGAACCAATCGAGCAGCTGATCAGCGATAGCAGATAAATAACGATGCTCGTCAAAGGCTACAATACGGATCATGACTTGAAGCAGCTAAAGTGCAAGATCAGGGCAGAAGGAGGTATTGTAGGTACGAATGGAACTAACCTAAGGGTCAACACGATCTGACATTGAAACTGGCACAACGCATGTGCCGGATAATGAAACAAGATGCGACGACCGGAAGGAAGTCAGACATGGTTCTCCCCAGTCGTGGGGAGAAGTAGGTATCTGGCCCTCGACGCTTTGTGTCCAACATCCAATCGTTTGGGTATTCGATGTCTACAGTTGATGTATTACCTTGATCAAATTGAAAAATGTGTGACTTAGTTGATAGCCGGTGCGTATCACAGACGGAGGATGTAGTAAAAAGAATACTGTAGCTAAACAATGAGCATGCAGAACTGTTGACAAATTATCAATTAATCACTTCACATTGGCATGGGGATAGTAAACGGGTGACGTTCCAGACATTCCTCAAACCCGGTCATTACGACAGAAAGTGTCTAGGTAAAACACTCTACGCCCTCATGCTACAGTTACAACGAACTTATTAGTTTTGGGCGACATGGTCATCGAGACCAAGAGCGTGTCATTCCAGCCGTTTCCGCTATATGAAGGCACCTGAGAAAGCACATAGCTTGTGGCGAAGGAGCCAGCCGCCCACCCAATGTAGCCGAGGATAACTACAGATAAGACATGTCGATTTGTGTCAGGGCACAGTAAGGAGTGAAACACGTACCATCAGATTGAGAAGCTTGGTAGCTGATCGCCTGCGATACGTAGCTAACGCAAGATTCTACGTTCCCACCACCAATCTCCGTATTGAGGGCCTTCCGACCGTTTGCACGGAGCCAGGTGGCCAGAGGGGTCCATGAGTCATCGATGCCGTTGGTCACGCACTCAGCGTTGGTGCCACTAAGTGATATTAGCGGAGACATAGATAAGGGAACGATTTTACTGACGAGCCATCGGAGTCGAGGTACCTGTGGACGTCCATAATGAGGTTGGTGAATGTGCCGTCAGGGTTCTTCACCTCGCCAAGGGCATCAGCAGAACCACTGGATACAAAATTCTTCGCAGAAGTATAGTCTGTCCCAGGGAGGAGAATCATCTGAGTGCTAGCACCAGCTTCCCTGAAAACAGAATATTAATTAAGATACTCCGCAGAAATAGTCGAACATGCTGACCGAATGGCTGTAACTGCACTCTAGTTCCCAAGAGTTCTCAGTATCATCTTGAACCTGCGAACAAGGAGCACATACCTGAACTGTAATCGTAAAAGCATATTGTCAGAGGTCAAAAAAAAGAACGTCCATCAAGAGATATCATACCGGACTCTGCCCAAGTGCTGATATTCTAGGTTTCGGCAATCTCAGCATGGTCTCTTGAAGATTTTTTCGAGAAACTCACCGGGATATCATGAGGTTCGTTCATGCTGATTGTCAATAAGTCAGTAGTCCATACTTGTAACGGCCATCACATACACCCCAAAGATGACTTTCGTCTCGTTCTTCCAGTACGAGGCAATATCGGACCAGAGCTCAGCGAAGACTTCGTTGCTTGGACCGCCTTGACCGATAACCTATTATCAGATTGAGCATTGTTGACGATAACATAAATACGGTCACTGACCTGCCCATTGTACCTGGCGTAATTGTGGATATCAATTATACAGTAAGCGCCAATGTTCAGACAGTCGGACACCAGCGTGTTATAGTTGGCAAACTGAGTCTCATCCAAGACACCAGTCATTTGGTCATTGGTGAGATACTGCCAACCAACAGGAAGACGGAACACATTGTAGCCGTCATTGAAAAAGTGTTGCATTTGGCCCACGCCATCAATACCTAACGGGTATGTTAGGGTTGTGGGGAAGCGCTCCAAAATAAACCATACCGGATAATTGTTGAATAGGGGGAATAGCACCTGAAGCACTGCAAGTGCCATCTGTGCTACAACCGAAATCTGGAACAGGAGTCTAGGCATGACAAGTAACGGTGGTAGTATTGCACTCACCAAAGCCTGCAATATTCACACCTGCGAACTGGAGCGGCGCAGATGTCTGGGCGTTAACAAGGACTGTTGTGATGCTGAGAACGGCAGCGACAAAGGAATGTAAAAGCTTGGTGTAGTGGGCGCTGATTCATGGCACTCGTAGATGACGTTTGGGGTGGTGGCTTAAGCTGTCCGTGCTCTCACTTACATGTACCCTGCATTGACTCGTAAAATGTTCAAATCAAATCATTCCACATTTCCGACTCACGTACAAAACAGAAAGACATGTACTCGCCAAACTTCTCCTTGCCACCGACTCGCTTCCTCCAGAATCTGGCTTCTACATTCTCCTCCCTCACTCCCTCCGTAGCTGTCGATGGTGAGGTGTGCTTCCCTAAAAGACAACAAGGATTGAAAGCACAAATAGTTCATATCTAAAGATTCTAAACGTGTCAGTCCATATAGGTATTATAGGAAAATAAGCCACAGACCTTTCTTTCGGGAAACACAATTTCCGCGTGCTGGCATTGATCGATTGATCTCTGGATCATGGAAACGGACGCTGCATGTTGGATCGAGTCCAAAGGTGACTGTCTCCTCATGGATTGGGAATATTGCTACCTTCCCACTTCATCAGCCACAGTATACCAAACTGCCCTATTTCGCTGCCGTCCATGTTAGGTTCGCAAATCGTTGGTGAGTAAGTTCAAACAAGTTCGATTGACGTCGTGTACTACAGGTCATGTGATCGCGTCATTCATGGCGTTTGCAAAACAATTCATGCAAGTAGCTCCATCGTCCGCGTCAACCACAACATTTGAGTATCATTACAAAAGTATGAGGTATATCTCGAGCACCATAATCAAGAACTACAAGTGGGGCACTAAACTAGTCCACAACACCGCCTTGTATGCGTCAGGATGAAGATCGCGTAAAGTGGTGAACATAAGTACCAAGAGGACGGCACGAGCTATGATGTACAACATCGCAAATGCAGAACAAATCACAACCCAGATGACGTGCTTTGCTGAATTTGGTAAGCGCTGCACTGAATTGATTATTTCCCGGACCAAGTAGGCATTCAAACCAAGCCACGGCGTGCAAGTTGTAGCGACGGCACTCATGCGCCATAGCACCTGTTCCTGATGTGTGGGGAACGCAAAAAACCAAGCCATACAATGGATGCCGCCAAATATGGTTGCCATATACAATGCGGCTTGCTGAAGAACCATCCTGTCCGAAACTTTGAGTTTGATACTGCCATCAAATGTTTGAACTTGGAGTCTTCGGGATGTGGGAATGTCAGCCCAACCTGTCAGTTCTATAATTGGGCGGAAGACCCGAGGCAAGAGCTGAGGCGGAGCGGATTCGCCTGTAAAGCAGACACTAAGCAGATATGATCAATAGCGGTATGATTGTTGAGGTGCATACATACTCGTTATAATACTTTAGCTCTGACTCGGTCGACTTCCAGTACACTGGATGGGGACATTGCACACCGAGAGGCTTGTGCCACCACACAGCATAAGTCAGGAAATTAAGAACCGCGAAAGCGAGTGTCCCCACTTCGAGCTTGGTGATTTCGAGGTAATAGATGGCGCGGGTGATGAGCTGCATAACAAACCAGGCGACCTGAAGCATAACCAATCCTTTCGATATCGCATTGCCTTTGCTCCTGTCATCGATCTGGTCTGACGTTAGGGTAGGGGCGTCGATACACCCTCGACGTATCAGTTTGCGAATGTGCTCAGGTTGTAGTGTACAATAGGGTTCTCCATTCACATAAAGCATGAAACCACCCATCAACACAAAGAAGCTGTGCGTCTGAGTCCAGGTAAATCCTAAAGATGCACATGAGCCAACGTTTAGGTGAGCACGAATCGGGCTTACCTTCTGGGTCAGGCTCGAATTCCTCTGACTTAATCCACCTTGCAGTCCACCTCACAGGAGCACAAAGGGAATGCCAAAGAGAGACCAGCACAGATAATACGCCTTCAATAAACAGGCGAAACAGGTGACCTGTAGCCTCCTGCCAGAGGAGAAAAAAGTGAACGAAGGGATTTCCAGTTTCAGGTGTTTCAGCAGACACGCTTTCTAAGGACGTATATAGTGAGTTGTGAGTTGTAGAGTTTCCAAAAGTATAACTCACCTTCGGACTCCGGACGAATGTTGGGATACCCCGATGTCTCGAACTGTATTGTAACTTCATGAGCGCTGAGCCACTGGCGCATGGCCCATGTGACTATCAGTTCAGGAGCGATTAGCGCCATCATTATCGTGCCAAGTTGTCGCCATAGGATATGAGGGTAGCCTTTGTGCTTAGGACTCGGAATATTGGGGTGGATGGCAGTATAAACGCATGCAAAAAGCGTGAGAATGGAGCTGGAGGTGATGGTCCATATGGTTCTGGTTGTGAATGATGGGCCTGTAAAACTATCGTTAGCAGTGGTGTTTGTTATATTTGTTGTAGGCGAAGCTTGGATCACTTCAACGAGGTAGAGGAAGACGCAGAAAAGTACTAAGCGCATTTTTGAATGTCAATTTGGAGTGTATCACGGTGTGCATCCTATTCAGTATTTGTATTTTACTGGCGGGCGTTAGTACTAACAAGGGTACTACGGTAGACTGCAGAGAATAGACTAGTGCGTTACGGCGTTCATGGAAACAAGATACACGAGGCCTCTGCACGCGCCTTGCTATTCCCAAAATTTGGGAGCCAAAGTACTTCAGAATGGTAATGGGGTCCATTCACTATGAGTCCCGGCATGCTGGGGCCTCAAGCTTCAAGATCGGGTGCGATGAGGCCAAACTAAATATGTACATGTGAGCGTCTGTTCTAATCATGTTCCACGGCAGAGGCTGCTACGGTCGCTCTTTCGAGTCTAATGCAAATGGAATGAGTTCATGATATTACATGTTATCGGTTCTTTCAAATTTCTTCATCAGTATTCTCAGATCACACCAATCTGTGTTAACTGGCTGCAGTCTGCGCAAACCGACTGCCTTGTCTGAATCCCAGCGCCTAAGTATAGGAGATGCAAAGTTCTATCAAACCTTTCCGATAAACCCTGCACAGACAAAGTCCGAACACCCTCCATAATATTCACAACGAAAAGACCCGAACTCCACAATGAGTCGACATGTTCAAATCTACTATATGTACTTTTCCTTATTTTTGTCTCAAGGCTGATACATTTATATAGTTACATGTTGCATATGAGATTGTAGTACGTGTTCAAAACTCGGCCTCGCTAACGGAACCGGCACTTTTACACCCTAATTAGGTCAAGAAATGTATAAAAACACGTACTGCAATCTCATAGTATGCAACATACTGTATCGCTAGATTTGCATTTTACTATAGTTCCACCAATCGCGTTGCTCCATCATCAACGCCGTAAGTTCACCATAAGTATCAAACTTCTTTCTGACAAGCGAAAATTATGAGTCTTTTGCTGATTGGCAGGGTACCATGAACTCCGAAGGAGTACTAAACGCCTGAACCCTGGGATGTGTCCATGTAACACACGTGTTGTGTCAAGTCCCGAACAAACGGTAAATTGCATAAATTATCGGTGCTTCCACTGGGTCTTTCAGGAATTCTGCAAGCTTCTCAAGCATGCACCCAGCGGCCAGGCCAGCTGTGCAAATGTACGCTGGTATGACGTTCGCGTCCTACAGGTATTACTCGGTTTGCTCCCATCATCCTCCTTACCCTTTCTTCCATTGACTCCCATTGATTCGGAGGACAATGTCGAAAAATACCCCTACTATAGCCGCCTCCTCTGTTCCTCTCTGCATCTCTAGTAAGAATTTCCTACTTGCCGTCTATTTCACCCTTGAACATTTTTCTTCTTAGGTATTGACATCCGCCTTGATGATACTTCGAAGAAGAAGGTCGATTTTGCCGAGTTGAAGCTTGATTCACAGCGACGGAAAATCCACCACAGTTCGGAACCAGGCAAAAACCTCAGTGCAAAGTTCGATCCCGCCATGTGAGCCCCATTTATATTTGTAGAAACTCGTTCAGAACATTGTAACACAGTGCGGTGACCACTGAGCGGGTTTCCTTGTCTGTACACTGTTCCCATACTAGAATGTGCCTGTTTTCGTGCAAGACCGCCATGGATTTTTCATTGAACAGAAAAGACATCTTGGCCGAAACAGTGGATCCCAGCGGACAACGAGGTGAATCAATTCGCCTCCAGCTGCATCACATTAAATTCATGGTTTGATGTGATAGAGTATAGCACGGTTCAGCGGAAGATGACAGTTGCCATTACTACAATATCGTCAGTATATTGGTCTCTTATTTCAGCAGCAAACTGAACATCCTTGTCCATATCGACCATGATTATTGATATTAGGCAGTCGCAGTCGACTAGCAGGGATATTCTAGAGAATTGCCCGAGATTCCGGCTACTGGTGATAGGCAATGTCTGTCCCAGTTGTTGTCTTCAAGCATACACGACTCACCCATCTACTTTGTAGACTGGAGTCGGAAAGTCGACACTGATCCGGCAGGCATTCAAACTAAATGAAGTAGTTGAGTCCATGAATTAGTTCCATGTGGGGGTAGTTACTGACGTTCACCTATCCTTTACAGCATGTTGCTGACTACGAGTGTGGTAAAGCGAATATCAACGAGGAATTCACTGCGCCAGAAAATGAACGATTCGTCGTCCACGATAGTCAGGGATTTGAAGCTGGCGATAGCGAAAATTTTGCGATTGCAAAAGACTTCATCAAGCGCCGACGCAACATGCTGGCACTGCAGGACAAAATTCACGCGGTCTGGTATGGTCTTCTAGTTTCCGCCGTCACTCTGCCATACTGACATTGCTGGAAGGCTTTGCATCTCGATACCTCTTGCCAATGAAGCCTTGTTTGAGGATGGAATAGAGGAATTCATCAAATTGAGGAAGGAAATACTAGGCGATAGTGCGCAGCGTTTTCATTTCGTTTCTCATAACTCATATTTTACATATAGTTCCCATAATTGTCGTCTTCACCAAGTATGACACTCTTGTCAACGATTTGGAGCTCGAGGCCCGTATGTCAGGCGAACATGACGAAACCGCGCTCGAAGCGCGTAAAGTTGACAAATTGAATGAACTGTGTATCCAGCCGCTTAAGGAAGTAGCCGGAAGCGACATTTTGCACACAACGGTTTCTAGTAAAGGGGTTTTACTTCCCTATTTTCCGATGCTGACATACTATCATAGTGGATGAAGAGTACGAGAGCACCATAAGACGACTGATCGATCTTACAACCACGAGCGTCGAAGAATTTGTCGCCTCAGAAGCGGCATTAGTAATGATGATAGCCCAACGGGCAGACATCGGTCTTAAAGTCAAGGCATCACTTATGTATGACCACTGTTAATTTGGTAACGCCTTAATTTCACACTTTTGCTCTCCACAGCATTGGCAACAGAAGTTAGTCTTGTCACAGTCTTCGGCAACTTGTTGACTTCCGAATTTTCTAGGATATTGGAGAGGTCTCGCTGCGAACGTGAACTTCAAAGGCTTTACCATGTCGGACTGCTTGTCTGTGATTCACAAGGACGTCATCGATGTTTGGAACTTCAACGACCCTCACTGTGTAAGATGCATATCTAATTTTAATCACTGGCTGCTGACAAGTTTTTGCGAAGCACTTGGCCAGTGACCAGTTCAAAGGATTGATACTAAAAGATCTAGACAAAGCCGACGAACCGATGCCAAAAGTTCCAGACATGGTCGACCTTCCGTGGACAGCAGCACAACCTTTGTGAGTTAGTTATTGTACTCCGAGACATTTCCGATTTACAGAAACATTAGCAGTGAATTCGGTCTTGCGACGATTACAGCGATTTTGACATTGCTAGCTGGCGCGTTTCCACCGATTGCCGCAGGGGTGGCCTTGGTTGAATGTGCTCGTGATGCCTATCAACATACGTAAGTGAATGTGTACTGTTTCCATCTGAAACATGGTTTATCAGGTTACCGATCTATCTAGAAAGATTGTTTTACAGCGGATTATGACGTATATCGTGGATTTAACATGCGTCATGCAGATCTTGTTCCTGCTAGCACCGACAGGGCCTATTTCTCGTCACGTCGTCAAAATTGCCACCAAAGCCTATGAGGAGGCGTGCAAGAATAAAGTCCACTTAGCAATCCAATCCTATTGTGTGTCTGCCATGAGTACAGGAGAGGGTGATGCGCTGGAGACGATTGTTAGGATGATCAAGGATCATTCTATCCAGGCTGACGAAGTTCAGGGCCTGAGGGCACGGATGGAGGGGCCCGTGGATTCGAAAGCAGACGAAGAGTGGTAGACGATGCGGGTCTGCATACATGACAGGGGTGAACGATTATGATTTCTAAAGTGTACCCTATTTACTACGTGTATAAGTATATCATGATGTACATGCGTTTACAAGTTATCCACGTATATTCTGACTCAAGGTTTGAGCTCGAGCCAAATCAATATAATTTAGTAGTGGGAGAGACTCAACCACATCAGTAAATTCCGAGCCCCGCCAACGTTGAAAAGTTGGAACCAACTTATTCAAGTAGATCCCTGTACCATTCTGAGCTTTTCGTGTCCTTTTCCAACTTATTTTCCAACTTGTTTTTATGAGCCTGCTTAAAATGCTTATTTTAAAAGCGTGATATTGTCAAAAAAAAGTAGAATAAGTGGACAATAAAATGTGTGAAAAGGAAAGAAAAAGTAAGGAAAAAGGAGAAAGAAGGCCTGTAACGGGGACATTTATGTGAATCAGTGCATTAGAAGTAGTTCAGCATAGGCAGTGCGGCGTAGTAGAGAGTGGAAATGGTTGGAATTCTGTGAAGATGCATCATATCATGATAGTAAGAGATATTCTGGTGAAATATGTCAATGAGGCGCTGAACAAAGACAAAAAAGCACTCACAGAGCAGTGCGCGCTCAAGCGCTCACCCCTGGAAGATGCAACAGTGTCGTCAGCGGATCGTGTCCGTTGTGTATTTCAGGCCACGCTTGACAAATTGACATTGCACGCCAACACAGGGTCCTGGAATATACAGGGCAGCCGGAGCTTAGCTAGGCTTGTGTTAGTGAAATGATCGCTGTTGATTCTTATTTTTAATTATGAGAATTCGAGAATTGGCAGCTTACAGTGCTTTGCATTAAAAACTGCAGTCGTTCATGTTGCCGCAGTTCCAAGCCGTGTGACTGCGCGCCGTAAGGTTTGATGACGCTTAGCGGTGCTTGAATCCAAGTGAACGCAAACTGAATGAATTGAGCAGCTCTTTGCGCTTAAGCTCAACTAATATTTGAGTCTCACCGATTTACTGATGCCGAAGTTGCAACGTTGTACGATGAGCGGCAATGTGCGATGCGAAGGAGATCTACGTATATCACAAATAAGCACTTTTCAACACAGTACAAAACAGGTATTTCGTATTTCAACATCCCTGGTCCTCTCCGCCATCAGAGCCTAGAGGTTGGCCAAGTATCAGACAGGAAAGGAAATTCTGCTTACAGTCATTTCCGAAAGTCTTGACTCACGTGTTTGTGGCGGTTCAAACCCAGTGAAAATCGACAAGAATGAGGTAGATACGTGTAGATACAGATCGAAAAAAATATAAGGGAATGGATTTTTTCGCTATGTTTCGACCTCTTTAGAAAAGTGGGACTTTTCGAGACGAAAAAAGATAGAGATCGAAACGAACATTTAGCGCTTCGATACGATTCTCGTTGGCTTTAGATCACTTTTAGATGCATATATGCGCTGAAAATGTTCCATTTGGGTGGGGTGAATAGGTATCTAATGCTATTGAATGATGTATCTATGGGTATCGCGATGGTTAGGTGCTCGTGGTATCACTGTGCCCACGCCCGCCTCCGCCATCCCGCCATCCCACCATCCCGCCTCGTATCCATCAGCTACTCCTCATCTGCATCATCACCGGCGCCGTTCCTTTTGGTGGGTCCAGCCGAGCCGAGCTATAAAGCAAATCATCGTTAGTATGAAGATACGCGCGGCTATCATGAATACCACGCACCTGTAGAGCCGCTTTGTGCATGTATACCTTTAATACTAGTACTAGTCGGTAGATCAATATAAAAACGCGCCAATGCATCTTCTCTGCATGATCGGGGTGAAGCCATAGAGCCTGCAATTGCGGCCCAACTGGACATGTCGTGGATGATTGGAACAACTCCACTGATTTCCACAGCAGTACGCTTGATCCGATGATGACTGTAGATATCGTCGTCGAGATGTCGTTCCATGGTAGCATCACGGATAGTATTATCGTGGTATTGGCGAAATAAAACTTTAATGAGAGAATGAGGTCGGGGTCAGTGGTGTCCGAGTCAGGGAGTTCACGAAGAGGGTTTCGAAGCCTTTATAGTGCATCCATTGGTAGTCGAGAGTGCGAGTCATCGAGACTTGCTTTTCGCAAAGCAGTGATGAATGCCATCGCATCTTGAATATCTTCCAGTTGCGCCATGCAGTGAAGTTGCTCCAGGTCTTCGTCAGTCCAACCCATACTAGCGGTGTTCTCAAGTCCAGTGTCTTGATCAAGATCAGCAGCACCAAGATCAGGTGCGCCATGGTCTCGTTCTTCAGGCTGAGCGTTACCGAGATCAGGTGTGTCGTGGTCTCATTCTTCAGGCTGAGTGTCGCTAAGATCAGGTGTGTCGTGTTCTCGTCCTTCAGGCTGAGCGTCACCAAGATCAGCATGAAGCTCGTAAGTGTCTATATCCATGGTGATATTTATCAGTCTATTAGTCTTGTTTTCTTGTTCGCGACACTTTCAATTGAAAGGCTCACTGTTGTGCTAGAAATATGGCCATGACCTGGTTGTATGCACATGGCGGGGCAGTGATGTCGAGCCTCAGAGATGCGATCTCTGGCTGGAGCAAGTAGAGAATAAGTTCGTCCGGGTACTAGAAACGGCAGTCACAGTGAATAAATCAACTGCTCGCCGCTCTGCCAGTGGGCTCGTGGTTGTTATGTTGTAGTCTGCGAGAGATATAGTCGCGGGCTTAGTAGTAACTTGAAACGCGACTCGGTCCGAGGGAATGATTGTATCGAGCCGAGGTCGTGGCGGGGACAAATGACATGGTGGGCAGATGAGAAGATGCAAGTGGTTCAACTGCACTAGCTCGGAATAAACATAATGCAAATGCGTGGGGTACAAGTTATGGAGTTACACAAACAAAATATGCACGATGCACATGCGCATTGCGCACATATGGGCATTGTGCAAAGTTTGTTGAAGTTCAAAAAATATTGCAAACTACGCGATCGAAGTTTGACATGCTTGCATTTTTTTTACTGTTGCAAGGATTCTTTGCGTTTTGCACAAAATCAGAGTTTTGCCGTCTCGAATTTCTTAGATTTGTATCTGCCTCAATTTGTACTTAGACATCTATCTCTACATATCTACCTCATTCTTGTCGATTTTCACTGGGGTTCAAAAATAATAGAAATGTTGAAAATTCAATTAAATCATTTTCGAGTTGTATACACCTCTGTACGCCTTCAAACACGTCATATTGCACAAGATTCTCACTCAGGCTCACCATGGTCTACCAGAGGATCAATCCTGATCGAAAAGAACGAGCTCTGTAGCCGCTTTTGGAGGAAGGATGGGAGATCGAGCACATCGCTGATGTTCTTGGAGTGTCGTCGAGAAGTATAGAGCGGTGGGAGGCAAATTATAATGAAAATGGACGTGCTAACCCTCACACACCAATCATGGGCCGCCCTCGCTTGTTGATCAAACTATGAAGGATGAGATCTGCGAGCTGCTAGCTGAAAACCCGTCTCTACTACTGGATGAGATCAGCGAATGGCTCATGATCAGCCAATATCCACACCAGCTCTTTACCGCAACCTCGGGGACCTTGGAATCACCTATAAACGCTTGAAGAGGATAGCGGCCGAACGTGATGACGGTTTCCGAGCTGATTGGTTGCACAACATGACAGCCAACTATACAGCTGAGCATCCCTGGCCCCAACAGCGTGATTGTCCTCGACAACTGTTCCACTCACAAGAGTGACGCTTTACGGGAAGCTGTAGAGGCATCTGGTTTGCTAAATGCTACTTTGCTTCGCCTGCAAGTCTGACACATTCGTAGGTTGCTTACTTGTTTTTCTACCACCATACTCCCCAGACTTCAATCCGATCGAGGAGAGCTTCAGTTGCTGTATGTTCGGACATGTTTCATTTCATTCTGTCACTCACACTTTCTCTATAGTGAAGAAGTGGCTTCGAAGGCATTGGAGGGAACTCCGACACAGCCAATTCCCTGAGCAGGACCTTCGTGAAGCTTGCTTCAGGGCTGTGAATGCCGAAAATGCGCGAGGCTGGTATAGGCATAGTGGCTATCTCAGATCTGTAGTACGATGGATGTATTAACTGTGGTGTGGGCAATATTACTACGTGGAGTAGAGTGGACAATAGCTGCATGTATGGGGTATGGATATCTACAAGGGTCATATAAGAATATTAACGAACGGTAAATGTGCAAATAAACAGCGGGGTATCACATTGTAGATTTCAAGCTAGATGGAAGGCCTTGCCGCTTTGCTGGCAGCATATCAGGAGCAAGCTCTAAATCATCATCCCCATTGGTTTCTTCACCATCCTCGCACAATGAGTCCTCCATGCCACCAAGATCACTACATTCTTCTGTGTAATGTCGTCAGATTCCATATGATTACCATCAATAGACTCTTCGTCAGAGTGTTGTGAATGAGAAACATTCTTCTCGTCGGAACATTCAGATACTGTAAAAGACATTATTTAACGTTCAAAAGAGTGTCGGTTATACTTTTCTGCTCGAGTTTGAGTGAGAGTGGGGCAAGTTTGCTGAATTTTCGATTTATTTGAATTTTCAGCTTTTCCACTATTTTTGAACCGCCACAAACACGTGAGTCAAGACTTTCGGAAATGACTGTAGCCTCATGCAGCCTGCAAGCTGATTGGAGTTTGCCGCGCACTGGGCACGCAGGAACTTTATGATCGTGAATCAGTGATACACGCTGCAACCACGTTCTAACCGGTAAGCATCTTCATATTATGTACTGAATTCAATGCCTGTAACGGACACCTTAGTAGGCGGCAAAGTACAAACTTGTCTTGGCTGTGATCATCGACGTCCTCTACCACTACCACGACTTCCCTCAACGCCATGACTGGGAAGATCACCCTGAGTAGTGTTTCTCTGATCTTTGCGTACATTATCTTGTGTTTGTTTTTCGTCTTCAAACTGATCACAATGCAATACTTTATCATAGCTGTGGAACAGCTCTGTTTTCTGATGGTAAGCAGGTACAACATCTGACTCTTAACGTGAATCTAATAATCATTCGCAGGTTATGGCAACAATGTCATTGGTTTTGGTGGGTGATGTATTCAACTTGATAAGCCCCGTTTCACCCAAAATTCGACTGTTTGCAGTCAATACTCGTGAGCGATTTTTTCCATGAAATTTACTCAAGGTTCAATGTGAATCACAGTTCTAAAACGCATATATGGCACTGGTTCCGACGGCATCACTGCGAACTACAGCACCACACTCTCTAGTGTCGCCTTCGCAGGTGCGTACCTGAGTCTCCTTCGTTGATATACAATTACATCGTCTCAGGCACCGTGGTGGGTATGTTCACCTTTGGCTACCTCTCCGACAAAGCTGGACGCAAATTCGGTATGGTGAGTAGATATCAATCCCGATCGATCAACCCATAAGTCATACTTTTGAAACAGATGTCCGCAACTGGGATCGTTGCGGTATTTTCGGGTCTCTCGTCTGCTTCGTCTGGTGCGAACAATAGCCTTGACGGTATGCTTGCTATGCTTATTGCATGTCGGTAAGTACATACGCCGGTCCGAGATCATCTCTGCTGCTCATCATCTCTAACACAGCTTCCTTCTTGGGATTGGCATTGGTGCTGAATACCCTTGCGGTTCCGTGTCCGCATCTGAACAATCGGAGGAAGAGGGCATTGCTAAGAACTCGCAACACCAATGGCTTGTGCTAGCAACGAGTGAGCCAATGTGATGAAATGTCTCTATTACCAATAATCTAAAACACGCTGCCCAGACACTACGATTGATTTTGGTTTCGTTGCTGGAGCATTCGTACCATTGGTACTTTACTGGATGTTCGGCCGCCATTCACTTCCACGTCTTGTAATCCATGTCTAACAGTTGCTTTTCAGATTCGGAGACAACCACCTTCGAGCCATCTGGCGCCTCTCGCTTGGGCTTGGTGTGGTTCCTGCTACTGGTGTCTTTTTTTGGCGGCTACGCATGGAGGAACCTAATCGCTACAAGCGCGATTCAATGAAGCATGTCCGTATTCCATACCGACTAGTCATTAAAAGATACTGGCGTGGCCTGCTTGGCATCTCGCTGGCATGGTTCATCTATGATTTTATCACGTATGTCAACGACCGCTTCCGTGCACTCTGACTAGTCACTCACATACCTTCAGATACCCAGTGTGTTGTCAGGCACCTACAGGATACATTATCACTGATCTTTTCTATAGTTCGTACTTTATTCATCCACAATCACCGATACGTATGCATTTACATTTGTTTTCTTGAGTAGAACTTAACCGTCTTGGCAGCGTTACCGGGGGAAATTCATCCCTCACCGTCGTCTTTGGTTGGTCTGTTGTGATCAAGTAAGCTTCACCCGTTCGTGGTTCATGCTCCTATTTACATGGTTTCACAGCCTGTTCTACATTCCAGGTGAGTCTATTAGACGACGACGAACTTTCAGAGCTCACATTCTGTCCGCAGGCACCGTTATAGGTGCCTTCTTCGTTGATCTCATGGGTCCAAAGGCCACCATGGTGGGTGGTAATAAGCAGATGTGGAGTGCCTTTTCTGAATCCCATGTTAGATCACTGGCCTTCTCGCACAAGCGGTCATTGGATTTATCATGAGTGGTCTTTATACCCAGCTGTCACAACACGTTGCCGCTTTTGCTGTAGGTATCTATGTAACACATATCATTGATACTGAATGGTTCATTAGGTGGTGTACGGCATCTTCCTGAGCTTCGGCGAGTTTGGTGCGTGGAATTGCGCAATCACTCCCCGTCTTTTGAACTCTGTTTGCCTAGGTCCCGGAAACTGCGTTGGTGTAGTGGCTGCAAAGTCCGGGCCTACTGCTGTGCGTGGCCAGTATTACGGTGTTGCAGCTGCTACTGGAAAAATTGGCGCATTCATTGGAACTTGGGGTACGTGTCATACAGTCCTTGTACGAAGGGTGGACTAAGTTTGTTTGTCTGTCCAGTGTTCCCTGTGATGATCAGGGATTTTGGTGGCTCAGGTTCAGCTAAAGGGAACACTGGCCCCTTCTGGTTTGCCAGCGGTCTTGCCATCCTAAGCGCAATCATTGTATACTTTCTTGTAACACCTTTGGACCACGATGGTATGAAGGAAGAAGATGCCAAGGTGCGCAATTGTCAGGTTGTCCCTCCCATTACCCACAACGTTTATACACCTCACAACATAGTTCCGAGAATACCTCGAAGCGCACGGTTTCGATGTCTCACGTATGGGTCTTCCCAAAAATGAAACCGTACCATATGCGGAAGGCAAAGAGGCGGGTTCAGCGGTCAAGGACACTGATTCAGCGATCAAAGTTTAGTTGTGCTGCAAGCAGATGGGCCTTTACGTTCGTGCTTGTGTACCATGATGTTTCCTTGCTCACTTGTATAAATACCTTTTGAATAAATAGTCTTCAGAGATCTAGACTGATGTCATATTTTTTTGTGAGGGAAACCATTCTTGTTGAAGCGATGGCTCGCCTTTTACGACCCCTGCTGGTTATCTAATGTAATAGTGCGGATAGTGAAGCTTCTACATGAAGGACTCAGATGTATTGAATATTTTATAGTAACTGGACGTGTCACTTGACAAAAGTTGCAACGCAAAGTGCAACGGGCAGAAGGAAGTCAGACACGGTTTTGGCTCGAGATCTCTGTCATGGGGAGAGGTGGGTATTATATCTGGCCATCAATGCTTTGTATCCAACATCCAGTCGTTTGGGCGTTCCATGCCTACAGTCGACATACGACCTTGAACAGATGGATGACTCGGTTGATGATGCGTATGAGTCACAGGCGCAGGATGTAAATAGAATACTGGTAGCCAAACGTTGAACAATGAGCATGCAGAACTGTTGATAACTCATCAATCAATCACTTCACACTGGCATGGGGATAGTAAAAGGGATGACGTTCCAGACATTCCTCAAACCCAGTCATTATTACAGAAATTGTGTCCGGGTAAAATACTCTATACCGATTTGATGCAACAATTGCATTTGGGCCCATATTGACGTCAGCATATTGGGTATTTTCCGACTGCTCAATCCCAATGCTTCCGGCAGTCCTCCAAACATTGCCAATGGTCGTTTTCCACAGTCGTACACGACCATCATTCCCAGCAGAAGACAGGACCGTCCTGAGAGAATGCGTATCAACTATGCAGCTTACGATACCCGAAGACAAAAACAAACCCAGTGATATTCCACTCAACACGGCCAACCGCCGATCTGCACGCATCCAATCAGTAACAAAGCCATAGGAGAGTGCGAATCGCACGTACTTGTGGTGATCGAAATCTGCTACTACATTTGCAGACCATTTAGGATCGCCCCCTTCTCCTTCGACTTCAGGTTCTTCCTCCGCAGGCTTGACTCGCCATATCCTAACATGACCATCGTGACCTCCAGTAGCTATAAGGTGATATGATCGCCCGCACAAAGGTGCCCATGCCACCAACGTGATTGCCAATGGTGTTGCAGTATCTCCGTCGCTTGCAAGCGAGGTTCCTGCCTCAGTGGGCAAACCCGTCGGCGAAGGAGATGGGTCTAAAGTAAGGAGAGTGAGCAATGCCACAAAAATGAAGCGTGACAATACTTTGATAGCACCAGATACCCCACAGCCAGCCGCGACGATCTCCCCCCAACATCTATCTTTATACTATGATATGCACCACCCTCCATCAGCTTCTCGATTCCCCATTCCGGGTCGTCCCTGAGTGGCGGGGTTTTGCGATTGTTGCAGGGCTTGAGCCACCAGGGTTGCAGAAGCACCCTCAAGAGTCGCGCTTGTTTGCGTTGGCGTCGCAAACGCCACGGAGTACGATGAGGACAGTGATACAGATGGGAGCGTTGAGACATCGACTTCTTCTGAAAGCTGCCATGTGGCTAGCGATGATTGTTCCAAGCACTCATAGATGCGAACGTGATTATCGGAAGAGACAGTTGCCTTTCAGAAGCTCTCATAAATCTCTAAATGGGACGAACGTCTGACGTACCAACTTCAACCCAAAATGATGAGGGGCAAATTCGACTGCGCGGACAGTGCCTCTTGCATCAACCAATACAGCCCTTTCCACCCATCTTGAGGAACCACATGAAGCAGCCTGAGGAGACCCGGCACCAGCACCATTCGTTTGGGAATCTGTTGTTGATGCAAAGCTAGTTTGCTCCCAAATCTTGACTGTACGGTCGAAAGAGGCGGATGCGAGTATGGTCCCAAATTCTGGGTGAGCCCAGCTTAGTTTGGAGACGGTAGCATCGTGAGCCTGGCATTAATTGGTTGATAAGCGCAAAAACGCGTCTTCCAACATGCTCGCCTTCCAGTCATCTTCGACGTTCCAATTCCCATTACTCTCGTCTACTTGCCAAATTTTGATTCTTTAACAGCAGCGTGAGTTGACTTGTAGAAACACGTATACGCATTAAGGGAATAACGTACCTCTGATCGAGACTGCAAGTAGGCCAAGCGAAGCCCATAAAAATCATAAGCTACGTCTGTCAGAAGATCAATGTGCGCGCTCTGGATGAGACCAGTTTGTATCATGTTTTTCCGAGCTTCGTAAATTCCGAGTGGGACAAATGATTTTGAAATACGCGTTGAGATGTAGTAGCAATTGTTATGCGGTTGTTCTTTCTTGCACAAGTAGCTGGGAGAATGATGTATCACCACCTCGACCGTGACATCACGTTACCTTCACCTAACTACCTTGCCATACTGGGTGGGAATGGCAAACTAAACAGTTCGGCAACGAGATGTTGACACATCGGCGGTTTCCGAATTTTTCTGCAAGCCAGACTTGAATCCAAACGACATTGATAAATAAAGGATTTTCAATTCAAATTTCGACGTGGGAACGATGACAAATTTAGATGTTGGTGAAATTGTAGAGCAAAGTAACACATTTTGACAAAGATTTCAAGTCCTGTATAAATAGATAAAGGTATTTGAAGTTTTCCGCCAGGAAAATGACAAAGCAGATACGAAATTTTGTAATCCAATTTTGTCTGTAAGTAAATGCATAATTTGAGGCACAGAAAATGTTCTGTAAAATATTATATAATAGTGGTACTCAATTCAACTTTTCAAACATTTCAAAACTCACTTAAACACTTTAAACTCCCAGCTAAAGCTTCAGCAAACTCGGTGTCATGTGCATCAATTCAAAGTCAGGCGAATTCCAGAGGGCGGACTTTGAAACACCATGCCTCCCACTCGTCAACGTGCACATCGTTCTGCAAGACTTCGAGCTGATGCTCGAGTGCACTCAATGGATCCTTCAGCACTCTCCGTACCTCCCTCTGAGGGACAATCCAAGGTCCCCTCCGAATCTGGACCACGATTGACCATCCAGTGGCATAATGAAACTGCCCTAACGGATGTCTTGGTGAATTATCTAACGTCTCACCCTGCTGATTGTAGGGTGCTCTTTTATTCTGAGGGGAAGAAGGCGATGTCCCCCGTCAACGACAGCCCCTCGGGCTCGGACAAAGGCCAAATCTGTAGCGTTATCGCTAAACTTATCTTCACCAATCACCCCAAATATGGTCACGCATATCACGACAATCAGAAGAAATTCTGTGACACAATCAACAATTGCATTAACAAGTGAGTTTTCTTCTCATTTTCTTATTCATACATGTGCTAATGGAATCCCTCAAGTCTCAGAACAAAGTACAAGAAGATGAAGGCTAGATTCGGTGACACAGGTGCCGGTGTGATGCCGCTTGATGGGACGGCTGCAAAAAATCTGCTGGGTGTGTCCTTTGTCTTATTTTGTTCTCAGCTTATTTTAATCAGTTTATCGTGTTTTTGTAGACTCAGTTCTTTTGGAGTTCCCATGGTACACGGACCTCGATGGAATCTGGCACTCCAATCCGTCGTTGGCTGCAAAGACTTATTCCTCCAAGCCTGGTGTTGATCACGCAGGTTCTTTTTACTCCCTGGTTCAACCACATGGTGGGGCTGGTCCCTCCACATCCTTTGGCGCTTCACCCTCTCCCACACATTTCAGCGCTACACCATCCGCTAGCGCTCATGATGCGTCTCCTCATACCCAGGCGCGTACATCAGATCCTCATACCCAGGCGCATACATCAGATCCTCAGACCCAGGCGCGTACATCAGATCCTTGGACCCAGGCGCGTACATCAGATCCTCAGACCCAGGTGCATACATCAGATCCTCTGTTTTACGGCGATCCCCCCATTGACCCACAACTCCTTCAACCTCAGACTCTTGCTCCCCCCTTCATACCCCCTCAAATACACCTTCCCGGCCTGCGCAATTCCCCTGATGTCACTATCCTGGACAATTATGCTCCTGACTCCGGGAGTGGCCTGCTTAATGCCCCCCTTGGCAATGCACTAGACTACCTTGACGACGACGACAAAGAAATGCTTGATGATACTGGTGCCGGTAGCCCTTCCCAGGTCGCGGGGACAAAACGCCACTTCGCTGCATCACCCTCACCTCCTCCTGACGCCCCCCAGCCATTCGCAATTCACACCAAACTCCCAACACCATTATACGACAGTCGCTCGGCATTCGGCGCTCACAAGCCATCAAGCTGTGGAGCGCGACGCAAAGGGCCATCGGACATGGCCCGCAGCATGTCTACACCCTCCTCGACGACGCGCAATACCACACCGTTGTCGGACTACATTGTCTCTCCCACCCCGCAGACCTCGCTGCCCAACAGTGGGGGCAGCTCGAAAAAGAAGGCAAGGTTGGATGTCCAGGACCAGGTAGGCCTGGTCCGGGACAAGATTGAGAGCCTGCAGTCTAGCGCCCTGTCACGCCATGAGAGCAAGCACCAGCGCTATCTCACGAAGCTGGGTGTGAAGAGCGAGCACTCCCACGACACGAAAAAGTATGAGTGGCTCCGTGACACTTGTGCACACGAGGCTAGTCAAGCTAGCCTCATCCATCAGCGCCAGCAGGAGGACAAAGACACCGAAATTCGCCTTCGTGAGACGGATATATGGGTGCACAAAGCACATTCACTCGTGCTTGACAAGGAGGCCGAAACCCTGCGGCTCAAGATACAATACCACCAGATGATGCAGGGCAATAAGGCCCCAGGGTTGGATTGAGCTTTGTGAGTCTGGCATCGTTTCGTTGTCGTCATCATCATCATGTTTTGTTTGTCGCCGTCATGTTTTGTTTGTCGTCGTCATCTTTCATTTGTCATTGTTGTCTTTCATTTGTTGTCATCATGTTTTGCTTGTCATTGTGAGTACTTCTTGTGATTGATGTTACATAGCTACATACATGTATGGTACATATTTATTTGTGGTAGTACATGTCAAATTGAATCTGAGAGGAATTATTCAGCCCTATGTTGTGCATTTGAGTGAGGACTATCAAAGAGATCATCCATCAGCTTTGCACGAGCAGCCTGACCTGGAGTGCCATCATATGTCCTGTCACCAATGACCTCATCACCATCTGGACCCTCAAGCTCCTGAACAAAAAAGTCTTCCCCCTCTTCACAAGCCCACTTGAGAGAGCTTTCATATGTTCCATCTTCCTTGCGACGATGAGTTTTGAAGTGAATAATCATGTTGTGCAGGATAATACAACACTTAATCCACTGCACAGCAAAATCAAGGTCTTTCTCAGCCTGAATGCGGAAGTGAAGCTCTCGAAGGGACTGGAACCGTCCCTTCAAGACCGCAAATGTGTGTTCAACACGAACACGAACCTAAAAAAAATTAAATTCATTGAAAAACCAGAAGAAAAAAAAAAACCTTGGAGAGATGATAATTGAATGTCTTCTGGTCCTTTGTCAACCGTCCATTGCGAGGCTTCTTGTAGGGAACAATGCACCATGGCTCCAATGGATATGCACTATCTGCCCAAACCCAATGACCATCAGGCAGAAGGTCAGCATGCTCTTTATAGAGGCGAGTAGATCGGAAAGTGAATGCATCATGGACACTCCCGGGATGACCAAGGGAATAATCAACAATAAGGAGGTTGTGGGGTAAGATGACAGCCTAAAATTAAATCAATTTTTTGAATATGAAAGGGAAAAAAAAATACCTGACAGCCCAGGGAATACCTGCATTTCCTATCATAAAATGTCTCCCCATAATAGCCCGGTTTGGTGAAAAGATTCATGGTTGAGCCATCAATGGCCAAAAAGCCACCCTTCCACTCAGGACAAGTACGTGACTCGGCAAATTTACAAGCCAGGTCAACATCCTCAGAATTAGCTGCTGGGAAGCAGATAAACTGATCATGGGCATCAAGCACCGCAATCATCACACGATTAGTGCAATTAACCACGGACCCAACACTCACACCTGCCCATTGAGCGACATCCTCCAGAGTAATGGCATTACCATAGTGGCCTGCCCGATTCAGAAAAATAGCAAGCTAGATGGAGATGGGGAGCTGAGGATTGTTGGACTTGCTTTGGAAGATAGGGTGATCAGAGATATAATCAAGAATGTCATTGAAGATCTCAGGGCTGACACGAAGTTTCTGCCAAAATAAGTGAGGGTGATGTTCCTCGTGGTGAATGAGCATGTGAAGCTGAGGTGCTCGTGGAGGAGGCTCATCGGGCTTGTGGAGTACACGAGCCCTCTTAACCTCATCACGAAGTGCATCAATCGTGTCCTGGAGCCTGTCGTAAGGCAGTACAGAATCATCAGAAGATACAGAATCATCACTGGAAAAATTGGATATCCCTGTCATAGGGGAGAGGGGGGAGGGGGGGGATGAGGAGCTAAAGGATAGACTGATGGTGTCATCATCATCCGAAGTGCTAGAAAGCGAATCCTCAGAGTCAGAGTCAGAATCGCTCTCAAGGTCGGACCAATCGTCCAGGATGTCCTGGTACTGTAGCTTGGCCAATGAAAGTGTGGCCTGATCAACGATATCGAGGAGTTCTTGGCATGTAGATGGACGAGGCATAGTTTCAGTAGGGCAGGAGTCGAGGGGATCAAACCCCCCATCCATTTCATGCATATGTGACACACTTTGTGTCGGAGTTTGAAATTTCGGAAAATTCCGAAGTTCCATCTCACACTGAGCATGTTGGTGCCGTTGTTGACCTCACATCCTTGATGCTCACCTGCAGCACTGAGCAGGACATAATTCAAGTTTCCAGGTGCCATCCACCCAAAGTAAGTGATTTTTGTGCTTATTGCAAGTTGTAGCTTACATTCACCCTTATCTTACAGGAAATCTATTCTAATCCAGGTCCCACACACATCCCACCTGACCAACAACACCTTATCTTTATGGGAGAGCCGCTGCTCCACCCTTCACTTGGTATCATCGACAACTATGATGAGTTATATCCTTCGCAGTGGTGGGAAGACCCAAGCGCATACATCAGATCCTATCCTTCACAGCGGTGGGAAGACCCAGGCACGTACATCAGATCCTCAGACCCGGGCATGTACATCAGATCCTCAGAGTCCCTCCACATCCTTTGGCGCTTCACCCTCTCCCACACATTTCAGCACTACACCGTTCGCTAGCGCTCATGATGTGCCTCCTCCCACTATAGGTCCCTTCCCACATGTTGCCATTACGCCCTCCACTGGCGCTCATTATGCGCCTCCTGGTGCCCTTGGTAGCCCTTCCCAAGTTGCGGGCACGAAATGCCACTTTGCTGCATCACCCGCTCCTGCCCCCCCCCAACCGTTTGAAATTCCCACCAAACCCCCGACGACCCGCTCTCAGTCCATCTCATCCTCCTTCCCCCAGCACTTATTTGTTCTGTCCGGTACTTGCTACCTATGGCTGATTTCATTCTTGCGGAGTGGTTTTTTTTACAATTTTATTAATGCAGTCATTTGAAATACAAAGTCTATTGGATCCTACTTGCTACCCATAATGAATCTATGCCCCGGCTACTTTTGCTACTCTAAAGCACGACTTTCCCCTCTGTATAGCACACTTTGAAAATCTTAAGTGTTTGAATGTCTGACTTTGTGCCGATGTGCTGAGCATGATTCAACTGTTGTTACGCGAGTTTGTTGAAGCTTTAGCTGGGAGTTTAAAGTGTTTAAGCGAGTTTTGAAATGTTTGAAAAGTTGAATTGAGTACCACTAATGACTGACATTCATATCCCGTTGAAAAACTCAAATTTTCTCAATGGTAAAATGTGATTATAGAAAATGCAAAGTTTTATACATAGTCAAAAGACCTGCGCATTCAGTGGGTATTCATCGCACACTCGTAAGGGATTCGTCGTGCATTTAGTACACTTGGGCATTTTGGCCATTCAGAACATGGAATGGTGAGAATGAGGTGTTTATTTGGTACAGTAATCGGTACAGTAATCATATCACATAGTTGCGCGTGACTTCTATATAAGACAGATCTGATCGAAGCATAAATTAATGAAAGTTGAAGGAGCAACTGCAATATCCACAGTGTTCTTCTTAAGGTTACACTTAACTATAGTAGAGATGGAGCCGTGGTGACTCCCATCCAGAACAATGCACAGTTGGTTTTTTTTGCGAGGAGGAGCTGGGCTCAGATCGGTGACAGGTATATGGTAATGCTGAATTGCGGCGCCTGCACCATTTGATGAATGGAACACTGCAACACAACCCTCGGGGGTGGGTCCATTCAGACCGAGAAATGGATCGGGACAAGCCATTGACATGAATCAATTGTGTAGCCTGCCCCCATGAGAGAGGGTGAGACTTTCAACATCACGTGATGTATGGTGAACTTTGAGGAGAATTCTTTCTTCATCAGCCAAGCTAACGGACCTAAGATGAAATAAGGTAAATGTTACGATGCCTCTGTGGAGGGACTCACCCTCTTTGAGTTTTTCCGTTCGAGAATCAAAGCTATCCAGTACATCATCAGCATCGACAGTCCAGGCGTCGGGTTTGGCAGCCAAACAGGTGGGATTGACAGTGGGCAAAGGATTACCGGCCTGATCCTCGGGACGGGCAGTCCAGGTGGTCTACGATGACGACACATCAGGATCTGCGACGGCAACCGATGAGCTAGAGGGAACCTTTTCAGGTGGAGGGGTGACACTTCGAAGTTTTGGGGCTAAGTATGATCTCCTCTGCATCTTGCAGAAAGACAACATGTCTATTCCTTTGAGCATTGCACCATTTAATCTCATTCCGTACCTGAATACCTATGAGCAATTGATCCATTGTGAAAATGTGCGTGCTGCTTACCTGGTAGCAACATTCTGGAGTTGAAGTGTAGTGCGCTGCTGCCCATGCACAGCAACGGTACAGTTCTCTGAGGTGAGACTGTAAAGCGTAGCTTGGTAGCCCTTATGGTCACCCCCAATGATAAATACTTCTTGGCCGATCTCCTTTTTGAAGGAATCTGGGTTGGCGTTGCATACTTTTATCACAAATGAGATGGGAACGTCAACCTGCCAGAAGTCAGTTATGCATAGACATGCATAGGTTATGAAGATACTGACGAGTGAATAATCAATGTCAGAGAGTAGGGTCAAGCGAGCATGTGGAAAGTTGATGCTTTGCACGATCCCTTTCATCTGATACTCCGGCCCACAGGCGACTCTCACAACATCTCCAGGTTTGACATCATAACCCTTGTCTTTTGTGTACTGTAACATCTGGAGGTGGGGGAGGTGTGTCCGCTGAACACATGAAATAGGAACTGGAATATTCAATGTTTCGTGCTGGAACCATATATTGTCTCCTCCCTTGGGGAGCCAGCACACGATGCCATACTTTCCCATGTGCTCCCCAACAAGCACTTCTATGCCATCCCCTATTTGAATGGATTCAATATTGGGAGGGGGCTTAAAAAGTTGCTGCACTGGCAACTGTGCGTGCAGTGTGTGACCCAGATGACGGCAGTCTAGATAATATTTCGAAACTTCCACATATGCTCCATGTGTTAGTTGCAAAATGCTCAATTGAAAAGAGACACCTCTTCCTTTGAGACGTCTTGACATAAACAAAATATATCATTTACCATCTCAACAATGTGCCCTTCCACACCCAAGTACGGACCTGCTACAACCCGAACCATGTCGCCGACCAAAAACACGCGCTCGATATCCTGTAATCGAACCTCTATTTCCTTTCGGTGCCCATCTAAGCTCAGATCCAAGGTGGCAGAACCAGCAGGATGGTCAGTTGAGGCGACCTTCCTGATTTCTGAACTGAGATCTCCTTTGACGATCTTAGCCCAGTCACCTATGTGCAAGAACTGCATCGAAAATGCAACCACAGTGCTCTTGAGGAACGACTGGTCCCACCCGGATTGTAGATGAAGTTGTATGTCGTTAGCGTGAGGGCAGACAACATGTTCTAGGCGATCGCGATGGAAGTTGTGAAGCAGGAGGCCCTTATAATATATCTCTCCTTTGTACTTGCATCCTACAACTTCCTCACCGCGATTGATGTTGGAGACTGCATCCCCGTTCAGAAGGCGGGATTGGTCGAGTAATGACCGAGACCCCCGAGGCATGGGGTATGGGAAATCTCGTGGAGGAATCAAGACTGCAACCAAGTCATTTAGTAGATCAGAATCAAAGACTTGGGCTATGTCGCCCTTGTACTTTCCATGCTTGATCCTCACCCACACTGGGTTGGGAAGCTTGCTACAAGAACGCTCGACTATTTCACGTTCCTCGTCCGATATGAGGACATATTGCTTCATGGCAAGGTAGAGTGACGAAGTAAGTGAATCTGCAATGGTTCTGGGGCTGTCTGCCACCACGTAAAGCTGGCCAGGTATCCAAGCTGATACCTTGACGACAAAATTCTTCATCTGAAGATGTGCAGCGATATAATCCGTAACATTTCCTATCATTGATGAGTGAAGCACGACATGACATCAATAGAAAGACTTACATTAAGCATGAAGAAGATACATCCTCCCGTCCTGTAATCCAGCTGGACTTCTTGAATGGATCAAGTCGGATATCGAGGAGGGAATAGTTTGGCGATCTTGCGATGAACTAGGCTGTGTCGCCTCGAATCTATTTGTAATGTCATTGATGGCTGCAGCAAACCTAGCAACTGATGATGACCCTGGCAAGGATGTAACCTTTCAGGGCTCAGAGGGACCGTTGTGGTCACAGTTGTCATCATCATCCTCCTCCTCCTCCTCCTCCTCCTCCTCCTCCTCCTCCGCAGCCAGATCGAGGTAGGGGTTTTTTAACTATGGTAGCTGTTTAGCATACAAAAGTATTAGAATCATATTATTTTGGCTTACTTTGGCTATTCTACGTGAACTTTGAACGTGCGCACTAGATGATCGCCTGTCATTCATGCGAGGATCATTGGGAGCCGAAGAGGCCGGTTGTATGTGTTTCGCCTTCACAGCACGAAAGGCATCTCAAGATTCCTTCCAATCATTTGGAGAATATTGATCGCCGAGGTGCGATAGTAGGGCTTCTTCCATCTGAGCGTATGTCATGTCGGTGGTAAGGAACTGCTCCAAAATCGCCCATGCCCATTTATCCACTAGTGGTGTTTGATTCCCTGTGATATGCTCATGAATAACGATATGGGTAATATCATGTTGGTACTCACCGTCATCAATTCTGATGCACTTGGGGGTAAGTGCATCATCATTGGATGCAGCACGTTTGGACATGGTTTCTGTAGTCTGTAGAATATGGCTCAGCACTATGGTAAACGAACTTAAAGCATCACGCACTATATTCAATTGTTCACGCAAAGTCTTAAGTCTACGGTAGGTCGTGTCGAGGTAGTTGTAGCGGAAAGAAAACCATGAAGGTGCGAGATCAGTATTTATAGTGAATGACAAATTTGGAAGCTTAGCAAGTGTTATTGTGCAGATTGTGGATCATGGTGGACACAGCAAATTGTCTATTGTGCGAGAGGTTAATATTGTGGACCATAGCGTTGTTTTTTCATCCTAAGTATTGTTGAGGCCCACTCATAACACACACTACTACTAGTAATGTAATGTATCGGTGGATGGATATACACAATGACCACAACGCTACAAGTACTAACACTCTGTCGTACGGGAATCGGAAGAAAGTCCACTTGGAGAGACAGAAGGCATGATATACAGAATGACTTACAAATTGAAACTCAGTGGGCAATGCCGGTCCGGCAAAACTTTCCAGAGTGGGCGCAAAGTGGGCACTTCGGTAAAACTTCTGGCGGAGTTTTATTATGCAATTGTTCACTATATAGCTAGCATCTGTTTACAACTATGGGTTCCTTTTGGACTTTCATGTGTGCAAAGTGTTCGTTGTACTGTGTAGATTCTGTATATTTGTATAGGACTCTGTAGGACTGTAGAATTGGATGAAATTAGACTTAGTACAATCTGAATATCGATGAATGCATGCCTTCTTGCGCGTCTCTGTTAGACGCAAACTACCCCGCTTCCCGCTCAAAATTTGGATAGTAAGCACACACTTGACCTAAACATTGGAATAGGTAGCTCACGCCCTAACTTCAGATTACTGCTAAATACATCACTGAATCCCATGGTACATATTCATGAATCTATAATTGTTAATTTCCGAGAAGAATGACCGCATGTAGCGCATCTTCTTGGGGCTTTACAAGCTTGGCTTGTCCATGTCTGCCATTTGTTTCCGAGCTTCACGCTCAAGTTCTTCACCCCTCTGCGCCTCAATGTATTGTTCTACCAAGGAACGGATGTCAGTATTCGTTAGGTCATTCATTTGAGCCCCCAACTTTGAATACTGTCACCAGGCATTTTCCAGCAATGTGATCCCCTATGTTAGCCTAATTAACTGCATTCCGATAAGTTAGTGCATGTTTTGTATCACATAATATGACATACTATATTGCTGACATATGCTATTATCGCCATTGCGATAGCTAGCTGGACTATTCCCTGTATGAAATTCTTGATCGCTGACCCCAGAGAACGGTCGCTCAGCGATGTCGTACGTTTATGACACCCGATGGAGATGGTCGGTTCTGTGTCATTGGTGGACGTTGCTCCAAAAATCAGGCTGTGGTGTGTGCTATCATATGTCTTGCACTGTGTCAGACCCACATTCCATTAATTGATGAAATAACTCACCGTTACAGTTTGTACTCACCCCTTGTCTGCGTGTTGCAATACTTGCTTAAGGGTGCCTTCATTCTTGTCAAAAATATGAATAGTTCCTGTGTCACTGCCTCCGACAACAAGGGTAGCCTGCTCCTCAAAAACAACCTGTTTCGGGAATGTCTTCACTGGATTGGTATTATAGGTATGGATACACGCCCCATCTTCTAATCGGTGCAAGCTAAATCTGTTCATTACATTGTCAATTAGGAACAGTGTCTGAGGGGCGTCCACAACAGCATGCCCGCTTTGGTAAATCGGTAAGTATATTTTGACTTGCCTGATGATATCGCTCACATCATCGGCCCAGCCTTGTTTGTAGCGATGACAGTGCTGTCCAAGCCTCGAAGCGTATGTCTAAAATATCATTGGTTCTCTGCTGATGATGTATGGACGTGCACCTACATCTCGCCGTCATACATCCCGAATACCAACAAGTTTCTACCTGCTGTTCGATTGAAGTTGACAGTGCGCAGAACCGTGGTGGAGAGCTCAATGCTGAAGATTGGTATCAACGGTCCCTTGAAGTCGAATGTCCATACTTGAACCTGTCTGTCACGTGTTCCACTTGCAATACGACTGTCGTTGCCAGTATGATCATAGGTAAGGCACATTATCTCCTTACCCATTCCGATTCGCCTTGACACTTTTGCAGTGAAGTCTTCCAAGCCTTGTCCTTGCTGTTGCCAAATACATATGAAACCCAGTCCTGTGCCATAGCATAGCGTCTCGCACGTTGCTTCTTGATGGGTTATCCAGCATGTGCAAGTCACCGGATTGGCCGGATTTTGGATGGCTGGCATTTGACGTGGAGTTGGGAGTTGCACTCGTCATTTGAGGTCCCAGATCCTCATGCCGTCTGAGCCTGGTACTTGAGTGAGTGTGTATAATGTTATTCTGGATATTCAACTTACCCCTACTTGCCGACATATTTCCATTGTGAGAGACCGCTAGGCAATTGATTGCGTTCTTGTGCCCAATGAGGCGCCCTTCAAGGCGATATTCTTTGCAATCGTTGGATAGGAAAAGCATCGGTAGCTGTAAACGTTAAGATTTTGTGTGGTTGAACTATAAGGTGGTATATACAATAGAATATACAACAACACTATCTGCTTGGCAACCCGGGTGGGCGCTGGGTTTTCGATCTAGACCTGCATTGCCGTCATCAATTGGTTGACATTAAATATCATCTTCTCAGCTCTGTTCAGTTCCAAAGTCAGTCATGCTTCAATCCTCTACTCCTGTCATTCCTTTTTATGAGTCTGAAGGTCCTCCCCAGGCACTTCTGTTATTGACATATCACACGGAGATGTTTTGTCCTACATTATCGTTCGTCTTGATATCTCCCCAAGAAGAGATGATATTCTCTACTCTTCCGCTCAGAGTACTCACCCTAACTCCTTCCCGCATCTTCACGACCATGTCTCGTGCAACAACACCCATTTGTTCTCGCGCGTCTACTCCCAAAGTTACCAAATTAGTCTCTTTTTCGGAAGAGCAGTTCACACAGAACAGCGAGTCTGAGAAGGTGTCAACATATTCCTCATTGTCCTCTATAAGTTCCAAGGACTCCAAAATTCTCAAACCGGAGGGTGAGGCGGGGCGCCCTGGTCGTGGTGGGTACAACTTGGAAAAGGCGCTCAACTGGGATGTTGACCACTTCAAGGATCTCAAGGTGAGACTGCACTGGTTAATTTTGTTTTCCCTCATCCCCACTTGAAATTAGGAGTACATTCACCGGTCTATCAATAAACACTGTGACGTTGACAAGAGCAAGAAACTTCAAGCTGCAGCTGCATTGCAGGAGGTTCACAGAGAGGTATTTCTGCAGTTGCTATGGCAGCTTGATATTAATTTTTTTTCAAGGCTCTGAACCATTTTCCGGAACTGGCTGACTACCATGGGTGTTGGCCAGTAGGAGATATAATTCAGATGCAACTGAAAAACACTTCTGCTAAGGCACAACAAAACAGTTCTCGTAAATAGTGCGTCCTTCCGGAAAGAGTCAGGAAGCAGTAGTCAATCCTTTTGTAACAGAAGCAGCCAGAATGCTGTAGTTGATAAAGCAGTTAGGAAGCAGTAGTCAATGTAGTCCATGCATGATCGGGGGTTTCAATGTTTTACCTCTTCAATCAAAAGCAGATCTGGACCTGGCTAGACCATTCCAGACCTAGCCTATAGCGTTCCAGAGCACTCTGGATTACCTTTTGAATGTAATTTCACTGGCAGTGAAAGGTGGTATCATGATACAAGCGTGCACAATTAGGGACATTTTGTTCAGTTTGAATCTGATTGTAGTTGTACCTAAGGCTCCAGATCAGATTTGGCGACACAATCAGGTGAGTTGTCTTCAAATAAATTGCGGATTACAAAATAATTTGTTGCATCAAGATGTCCCATCTAATGTCCTTTTTTTCTTCGGATGATCCGGCCCCTGAAGTTGTTGAGTCGCACCCCCTCAACGAGCTTCATTCGCCCTCGACACATATGTACCCACCTCCACCTGCGAGTACTACATTGGCTACTGTAGATCATGATGACTGTCATCCCTCAGCGATAACTCACACATACCCACCGCAGCCAGCTATTTCCTCCAGCAAGGGGTGTGTAATGGAGTTAGATAATCCTTGGCAGTCTGTTCGTAGGACGAGAGATGACGATGAGCAGCAGGTGGGGAACATCCAATTTGCCTCCTTGTGTCAGCTAATGAATGCTTAGCTGAATAAAGTCTTTCTCAAAGAAATCGCTCAGTCATCTAAGCTGCGTGAAGATGTGCGCGAGCTACATTTCAGCAAACATGATCTTTTGCTCCGAAAATGCCATGTGCAGGTACATGTAATCTCACATCCCTCGCGATCATACTTAACTCGGTTCAGATCACCTCGAATGTCCGTGAATCGGATATGCAATTGGCCATTGCACAGTATCAGCAACAGAACCAATATCTTCAGCGTGACAATGCTAATGCCCTCGCTTCCTTGGACCAGAACCATCGTAAAGAAGTAGCAGAGCTCCAGGTAGGATGCTTTTGCCATCATATCAACATTCTGACTTGCATTGACAGAACAATATGGCACTTGGTCTTCATAAAGCCCAAACCAAAACCCGCGCCGAAATAGAACACTTATTGGCCGAGAAAGAGGCTCAATTTGACTGTAAAATGTGTTTGGCAAAAGATAGGTTTTTGGCCGACAATGAAGCTGAATTAGCCCACTTGGACGCCAAGTATAGTTCCAAGATCAATTCATTGGATGTGAGTATCGAATCACTGGTATGCGGGGTTCTTACGATTTCATAGAGTCAACTTCGACATGTCAACACTGCATCACCTGCGTCCACACCTGCCTGGCGGCATTTTGTGGGCAAAAAACCCATGGCTACATGTACCAATATAATTGGGTTTTTGCCAGTAAGTCGACAACTCAGATGCACATTATTTGCTGACACTGCACATCATAGATTCCTGATTCCAGCTCAGAATCTGACACAGACGAGGAACCTCAGACGGAAAGTCTTCCCCTGACTTCACTCTTAGGAGACGTCCCGATCGTGAATGCGACTGTCAGCATGCTTGCTGAGGTGCTCGCGAAGGTTCTTCAGACTCCTCAAATGACGTCTCCTCGAGGACCTCATTCAAGACGCAAACCACCTAAACCCCCTGTCGAAAGTTTCACTGATACCCAGCGCCAAGACAATAAGGTCCGTAATCACTTAAAGCAAATCGCTCTGCTCACAGAAACATCAGGCAAATGTTCGAGAGTTGTTCAGAACTGCATTCCATGCCACAAAAGACGAAGAGTATATGCTTCATGTGTCGGTGTCACGTGAAGCTATATTGTCTTTTGCACATGGAATGGGCCCAGGCCCTGACCCACTTGCAATGCAATGGGATATGGCGACCACACACAACTCCGAGTGGAATCAAAAAGTTATTGATTTACTCTGTTCCCAGTATGCAACTTCACAGGAGACCAACCGATGGGCTAGACGATCTTCTCAATCAATTAGAGATGACATTACACTGAAATTCAGCCAATGCCACAAGTGTTGGCGAAAGGCTCAGCCTCTCACACTTAGCGATGGTACTTGCGAGACCATGCAACAAGTGGGAGATCAACTCGTGGATCAGACGAATGAGCGACTGCGGCTCGCTAGGGTCCTCACTCGCAGGGCGACGGTCAGTTACCTTGTTTCTTTCAGAGTTGAAGCATATTGAGCTACTCACTAGAAGTTCGAAACTCGAAAAAAAAGTGACGTCGACGCTGCTAAGTGATAGGAATGCGACAGGAAAGGATGATCAGGCTGTGTGGGCGTATCTTCAATCTATCATGGAGAATCTTGGCAAAGATGGCATGAGCTCTGACGAGAGTGAGCACGAAGATAGAGACATTCAGGTCTTTCGTCAGAAGAGTATGCCATGGAGAGCAGATTTCAGTCAGGAGATGCAGATTATTGACCAACAGCATTTAATGGGTGCCACAATTTTCACTCCTCACGGAAGTAAGCCCACAAAGCGTCTTCATAACATTAACCGGGAGTCTTCTCGCATCCCAATCGAAGGCCTGCCAAGAGCATTCTATAATGCTTCCTGGTTGACTGACCAACGTCCCTCATTCACAGTATCTAAGAAGAAGTTTCAGAGGATGGAGATTATCGTTGCCCGCCAGTAATCTTTCAAATTGATAAATGAGGTGTCATTTGTATGATAGAGTAACACAGACAATGTGCCACATATGAACTACTGCAGTGTTGTCCGGCGACCTCTACTGAACTGCGGGTGGTTCCCTCCCAGAGCATATGCCAGTGAAACTATATGTGCAGACCAACAATTGTGAACACAGGAGGCATTATCTAACAGGCAGGGTCTTACAGTGTCCGTTGTGTAAGTGGTCACCACCATTGGTTTTTGGTACTAACTAGCGACTCTACAGGGTGTATGTACATTCAAATTTTGGTCCGTAGTTGAACATTCTTATGCAGTTGGATACTCCCCTGGCATTCCAGCAGGCGAATGTAATAATGCACCCGACCTATGGATTACTTGCAATGGTTCTGGAACTGTTCTAAATGAGAATAGTCCGTGTGGTTCTGATTGTGCACTGAGGACTGTTCCAAGGGAAAACAATCCATGTCTCATGCCGTTAAAAATGCATCGTGCTGTAGGTGGAATTAAACTGTCGTTATCTGTATCTGTTGCAAGCTTCTAATGAATTCCATCAGTAGAGGTTATTGCGAAACCAAGCAACCATCTTATGTGTCTGTCATCATCTTTTGCTGAGTTCTCGGTGTAAGACCTATGGTCTTTGCAGCCTCGTATAGGCCTTTTTGTGTTGTCCCTCTGGTTCTAATTGCAGTACGCGCTACCATTGGTATAGCGCGCATGTCTTATATCGTCGGCCGACAGCCGCGGCTTGCGCGCGCGCTTCGGCTAGCATCGGCTTCTCTTCGGATTCATCGCACGTCCTCCGTCCATCCTATCCATATCCTCCGCTGGTTCATTGGTGCGTATATTACTTGATTCCCACTAGACTAACAACATTTCCCAAGCTATTCCATTTATATTCTCATTAAATGTGTCATGGACCCTACTTACATACATCTCGCTACCTACTCAGCTCCGAATATCGCTTATGCGCACATACATATATCAGATACTTAGGATTTTCATGTACCTTCTCTCTCCCATCAGAATTTATCACCTGTTTACACGCAAAAGTTATAAGCCTTGACTAAAAGTCTAAAATCTTCGGCACTCTCTCGTGCGCGCACCCCTATCGGCAGCAATTGCCTTGTGCTCATGTATCTATAATATTGAATACTCTCGGCACTCATCATCGCTCGGTCCACCCTCGCGCCTTCAGTACCTCCTCGCAACTCACCTTTGACTAAACCGCGCGTTTTCGCGTTTTGTCACATCGCGGCTGCTTGCACTCGCATCGCATTGCATCGGCTCGCGTCTTATTGGCGCTTCGCCTAAGTGCATATCGCCTTGCATTTTCGGCGGCTCGCTCATGCTTGCATCACATCGGCTTTGGCTCTCGGCTTTTGCGTATTCCTTTAGTCTCAGTTACCCTTATTAGTTTCTATGTTTCCCCTCACATTTTTACTTAGAGGAATCATTCTCAGTAGCAATCCCCTCGGGCCAAATCTATACTTGCATCCAGAGGTCTATTTGAGTTTTTTTACCCCACTTCTCCCTTTCTTCCCATTTCACCCCTTCTCATCTAGCTATCATTCCTCGCACACATCGGCCTTTGAGACATGCCTGCGCATAATCTCATCCACCTCTATGCCCAATACTGCCCCCTCAAGTGCTGCATAGATCCTCTCACGTAAAAGGTCAGTAGTAGGATGGTCCCCTTCACATTTGCGATCAATACACTTGTTTACCACTTTCTCTAGGCTGTGAACGAGTTTTCTTTGATCTGGAGACAGGCGCCCCATATGATGACTGATGTGGCTGACATCAGAGGCTATGAAGTTCGCCATCAAGAATGTGGGTCTATTCTTTGAAAACTGTGAGGTCAGTCTTGGAGTTGGGCTACATAACAATCTTACGAACCTCATTTTCTGTGAGGTCAATGTTTGGCATTCGAATGTCTTGCAGACTTCCTCTTGTCCCCTCGAGTGTATGAGATTCATCGACCAACATAGCGGATCCCATCCACTCGAGCTATGAATATTGAATTCAGCTATTGCTGGCCACCACCTCGACATCTTTACTTACAGTATTATCTAGTGCGACCTGCGCGACCTCCTCGTCAAAATACAAAGCAAGTGTTCTCTTCAGAGGTGCGATGATGGGTGCAATACTTTCATTGTTTGAAGTGTAGTGCCGTGTGTATGGATTGAAGTGTATGCTAAGGCCTGCAGTCGCTTTGTTGCGAGGTGATGTGCACGGCATGAATGAATTGCAATTCAGCCAACCTGCGACATGTAATCTTTAAATCAGGCCACTTGATGTTGCGTCTAGACTTCATCCAAAAGCTGTATTTGGTATCTTGTCTCCCAGTTGATGCTGCATCTAGACTTCATCCAAAGTTGCATTTGGTATCTTGTCTCCCAGTTACCCATGCTCGCTTCCGTGAGTGCTGCCGTATCTTCTGGGTATATCAGACAAACAATAAGTTCTCCTCATCCAGAACAAACAATAAGTCCCTGGCACCATAACTTCGCTCGACTTGAAGCAAGGTCATCTCTAATTGTACATTTCTCCCACCTTTGCGATGGGAAATTCGGAGAGTTACCTCTCTAGTCCAAAACGTGTTTTTTGTTATGTGCACCTCATATATATGTGACCTGCATTTTTCGTGACTTACATTCTTCAATGCAGTCGCAGGACTTCGTGTCAAAGACCGACATCCCTGGCAGTCTAGGACCTTTGAAGGTGAGATCTTTCATATGCAAATCGGGTTTGAGTTAACTCCTATTTCACAGGACAAGAATGCTCCAACACTTGAAAGCAAGGGACCATCCCTGAAGCGTAAACTCGACTTTGGTGACCTGGTCACCCCTAGAAAGCGACGTATTCTGGAATCGTATTCCACAGGCGATATATGTCAAGTTGCTACTGTATATTCTGATGCTACAGTATGTTCTATTTTCAAATATTTGTATCAGCGTTGACGAAGCTATAGCCAAAGATAAATCGCCACAATACTGATTTAACCAGCCCTACAACGAAGTGTTTGTTCAGAGAGGCAGTATGGAATCACTCTTATATACAATCGTCTTTACTGATTTTAGACTGTAGTCTGACATTTTCTTGAAGCATAAAGTGGATGCTCAACTAGATCCCTTTGCGCTCAAACATGTGATATCTCATGAGCCATGCAAGACTAAAACATTCATTTGGTCCCTACCTGTGGAAATTCTCATCACCGTCGCCCTTCTAGGAGCGCAAGATCTGCGCTCTGTCACTCAAGTTTCCTCTCTGTTGAGAGAAATCGCTGCTCCGCTCTTCTTCCTCGACAGAAACTTCCCAACTTCCCTGAAGGATCTGTTTCACATTCGTGTAGACTCACCGAATTTCGACGTTTTGACTACTTGGAGATGAATGGATACTTTTTGTCCGCCATGTATGGTGTTGGGTTGGCTGGAACATAATCTGCGATCCTCACAGCTATCCGCATTTTCGCACTTCCTTGAGTCAGTCCCCCGCAAATCGATACAATATATCACACTTTTTTGGAATTTTGACATTCTCACTTCCCCAGTTCTCTCTCAAATTGTTACATTACTAGAAACTATCCATGCCTCCGGTGTCGAAGAACTGACATGCATGGGTTTCTGCGATGGCACTGTCTCATTGTCCGTCACTGGCCTCACTCGAATTCGGGCGTGTGTAGGTGCAAACAACCTGAAAGCCTTTGAGGCATTTTCACGGGTATTCTTTTCCCCAAAGCTCCTTCCTTTTACAATTCAGACCATCCGCCTTTCCTGCTGTTTGGAAAAGCTTCAACTGAGTTCGGTCAAGCTCAGTTCTGCACACTGGGACAAACTCCTGTGCCACCTTTCGATCCCAACGCTTGTCGAACTCCATGTTGATGCTGAGTGCGCACCACCCACGCTCATTCGTTTTCTGGCCCATCATCCTGCTATCAGTAACCTCAGTGTCATCCCGTGACCTGGTGGTCACTGGAGGGCCAATCGAGTCACCACTCCTTTGACTCTTTCTCTGTCTATGCTGGATGGACCCTTGTCACATCTCCTTCCAGTCCTTCGGAGCCATCGTGCACCACAAAACTTTGCCTCCCTTTATATTCCCTTACAAGCTCACGATGCATCGCCTGATTACATCACCTCCATTTTACAATGTATTAGCCATTGTGACAGCATCGGATATCTTGTACTTTCCTTGCCTAATAGTCATTCTAGTGCAGCAATGTTGTATTTGTCGGGAGTCCATTCGACGGTCCGCATCAAACACTTGACAATTGACTACTCGGATGGTTCGGTCCCCAGTGCTGCAGGTGATACATTGGTGTGTGTTATTGTTGCAACACTTTTTTCAATACTGATCGTGGCTACAGGCCTTATCTGCGGCTTGGATTCAAGCCCTTCCTCAAGTCAAGCGTGTTACTTTGCAAGGTTACTCAGCTACTGCTGCTGGGGATCTTGTCGAGATGATGCGTAACTTTGCTGCAGGCGATGTTGAACTGGTTGTGAATCTGCAGGTCGCAGCAATTTAAAATTCCTTATCATTAATCATCCCTCATTACTCCAATGTACTGGATGATAGCTTAGATTTGTTGTATCACACTTGTAATACGGCGGGTGCTGAGCGCCAAATTCCGGCGGAGTTTGATTATGTAGTCATTCAGTATATAGATGCGTCCTTCAATTAGCAACTGGTTTTCTTTCTGATTTCAATGTATCATACTGTTGTACTGTTGTAACTTTGTTGTTAGTCATAGTGTAATTTATGATTATGAGTAGAAGTTAGCGCAAAAGTTGGGCTTCCAACTCATATGAATACAAAATACAAGAAGTCCGTTTGAATGGTCAGTGCCAAGTACATCGCGTCCTCAGAAATTATAATTTACACCCATGTTGTAGATTTGGCACCCTATATCTTTGTCTTATAGATTCAGGGTCCTTGTAATTTGGCATCGCCCTTAACAACATGGGATTCAGATGTTTTACGTTACCCGACACTTTAAATGATCAAAATCTTGTTTTGTACTTTTTTTCACCCTTACTTTTATCTCTCAAAGGTCAGGACAACAGCTAGTGTGTATCATCTAAAGACTGAAGTTTATTTAAATGCCTAGTCGCATGTTTCTTTGCAAGTGTGCGCAATGCTGCGACATTGGAGGGGACGGCGTGCCTGGGAATCCTGGTGGTAAAGAAGTGCCTACTGCTATGAAAACCGTGCATTTATTGCAAGCTGCCAACTCGACTTCGTCGTCTGAACGTGAAGCATCCATGCTTAGGGTACTGCATGGGTATGGGCAACCCACGTGGGTCGTGGGTGTGGGTACCCCTGGGGTGTGGGTGTGGGTCTGGACTTGGGGTACCCACACCCATACCCACACCCACGGCATGGGTATATTACCAAAATAAGGATGGCACAGCACTCTGACATCACTCAAACCTAAAACTCTAAATATACCAAATAGAACTATCATTTCTTCTACAAACCTTAATACTCAAAACAGATACAAAAATCTACAAGACGAAAATCTGTACAAACTCATCACAGCATGCAACCAAATTTCTTCTCAACAGCTGCAAGGTGTGTCACAAAACTCACAGACAAAGCCAAAGCTGCCCTTAATGACAAGTTAGTCAAGCTGTCAAAAAAGCGAAAAGTTGATGGTAGCAGTGTGGGGAGCACACAACCCAAGAAGGCAAAGCCAAGCCAGATACCTGGTAAGCTACCTGTTAGTATTACGAGCAGCCTCCAATAAAATAACATACCATTTAAAGATGCACAGCCAGTGATCACGATGGTCCCCCAGAGCCACCGGGCTACAGTCTGAACCGAGGAGGAAGAGGAAGCATTACACATGCACGATGATCCAATCACCATTAGCTCAGATGATGAGGCCAACAATGACGGAGATATGAGTGGCGCTAACGAAGAGCAGAGTGCCGAAGACGAGTTGAGTGAGTGCCAATGTCTTAAAAGATGGCATACAAATTGAAATGAGAAACAGAATCTTTAATGAAAGAATGGACATCACCTATTTATGCCCTCTTTGGCCCTATCCCAGTCATTCAAGAAGTTGACAAATGTTGTGTGCATGTGTTTAAATGTTCGGCTAAAGGGTGTAAGGTCACGATTCGCCATTTCCTCAATAAGAAGGACGCTCGTTCCACTGGCAACATGCGAAAGCATGCTAAGTCTTGCTGGGGTGAGGAAGTTTTGCAGGCAGCCGATGATGCAAAAAGTGCTGCGGAAGTTCGGGCGACAATCGTTGCAAGTGTCCTGCGAGATGGATCAATTACATCTGCCTTTGAGCGAAAGGGCAAGGGAAAGGTAACATACTCGCACCGTCAACATACACGCACGGAATCCAAGTAAGAGAATTTGCACATGATACGGTCCACCCGCTAACGTTCCAAGGGCTGAAATCGTGAAATGGGTCTCTGAAAGTCTGAGGCCATACAACATTGTCAGAGACCGTGGATTTCAGTGCCTAATGAAGACAGGCAGACCCGAAATTTACATACCTTCGCCTTCGACCATTTCACGTGATGTCCGTCTCGTATTTGCTCGAACACGTACAAGGATTGCTAAAATGTTCAAGGTCAGTTGAGTTTTTGAGGCCGGAAACACGAACTAATTCAACTAACTAGGAATACAAGGGAAGACTTAACTTTACGACTGACGCGTTGTAGAGATACAACAATTGGTGGGCACTACACAAAGTAAGTAGCCAGCAATATAAAAATGTTGTGGTCGTGCACAGCCTAGTCTGCTTATACTTGCAAGACAAGTGCATTCGACCCAAGGGGTTTGCTGTATGGTATTAGAATAATCAGTGGTAACAAAAGGAAGATAGTCCGAAGCACGGGAAACAAAGTCCGAAGGTATAATTACGAGTCCGATGTCAAAAATGTCGGGTCCGATGTTTTCGGGTTTCGGGTTAGTGGGTTTGCCTTGGGTTGCGTCGGGTTAGCATCGGGTTTGCGTCGGGAATATAGCGAATGTCGGGGATAGCGAATGGCGGGTTACTGTCAGATGTTTCGGATAAAGAAGGGATGATATTGCGGAATCCAACTAAGAACTACAAATATCGAATGACCTCCTCCTACTCGGAGGTAGAAAGGTGAGTAAATAGGTAGGAGGTATGCGAAATATATAGTATCTATGTAGAATTTCGGAGTGCTATAGGCGAAAGTAGTAGTGCTGATTTTCAGGTCCGATGTCCTATGTAATAAGACACGATGTACTGCAGACATGTAATAATGCGTTCTACAATGTTAGCGACATGAAAATGAATAACTGCGCACCTAGTGGGGATAGATACGACAGGACAAGACATAGGGAGGACAAATGCGTGGGAAAATATCGGGTCCGATGCGTGGGAAACGTCGGGTCCGTCGGATTAGCGTCGGGTTTAGCGGATAAACATCGGATTGAGCGGGTTAGCATCGGATTGAGCAGATGAGTGTCGGATAACATCGGGAAGTGATTCAGATGTTTGACATGTATCAGGAAATAGCTGGATATGAGCCTAGCGCGAGCTCGAGTGCTACAGCGAGACATACTTTGTCAGGAATGTTGCGTGGATCGCCACAAGTGTTTGCCACTGCATGTTATTAACATCAGTACAGTAATTTAGGTGATAGTGGGCTCAACTGATTGGTCTTGCCCAACAGAAATGGAATGGTCAATATTTTGAACGTACATCATTGAAAGACATCGGCTTGCGTGTGCAGTTAGGACACTCGGATATGACATGTGCATGTCCTGTGCGCGGACATACTGACTTTCTTGTTTTGCATGTCAATGGAATTCACCGAGTGAATGTTGACTTTTGTGGATGTGACCGATGAGTTTCTCACCGCCAACAACTCTTGCGTTGCGATTGGTTTCCCTCGACAGTCCATCAGCCTCAAACAGCATGCACCCGTCAAGTTCTTGAACACTTCTTGCTGCTTACATGGTCTAGTAAAGTCTCCGCTTTCGAGTACTACCAGACTTTAGAGCGTCTCACAGACAACACCGGTATCTCTGTTCCAAAGGTGAGCGGTCATTCATCTTTGGATAGTCAAATACTAAACTTTCGTATAGAGCCGCTATTCAGCATTCATGCGTATGATCCGGGAATATCGCCACATTTTACTCTTGAAGCGAGCTGGGTGAGGTCATGTAGAAAATGGAATTGCCAGTTTACAACCAGGCGATCTCGCATTACATTGTCCTGCATGTCCGCAACCTGGAATAAACCTACCAAGAGGTTGGGAGACCGTAGATGCCTCTCTGAAGTGCGTGTTTTTTCTTCTTTAGAGTGCATAATAGTAATACCTCGCTTTCATAGGTTCCTTTACTACTTAATCATTGCTATGGATGCCAACTTTTGTCTCAAGAACAGAACTCAATCGTCGGATTCAGTGGACCCTGGCATGCATACCGGTCTTGCATATTTTGTTGCAAATAAGCCTTACAGTGCTCATGTGTTGAAATTCGCCTCCCAGAAAGATGTATGTTTACATTGATTTCATGTGCTATATGGTTCCTCTAACTCTGACACATGCAGATTAGTACGTGCAGTGGTTTTAGTACTCTGGCACATGCCGAGTCAAAGTTCTCGAATGGACTACGGGCTACAGGTGTCAGGCTCTGCCTATGTGCACGCCATGAATTTGTGCGTCCCAAAGGGGTGGGTGATCTGCAAAAGGGCGAATGGTGAGGTTTTAATTGACTCGTGTGTTCTGTTTATTTACGTGCAACTAGGTACTGCAACATGGATTTTTTTTTTTTCAGCTATCATCCCCCTTCTTCTTTTAAATGTCGTCATCTCCTACAATGTTGCCTGCCAGTGGAAAATCAACCTCTTTGAGAGAATGGACTGGCTTCCTGAGAATATGCGTATCCCTGTCGCATTCGCAACAACGGCGTTCAGGTTTGCAATTCCAAAGTTTCACGCCAGCGCCCATGAGGATAGCTGTGCTATCCTGCATTCACTCAACCTCATGCCAGGAGTAGGTCGAACAGATGGAGAAGGCATTGAACGAAATTGGGTGGAGATAAACCGGGTTGCAAATAGTACCAAGGAAATCGGACCAGGTGCACAACATGATACCCTGGATGACCATTTTGGTCATCATAATTGGCGTAAATTTGTTGGCCTCGGTGAGCCTTTAGTAGTGCTGTATTATTGGGTCGAATACTGATATAATCTTACCAGGTCTCTCATTACAAAAGAAACTCATAACTGCGGTCAAGGAGTGTGATCGCCAGCAGGCTGCCTTTCAAGAGTTCAATCTCGCAGTTGGGACGTCATATGAGAATGAGTGGACTGCAATGGTCGAGAACTGGGAGGTGGACAAGACACAGGAAAACCCATTCATAAACAGAGAACGTGGTGCGCTCCTTCATTTCTTTTTAATGATTGTGCATTTAAATTGTTTAGGTATATCTGAGGCTGATGTACACGCCCAATTCACTGAGCAAGAGAAGGCTGCTGCTATCGAAGGACAATTTCACCGTCACGACATGTCCCCGAGTGTATTTGTTACATGGGGTATATCATTAGAGGACTCACAGTATGTATATCTATGTCCTCGAATGACATATTTTTGACTCTTGAATTTTGTAGGAGACATTTGCGCTTTGATGTAACTGATGGGACGATGTCATCACACCAGCAAACAGAGTTACAATGGCGCCGGACTTCACTTCTTAAACAAATCCATTGTTTTCAGTCCGTTCAGGCTCTGTACATGGTCAATCTAGAGAATCTGCTTGAGCAAAACGACAGCGGCTCTTTTGTAGAAGCCGAAAATACTATCCTCTGGTTGCCATCAAGCATTGACACTTCGATTTGGACGTCAACTTGCCGCGATAATATTATCTGCATCGAAGAGGAACTTCGCAACACTCAATGCCACGACTGTCTCAATAAACTCCGAAATGTCCTGCGTGCCAGGGTTCATCTCATCAAACACAGAAATAGGAACACCCGTGGTCAAAGGGCCAATACCCGTGCAGCATCAGTCATTAGTCGCTTGGATGCCAAGATCAAGATTATAGCCAAGAAGTATCACACCGCTCATAGGTGCTTGATTGCATTACGAGGGCCGGTGTAGAGACTAATATCTCTGTGGGCTTGCAGGGATCTTAATTCCCAATGTCTCATCCACTTCCTAATATAGCGCGACTCATATCTCACTTAGCGCGCTCAAGTGCTTCATCGGCCGCTCACGTGCACCAGCGCTTAGGTCACGCATCGGTCGCGCATCGGCATGCGCATCCTCGGTTCTGTCGCTCGTCCTCTGTCCATCCATTCCATGTCCGTTCAGTTCGTCGGTGCGTATTCCTATCTTATTTCCATTTATTCTGACATATCTCCGGCGCTTATGGCCATATCTCGTATGTTTTCTGTCATGGACCCTTACATTACATATTATTCCGTATCCGCTTCGCTTCTCGGTTCGCTTTAGCGCTTGACAGTGCTTAACATTCCTTAGTATATATACACGCGCTTAAACTGTATAATGACTATCTTTCTGCCTGCACATCATTGGACTCTAAGCCTAAGTTCTCGGTTGTATCTACCAACCAAATATTGAAAGTATCTAAGTACAATACGAGCACCCGCCGCTGTACATTACTAGAAACTCTGTCAGTTTGTTTGCCAACTCATTAAAGAGTCGCTCCACTCCACCACCTGCATGCGTGCACTGCCTCCGCTCAGCGCGCGTTACCGTTATCGTCGCTCATCGTCGCTTACCATCACTCATTGTCGCTCGTCGTCGCTTCTGCTCGCTCGTGCTTCGCTCATCGTCGTGCGCCTTACCAGGCTTGACCAAGCGCCCGGTCCAGTGTTTCCCTCCACATATATACTTAGAGGAACCTTCTCAGTAGCAATCCCCTTGGGTCGACGTATATCTTGCTCATCGAGGACTACTTGAGTACATCTCACACCACCCATTCTTCCACACTACACATTCCTCATCTACACCGGGTTCATGGGAGGGTGCACTCCGGCCCCTTGAGGCCCACAATATTCGGGGACCAAGTGAGGATATCGGATCAATAGAGGATCCCTCTGATGTTGTTGGAGCAAATGGACGCAAACGGACCAAGAAGCAGCAGGCTGCCGCCAACAGATGTTTCAGACAAGGCGTCATGCAGGTTTCATGGATTTGGACTTCAGTTGGCATTTTAGGGGACGACAATGATGTTGGTTTGAATGACGGTGAGTGTTTTCTAAAAAAATATTCAACTATTTCTCGTTATTTAATTCATTTGACCGTGACAGCACTCCACGTGGAATGGGTAAAAGCACGTGCACATGCCCTACGCTGGAATGAGGAGGTTTTACTCCTGAAGGAAGAGATGCGGCACACACGTACTTATATTGAGTGGAAAGCCGGGTGGTGAGAGACTCACGCGGAATTTGTGGTGGACAACAGCCTACTATCGGAAGGTATTGCAGTGTATGCTTTTTGCCAAGCAGCACTGCACCGTAAGCTTTCCATTTCATTTATGCGGCTCTGGTCTGCTTCGCCGACAACAAACCAGGTTCCGGCTTCCCAGTCAATTATTGAAGATGACGAGGACGTGGTTATTGATGATGAGACCTACGAGGATGACGCAGAGGATGACATGGAGGATTGAAATTTTTGGAGACCGAATTTAGATATGTTGTGCTTGAATAGGATTTGTTGCCTGCTCCTGATACGAAATTTCTGAGACCAAATATTGATATGTTGTGCTCAAATAGGATTTTCTATTTTGACAACAAACCCTAATTTCGGGTTGTATTTAAAGTATATTTAAAGTGTATAACGAGTAAAGCAGAATATAAAGCAATGTCAAGCTGTGATACACCTTGACTAAGCTACCCAATATGGGTGGTTGTATGAGCCATAGAAATGGGCATTGGCCTTGGTGGTAGTAACCAAGTGTCATGAAAACTCAAGAAATGGCTGTTACCATATAACAAGGGCAAATACTACAACAAGGGGTGGAGCAGGAGCCAGCAGAGAATCATCCAGCTGGACATGACGACATCCATTTGATGCGTGATCACATTGCCAAAGCGATGTGGGTGGATTATCAGCGCATTTTGCAGGAGAGAGGAGATGATAACGACAATCTATCAGACCAAGGTATTGCAGAGGAGGATGAGGACGGACTGGACTAGTACTAGTATGTACTTGTACTTTACAATGTTTTTTTTAACCACAACCATCTACTCTTGATCTGTTCCCGGTCTTGCAAGTTCCTTCTCACTCTCATACATTGTTCCCGGTCCTGCAAGTTCCTTCTCACTCTCATACTCACGCTCAATCGCACCTATACATTGTTCCCGGTCCCGCAAGTTCCTTCTCACTCTCATACTCACACTCAATCGCATCCATGTACTCATCATGATGTCATATGGGATGTACAATACAGATACTACATGTTGATATGAAAATGTAATGAGAAGTGATACAAATGGTATAATAGTTCTATGTAGACACGAGGAGCCCAGAGATAAATACGCGGCACATCTCAAAGTCATCCTCCAGCTCGACATAAGCGGCAAGATTGTTCTCCCCTCCTGCACGGGTAAATATCCGCAGGAGGGTGGCTCTCTGTTCAGCTCCCAGATCCACATCTGCGCTGTGCATGATTGCGAGACCGCGGGAGATCATGGTGGGTGGAGCAGGAGGAACTGGTGGCACCACCTCAAGCGGATGGACTAAGCTCTTTTCAATAGCGTCAGTGAGGTGATTGATACTACCTTGCATGTTCATGATGGCAGCTGCTGGAGTTATCTTCGCAGCGACTCTGGCAGCACTGCTCATCCCTGTATGTGTGCTGCCATGTGCCGACACTCGAGCCTTCTTAAAGACCTGAGTGGAGGGCACCAATGTCATTGAAAGCGGGAGAGTTAACGACTGGGGAGTAGCGGGATGGGTAGATATGGGGGCGCCACTGGAATGGAGAGACAATGTCTCCAGGGAGTCGAGTAGAGTGTTGGTGCACAGGCATTTACTGGACTGGGAGCCAGTAGTAGTAGCGGAGGCTCTGATGCTGAGCGGCATCATCAGGTCAGTGCTCATGTCTGGCACACCGGGGTCCACATCCATGTCGAGAAGGTTAAGGCCCCCGTCAGCGTCATCGAGCACATCATCTATACTGATGGAGGCGGGGGCTGTAGTAGCAGGGTGGAATGCATGCCTTCCATGAGCACCACTGTTTTTGCCTAAGATGGCCTGCATGTTGTCATATGGGGGCCACCCTTTGTTGCGCAAGGGGTGCATTGCAATTCGTGACTAGCTCAATGTTAGTCAATGTTGCGCAATATATTTAATAATGACATACCTTTGCCACAACATATGTATCCCAAATGCTTGCAGCAGCAGTGCCCTCAATTCCAGCTCCCTGCACATTGTCCCAATGGAAGCCAGACATGTTGCAGTAAACCTCGATTTGATTGAATGTTCTTTTGAGCTAAACCAATCTCGTCAATTCATGGTCAATCAATATAAGATAACATAACGAGGTCCACTTCGTCTTGACCATCTTGCCCGTATTTGGTAGGCCTATTGTTTGAATCGCACCATCAGCATTGATAGCAGCTGCTGCACTGTTGTAGGTAGGCATTGAGAAATTTCTGCCATCACCACCTGATGCCCGATTCTCAATCAGGTGGTGAAGCAGGACATCCACCTCTGCGTCTTGCCAATGTGCCTTTGAGCTGTCAGTCTGCTGTGTGACCTCTGGCTGAGCCATGAGAACTGTCATAAAACTAGCACAGCTAGCAGCAAGTGCGATAACGCTAGTATGAAGTCTTTGTCATTGATGACAATCAATAAGATAGGGATTCATGGTAGATGTACAGGTAGGAAATGTAAGGTTAGAAGTCCGACGTCTGGGACGCTTCAAGCCGAGAAGCCTCACCTAACATTTGCCAAACCTCGGTCAACATCTTGTTGCTGAACTGGCTCTAACACATGTGATCTATAGAAGGCTTGCCAAATATTAGGTCTGCACCGGATGTCTCGTCCGTCTTGTTTGCCTAACACTGCTAGTAGTTGTTTGTCCACCACGTGTAGTCTACTTGCAGTCCAACCCCATGATGAATTGATCATGCTAGCGAGCTTGCCAACCACACTAGTGCTCATCATGATCAACGCTATTTTAGTAGTATTGTGCCGTCTTCTTACTGGCAGCTGTAACACTCTGCCTTTAATTATAAACATGCTGGGTAAATATTCTATCAGACACTGCCCGTGACTAGTTGACTGATCAATGCTGATGAGCTAATTTAGGTATTACTTAGGCATCAGAGTGAGAAAAATGAGAACAAGTAAGTGCGAGTGCACAGCCTAGTACTATGTCCATTGATATAGATAGCGCAAGAGTAAGCTGGCGACTTGCCTGTAAGTATGGACTCGGATGCAACAACACATACTAGTAACAACTCCCGAACTCGGCTCTGGATTGTTGCTCTCTGCATTTTTATGAAGATTAGCATGATACTTTTCTTCTGCAGTATTCAAGTCGGTGAAAAAACGAACAAAGTCTATTGTGAGCGAGCCTGCAGCCAAAATGTGAATCATGCATTGATTTTCCACCGCAGTGTTTGCTGGCAACGATTTTCCTCGACTGTTACCCCTAGCACAGGCTGATCCAGTCCTGATGGCCTTTGAGGATTCGGTACATTATCAGATAAACACTGAAGATGGGAGGGTGGAGTGGTCCAGCCTAACACCGGGTAATGGACTTGTTTATTTGGGGGAGCAGCCTGGTCGCCCATTCTCGATCTCAATGTTCCACCAATTGCATTGCCTCGATATTATACAAGAGGATATTGTTGGAGCAGACAGCAATGCGGCTCTGAGCTGTCACTGCCTCAACTACTTACATCAGATGATAATGTGTCGCAGTGATGCTCAGCTGGAAAACATACTATTGACAAGCAAGGAAGATTCATTACAACCATTTTTTGTGCGACCTGGGACATATGTGTGTAATAATTGGAATTCTGTATTGGAGGAAGTGAAGAAGAACCAGGCTGGAGCTGAGCACTGAGCTTATATTGTGATAGCACATAGTATGAGTAAGACTCCAAACTCAACGTACATAGAATTTGAAGACTTTGTAGGCGCTCCTGTACAGTTGTGTAAGTAGTGAGAACAAGAAAAATGTCCACTTGGAGGCAAGCAGATAGTTTTTTGGGGTGGAAGGCCCGAAGGGGCAACCCGGCCCAGATAGTGATCTTGACCTGTGCAAAGGTGAGCCGAGGTGAGCTGCGATTCCCACATTAGTAGGAGTGAATGCGACGCAGTGAAGTGAACCTCAGATCCCCAGATTGTAGGGGCCGCAAGGTGACACATCAAAGTGGGGATGACATCAGGAAATCACCGAGACTTAGGTTTTTCTAGTTGTATGTGGTCAGCGCAACCAAACATGGCATGTGAGGATCAACCTTGTTAGTTCTTGACAATGCAGTAGCACTTAGATAGTCAATGCCCATGGGTTAGAATATGACTGCAATATTGATGGCCCTTGATACCCTCTTGCCATCACAGACCTCCTGGGCAATGTTCTGGCCTGGTGCTGCCTTTTTTCACCTTTAGTTATCTGGGTGCTCACTTTTTGGTGAAGACCTGACCATGCAGTAGCACTTAGGTTTCCAATGCCCATGGGTTAGAATTTGACTGCAATATTGACGACCCTTGATACCCTCCCTGCCATCACAGACCTCCTGGGCAATGTTCTGGCCTGGTGCTGCCTTTTTTCACCTTTAGTTATCTGGATGCTCACTTTTTGGCGAAGACCTGACCATGCTGTAGCACCTAGGTATCCACTGCCCATGGGTTAGAATATGGCTGCAATATTGATGACCCTTGATACCCTCCTGCCATCACAGACCTCCTGGGCAATGTTCTGGCTTGGGGCTATCATCTAGTCATCTCCTCTGATCTGGCGCTCTCTTTTGGTCATGGCCTTGGAAAACTTGGCCATGCAGTAGCACATAGATATCTCTATCTCGGCTTTGAACAATGGTCAATTATATACATAGCCTACCCTAACTTGAATCATAGCATCCAATATTCATGTCTTGTAAGTAGAAAAGTAACCATGCATGATGAAGGTCCCTTCCAAGCTGCATCTGACACCAACACCATGTACTCACTGTTGGCACATGGTCAAGCGAGGAGAAGACAGCAAGGACTGAGAAAGTAAAGATGACATGAAGGATGCCAGCAGGGCATGGGTTAGAGTGAGAAGGCAACAACGATATTGATTCCTATCTACATGCTAGAGAAGGCAACCCAACCATGAAGTGACAGGCATCAACAGTATCTACTGAAACCCTGCTCCTAGGTGCCAACATGCATGGCAACTTTGTTGCTCAGATGCTCAAGCCGCAGGCATGCAGATATTGAGCATGAACCAAGAAGCTTGAAAAGGCATCCTATCCATTGAAGATCCCCAACACCTGCAACACCTGTTATTCAGTCATGCTGTGCAGCCGCTGTGGCACACACAGCTGATTTCTGGGCACCTCATATAAACTCAGACCCCTTGACAAATAGGAATGAAAAATCTGGTGCTGTTGAGGCCGTCCACAGGTTAGCAGAGGAGGGTAAGTTTGTGAGGTCTTCATTGCATTTGTGGTGGTGCGCTGGAGATGCATCAACATGAAGCATACATGAGATTGTACGATGGCTGTACGTGCAAAGATGGTTATGCACACCTGATACCAGCAGATAAATCCCAGAGTAGTGAGCAGTGCCTTGGCGAGGATGGTGAGCCGCGTCAGTGACGAAGGTGGTGAGCAGCATCTTTGGCGAGGGTGGTTTTGACTGCGCTAATGCCATTACTAGTAGGTGGTGTGCAACATATATCATCAGACCATGACAAGGGTAAACATATCGTAATCTAGAAGTGAATTGCTTTCCCAGTAGGCAGCCATTGCTGCTTCCTTGAATGCTTCACTCAGGGTAGGCTGTCGAAGAATGTACATTAGTATCACTTATTTAAAAGACATGGCAAAGTGCGTACGTGAGCATGCGTTGTCCGTGCAATATCCTCAGAGCTTGCACCGTATTCCATTGCCAGAACAGCTTCTGAGACCATCTCACCAGCATTAGGACCTAGAAAAGAAACATTGTGATCAGTATAGTACGATAAAGCCTGAATCTACCAGCCTTACCGATGATGTGGACACCTAGAATGCGGTCCGTCTCCTTCTCGCTAATGAACTTCACAAAGCCCTCGCTGTCTTGGTTGGTCTTCGCACGTGAGTTTGCAGCAAAGGGGAATTTGCTGATATTGTATTTCATACCAGCGGCTTTAAGCTCCTGCTCCGTCTTTCCTACCCATGCTACTTCAGGGTGAGTGTAGACAACAGAGGGATGCCATTGTAGTTGACATGACCATGCCCTGCATTGATGTACTCGACAGCAGCAATGCCTGCCTTGTCATCAGTTTTGAGCCATAATACAGCACTGATGGGTGGAATTGCTTGCTTTGGAATTGTCAGTTTGAAAATCACATTCTGATTTCAGGAGAACTCACGCAACCTCCTCATCAATACCGGCACCTCCAATTGCGCCCAAGAACTCGACGACGGTCACCTCTGCACCCAAGCGACTCCATACACTACCCATTTCGAGGCCAATGATACCACCACCGATGACAACCATCTTCTCAGGTACCTTTTGGAATTCAAGGGCACCAGTTGAGCTGACAATTTGCTTCTCGTCAATCTCAATAGCACCGCCTGGGAAGGGTGCGACCTCGGAGCCAGTAGCAATGATTACGTTCTTCGCCTCGACCTCGGTTGAACCCGCCATCATTGAGTTGAACCGCAATACGCGTTGCAGATACAAACGATGCACTACCCTTGATGTAGTCGACTTTGTTCTGCTTAAAGAGCATCTCAATACCCTTGGTAAGGCCAATGACGGATTGCTCCTTGGCCTGCAGCATCTGGGGCAAGTTGAGGGAAACGCCAGCAACTGATTTCACCATGAGCAATCAGTCAAGAAACACATGTGCGAGACTGTGCACACCATCAATACCACGCTTTTGGAGGTCATGTTTCGTTTGATGATAGAGATGAGAGTTGTTCAACATGGCTTTTGAAGGTATGCAACCAACGTTGAGACAAGTACCTCCAAGGCTGCCACGCTTCTCTATACATGCTGTCTGGGAAATCGTCAGTGCTTATCCATGTTCCGTCATCAGAACTATACCTTCAACCTGAGCTGAGCAGCCTTAATTGCTGCAACATATCCACCAGGACCTGCAAATTTTGTACTCATCAATTTCAATTGATTCTGACTTGCTGCAACTTACCTCCACCAATAATGATGGCGTCATAAGGACCTGAAGGCGTAGCAAGCCCCCGGTGAGAGTTCCATGCGCCAAGCTGGACGGTTGCCTTACGCAACCTCCATGCAACGTTCTACATGATAGTAAGTAGTGCAGAGAGTTGTAAGGCAAAGTTTCATACCTTTTGCGTTGCTCTCTGAAGCTGGAGCATTGATGTGGTGGAAGCCGGTTTCATGGGTTCAGTGCCTCTGTACAGGCATTGGGAAGAATTGAGATGGAGTGAGACTGGGCGAAACACCAGTACTGAGCAAAGTTAGTAACTGAAGATGACAAGAACGTACAACACAATCGATCTACCTGAGATCTCCGGGAATCGTGTGAATCCAAAGGTGACGATAGTGGTGGAGGTCAATATGGAATGATTGTAATCAATGCTGTGTGGAGTGGAAATCGTTCAAGTTGAATGTGCACTGCTGCAATTAGGTCAGCAATTGTTCATTGTTACGGTACTAGTATCACATCACGCCCACCTCCAGAAATCTCAATACTTTTATGTATTAGAAATTTATCCCTATTCCGATCTATCCCTATTCCAATATTGTCTTTGTCCTTTTCAAATCTTCCAAAACATCAATAATCTCAATGTTGGTACATTGAAGTGAATTGTGCACCACACAGCACTGAATGCTATCTGACCACTTGTACTAGCGTAATGTTGTTCCACTACACCACAGCACCCCTGCCTGGCCGATGCAGCTGGGGCGATATGCTCAAAAGACAAAAAGGTGAGCATCCATCACTATGGACGTCTAATGATACTGAATTTGAGCCCTGCATACAAAGCACTAACATTGGGTCCTGACTACATAGTGCAAGAAATGCAATTTCATTCTTCTCAGTTAGTCGCCCTTCCTGACAGTTGAAATTGACTCCAATATCACCAACAGCCATGAAGTGTATGGGGAATGGGAAATGTTTGTCCACCCATCGGGAGCAGTTTACTATTACAATGAGACAAGGGTAAGCGCCATCTCTGTGCACATGTTACACTTACTACATGTCAAGATAGAATACGTACACTGGATTGAATATCAGGGACTGTCCAACAGTTCGGCTGGAGAAATTCGAGGCCTGGGTAAAAGCAATGCGAGGCAAAGTAAACGGAGATCGCACTATTGTCGCTGAGCCTGCGAGGACTCTGAATGTAGATGGAGACATCTATCTGTATTACCTAGTAGCGCTGGAGGCTGAAGTCATCAGCTGGATAGAGCCTTTTGACGGCACTCATCTTTTCTGAGAATGCGATTCCACCCGGCAATGGAACCACAAAAGTGTGTTACCTTTTTATGTCTTGACATTACCCTTAGACCCTATTGCAGGACTGGAACTTGAGGCGCAGTTTTGGTGAGTTATGTAAATCAATGTTGATCTTGACATTTTTTCACAAAACTACACAGGAAGCATGTAGAGTTTTTTCCGCACAGCTTTAAGCTTGATCATAGTGGTGTAAGGAAGCTTCGGATCGAACTTGATTGGTTTTACACAGGCAGGCTCTATTGTATCGCGATACTGAATTGAATAACCTGAGCGATGAACAGATGCCTTGATGTTAGACAATTCAACTTCAGCTACCATATTCTCCAACAAGGACATGTTGGAGAAAATCATCAATAGATTGGCCAGCCTTGGTGAGTACTATTACATTTCCCTGCACGCATATTCATGATCAATGAGTAGACCACCTTTCAGGTTCTGATGGTACTATAACGGAGCCAGGTGTTGCATTGTTTGGTGAGTACGAGTTTCGAAAATCAGGTGATTTCAATACTCATCTCATCGACAACAGGCAGACTATACCATATGTTACGTATGTGTCTCTTTCTCTTACCAAGTGTTGTTGCTAATTAGACAATCTAGGTCATCATCAATACCTACACTACTACAGACAACCTGAAGCACGCCTCTTGCGAAGCCATTCAATGGGTTGCTGTCCCAGGAAGATAGATTATTTCCCCTTCATAGCAACAATTGCGATGTTCTGCCTTCCCATCTTGGTCTGTGAGCGCCTCAACCAAATCTATGTTGATGGCACTGTCAATGCTCTGGACATCAAGACCTTTGTTGATGATTTCAGCTCCCAGAACACAGCACAAATTACCCTGGTGAGTGATATTTCAGGATTCAGAATGAGAACTGATTGCATAAATGTGCACCTACAGGCAGGGGTCATCATGGCGGTTGATGCTGGTTTCCTTGCTGTCCAAGGTGTAGGTACAGGGACGATCACTGAGTCTATCTTGAAGGGATCCATTATCTTCTGTGTTGGGTGTATCTTTGCACAGCACTTTGGAGAGAAATTAAAATCCCTGAGATTTGCAGTTTGTTTCCATTCTGTTTTCTGCAGCTTGATTCTGACATTATCAACTGACCAGGTGTATTACCTGGATCAAGGAATGACTGTTGTCCTTGGCGTGTTCAGCGCACCAAGATTCTTTTGTATTATGAGGCAAGTCATTTGGTTACATTTATTTTCACCCATAGATGCTCACATAAGACCTACTAAAGTATTGTATGGTCCAGCACCGGATTCCTCGCAAGTGCCTTTATAGACACTGAGCACTCCAAAGTTGCCCTCATTACATGTGCTTGCTGCCTCATTTTTGTGCTGTGCATCTTAGCTCCCTTGGCGTGGTGTGGTTTCCGAGCAGGGGTGGTGCCCTATGTCCATGTTGATGATGTCTAATTGGTTGTTGGTTATCAGCACGCTGTTGTCAGGCACCTGACAACAGTGAGCTCACATTTTGCTGGATTGTGCCTGATTAGCATAGCATAAATATCATTATATAATTTGTACCAACCACCGCCGGCCGCGGGTCAACTCGAATTAACCTCACCTACATGGTTCAGCCAACACATACTGCTCGTTCAAATGGTGTATTACAAAGGCAAGTCTCCTTTTCAACAGACAAGTTCAATTTAGAAGTGACGGCGGCCGAACTTGTGTCCATTGAGCATGCTCTACTAGGGCAGGTGAACAAAAATCTTGACATACTACCTTTGCTTTGTAGAGTGCAGCACTTGCTGTCTTTACCGTCATTTTCAATCTCTCATGGGACAACTTTGATTGGAGACAGGTAAGATATTGTCACATAATGCCTTTGCATTCCACCTTGAATTAACTTATTATACTCAGCTTGGGTGACTGCAATGATGACTCTTCGGATAGCGAAGTCAGCGCATCCTCTGAAGATGAAGACTATCCGTCCTACTCCTACTCTGCATGCTACAAGGCCCCATACCATACCACCAACCGCAACAATACTCCACCCTCCCCAGGCATTGTATCTCATGAGAGCCTTAGTTCTGGTGAGGAAATGGCTGGCCTAGCTGATGATACTATTTGTACTGATGAAGACTATGCAGACTATGCCATTGATGACTGCTCCGATGATAACTACTATGCTGATGAAGACTACGCAGATGACACCGCCAATATTGAAGAAGATACACACAATGGTCACCAATGGCGGGTAACATCTAGGACACTTCAGCAACTCTATGGACATCCTTATGCCCACATCAGACCCGCCATCAATCCAAGGGTGGCATTAGCTGATCCAATCTGCCCATGTAATGGAAAATGTCGTCCTGCACCCCAAACGTGGCAGGTACAAGCCACATCCATCAGGTCCAGCAGCTTTATTACCAGTGATGCTCTCATCGCAACACTTGCCAGTCCTCGAGTAGACTCTATGTCGTCTTCCTTGGATGTTAAATTGTGGGTCATGAGCAGCATATCGCATTTCACAGCACCAGACAGTATACAGTTAGCTGGAGGCTCAATAGAACAAACGATAGCACGCTGTCACTTGATTTCTATTCAGACAACCGGCTCCAGCCTGGTCGCCATGATTACCTATATGCAGTTGGCTATACAGTGCCAAAGGTAACATGCCTACTGTGTTCTTTGGCTGTTGATTGACCAGCATTCTTGTAGCATCATCAATGCATCTACTGAAACAAAAAAGTCCAGCATTCGCCAAATTTACAATGATCATGTTGTGATGCTAAAGGATGCGCCTTCAGAGTGCACTTTTCATCGCTGGCATGAATACGGCTGCAAATTTATCATCCTAGCTGCAGGTGGTTTATTTTTCCTTCTTGTTCTCATAGCAGGGCTTGAGATTCAATGGAAAGTCGCATCAATGAGGTTTGCTGTTCTTTATCAAGTGGCCAAGGTGTTGAGGCAGCCAGCGACCGCCAGTGGTGAGTTGTCTTCTTACGCTCTTTCTTCATGCACTGATTGCAATCCTCAAAACTCCACAGGCAATCCTGAGTCCAGTGGTGAGTCGCCTTCTGGTGCTCTTTGTTTGCACACTGATCGCCTCGTCACAAGGCACGCCGCAGTTAATCACCAATCATATTATTCCTACCATCGCTTGGATCAGATTTCGCATGCCTATCTGTTTGCAAAATATATTCTGCTCATTGTTTCTAACAAGTGTTGGGGTCGGTGAAACACTAGACTGTACGGATGTGCTGATCACTGATAAAGTGTTTGATCAATTCAAACAACAGTGAGTCCTGTGGCATAATTAGGCGATCATAATGCATGATGCTTACCGCACTTTCCAGTAATTTTTCTCTTCCTGCTAGGGATGTAGGGACTTGGGGCATTTGTTTCTCAACTTTGACTGAACAATGACTTGTCATTGACAGTAAGGGCATCTCCAGTCGCTTATCTTCCACGCTCTGTGGGGTGAATAATTGCCGTGGCGCGATAACACCCATTGACGTCACTGTCATTCAAACATCATATGACCGGAAACATGCAACCAATGTTCGTTTCCCTGCGAAGACGAACAGGAGGGAGAATGTCATATGGACTGAAGGGGAGCGAGTGAAAGTGGAGGCAGGAGAAGTTGTCCAGGACATCAATGACTTGCATAGCAAGGTGCATGGGCTAGATTTTTGCGATGGTACACCTACTGATACATGAGTCCAGTTGAATGAACTGTACGTTGATGGCTGCAGAACTGAAGACAGGTACCTACGCATACCAATGAGCATTCTGCAAGGGTAAGTGGCACTTCTTTCGCAGAATGAAAATTAGCAACTCATGGTTTTAGTAGCGGGCTTGATCTGCATAATTCAGACAACAGTCTCATGGCCTTTGTCTGTTCATCCCTACCTGAGGTCATTCGCCGTGGCCCCACCAGCAGCTTGCTCGCATGCTTTGATGGCAAGGAGGCCTTGCAAATGCAACGCAAGCAAGACTATCTTGATGATCAAGATTCTGATGATGCACCAGAAGTGGAGCATAATGCTAACTATGATCTAGAAAAGCGGGCAGAGAAAATCCTTAGCCGTCCTTTCCAGTGCCTGCACTTTTCTACTTGGAATCGATACTCGACTATGGTGGGTCCCTCACCCATACCTTGTGAAAATACAGTATGAGGATGATATATCTTATAGGGAGCTGATGCGCCCACGCATATTCACCCGCATGAGATGGCTAGAGTTGATGTCAGCCGCACCAATCATATGCAGTGTTTACCCTATGCTTCAGAAGACATTTTAGAGCATCAACAACTCTATAGTAATGTTCTGGCTGCATTTGGTGAACTCTTTGAATGGTTAGAACATGTGGTGAGTGCCCTTGATGGGATGCGTCACCTTGACACTAACTTTTTGTCCCAGATGAAGACACATTTACCAGAGGAGTATGAAGTCATTGTTGAACTCAGTCAGAATCTCCCAGGTGGAGAATGCTCACCAGTTGCTCCATTTCTATTGTTGGTCATCAACCTTAATGTGACCACAGAGGCTCACCAAGACAGGTTTGATAAGGACCTGTGTCTTGTCCTACCCATAGGCGAGTTTACAGGTGAGGCTTTAGTGCAGTTTGAACAGGGATTAGTGTTGGAACTACGTTGTGGTGACTTTGTCGTCTTTCCCTCTGCTGACACCACCCATTTTAACCTACACTATGAGGGTATGAAGGCGTCTTTTGTCTGCCATACTGACAGAGGCTTTGATAAGTGGAAGGAGGGGTATAATGGATGGGCCGCCAACAATCACTTTCACTGATGGGGTGAGTACTGTAATGCCCTCATTTTTTTTAACAAATTTTAAATCACACCAATTTTGTAGGCTGTTCGTGTTGGTTATGCAACTTTGTTACACAACACTTAACGCTACGCTTTGACGCTTTGACGCAACTTTGTAATGTAACACTTGATGTTTTGACGTGAATGGCAACACTTTGACATGAATCTGGGACGCAACACTTTGACGTGAATGTGAGACGCAATACTTTGACTTGAATATGGGTTTGACGTGTTGACGTGAATCTGGGACACAACACTTTGACATGAATCTGGGACACAACACTTGAGGTTTTTTTACTTTCGCTATTCACACTGCAAACTATGTTGCTCTCCTTTCCATGGGTTTTTCAAAATCACTGCACTCAATTATGTACGGAATTATCTCACTAAGTAGGGAATGAGTGCATGGTATCACTTTGTAATGTATTGTATAGGATGGGAAGAGTGAGATGAGACGAGATTGTTGAGAAAATTAATGCATGCATGTAAACCAAAACACAATCATATGATTCTAACGGAACCATTCACGTGTCACGCCTAGATACGCCTAAGCGGATTTCAAGCAGACTTTCAAGGGGTGTAACACACCCATCTGAATAGTGTTGTTGCCAACCTTGTCACTGCGCGCCAAACTGCACATACAGCATCTCTCATAGCGCCCATCACACCTTGAGTTGCCCTTCTCACAAGCGCTGTGATGTTTTGTCTGATGCTGACGCCAGCGGCGGTGGGAGGAGTGGTGGTGGTGGTGGTGGTGGTGTTTAAGTTGGCCCGGGACTGAACATTAAAGTTGAAACGTTGAAAGAAATTTACACCGTAACCAATGATTAGATAATGGTCCACCGTCAGTTACTTACACTCGCCCAAAAAAATTCAGCCTGGCTCTATCACTTTTTTGTCAGCGAGAATTAATTGAAGTCGCGAGACCTTACAATGATCCTCCTGGGCATCGTTCCCATCGTTCCGTTTGCATTGAAGACATCTGAACCCATCTGCTCGATCGTATCATATCGTTGATCAGGGGTAATACATCCAATATAGCTTACTTTCGGATATCTATTACATATGCAGAATTACTTCACAGTAAATGGAGGCAAAAGACAGTACAATAGGCAATTGCCAAAGCCTTTGGTCACATATGATTCTGTGACATGTCACACTTATCATAACTCTGCCCACAATGTTGATGTTGTCCTCCAGTACTAGTTGCCTTTGGATTTGCGTGATTCCAGGAGATCTCACTTTTGCCTGGGTACGTTTTTGTTTTATTCTGCTATCTTTACTCACCAGTACTGGTGTCACGCCCAGTCTCACCGCCTCAATTCCCTCATGGATATCATAGAGATACTGCACAGGCAGGACCATCATGTTCTCATTTGGTATGATCGCAGCTCACTTTATTATCTTGCGCTTATTTCATATTATGCAGATGAAACCGGTGTATTCTGGGAAGAGTACATCTCAACCACCATCCACTGAGAGCTCCTTCGCAGACTTGACTATCTGCACATCGGACATAGAAGGTCATTTTACTTCACTTCTGATTCATTTAATCCTTATTTTATATCATGCACAGCTGCCAACATACTTCTTGCTGCAGGAGCTGATGTCAAACTTCCTAATTTTGGCGTGTCTAGGCAGCTATTGTGCTTGGCATATTTCCGGTGTGTGAATCTTCACTCGTATCTTCTGAGTTTGACTAAATGCTGTTTCTGTAGCTCTTCGACTAACAGCATGGCGTCACGGTATGCCAACTGGGAAGAAGGCTACCCGGTCAGGAAATTGGGTTCGATAGTTGATGAATGATTTTTTCCAGCGTGTACTTCAAAGAACGGTATGCCGTCAAGTCCTTGTTTATTTGGGACACCTAACATGTCTCAAAAGTCTGAAGTGACGGCACAGCCATTCGTGGTTTCAAATGCCCTCAGATGGATTGGCAGAAAAATTCTTTCCATGAGGCGAGCATTATCAAGGAAATTGCAGCCACGGTGTTTGGAGGTAAGCACCAGTTTGGTGTGATTTGCCAGAGTGAATATTGGCAAGAACGGTCTGAGCAGCTGCTTCCGAATCGGTATTCATGTTTCAATTGATGTATCTTGCACTGCCCTGATGTTCACTTAGATGTATTGCAAGCATTCATCGTTGCTCGTTGCCATGGTGCCTTTCCTGGAAGTACAGGTGGAAGCCCATGCTCTGACGCTATTGTTGGCGTGTTCCCACTTTCCGAAGATAGGTCATCTACAATATAACGAAGATATCCTGCGCGAAACTCTTCATTGGCATCTAATTTTGCCTTTATGTGCGTGTATGGTTTCGCACCCATCCTTTCCTTACAGAATTGTGTAGCAACACATCATGCGTCATTGGCGAATGAGCTGTTGGAGAAGCATCATACAATTACTTTGACAGGCCGTATCTGAATGTGTGGCTTATGCTTGGTGAGTGCTACTACCTGTTTGTCCATATACCGCTTTCATTCTTATATTTTGTATAGGACAACCTTGCTGCCTGGCTCTTGTATGAGAGACTTTTTCACAGACCATCATGCAAACCATACTGTAGTATGTCTGCATTCATGAAGATTAAAAGTGTTATCTAATCCTTTCACAGATCCTGGTCACTCACCATGTTGAGCTCACACTCCCAGGTACATACTACCTTACATATTATTGTCTGGATGTCGCTTTCCACAACTTGAATGATAGCATCCTGTTTTCCAAAGAGTCCCATGGCACCTTCTCATAATCATAGTCAAGACCACCAGCAAAGTATGTATGGGTATATGAATGAGCTCACGCTGGATTTTGCTGGAGCCTAATTTTTTTTGCCTTTGGCCCTTTCGAAGTTAGCGTAATCATGACAGTACTATTCTGCCAGATTTGGTTCATGTTGGCTTCATAAGTATAGCCAGGCATCCCACTAGCGACGGAGTCAGTTCAGTAGCTGAACCTACTAGGCAAGTCCACCAGTGCTGACTTGGACTTGGAAGGGACCATGTTGCCGATGACCATGTAAGGATATATCCATGGAATATCAGGAGTGGTTGCATGCGGTCTGATTTGCATTCCTAGGTCTTGTTGCCGAAATATTTTCCATATATGCTCTTGAGCTTGTTGTGCATCGCTGGGCCTAGGCTTCATCTTCAAAGTAATGTGTGTCATGAGGGGAGGCCTGCAAATTCATGGGACACAGTGAAAACTGGCTAATGGAGCTAATTGTCGCGCCACTGGAAGAACTGTAACGTCATTGGCCCGAGTCTGCCAACTTAGTTGGCTCATTACTTGCCTAAGAGCTGAAGCGCTGACAAACCATTGACCAAGTGCTAAGCTTTCAACAGAATAAACTTGTATATCGGTGATGGCTGATTACAAAACAGGCTAGAGACTCACCAAGCTATGAATACCGCTACCATTTCAGCATATAAAGCAGAATCATACCAGTGCTGCATTGGCCAATTTACCATGGATCGCCCTTCTTTACCTTCACATTCATCAGTTATCACACCGCCCCTACATGACTGCGACAACATTCACAGGTTAGCCAAGCTTATCACTCAAGCTATGCTATGGACTTTTTCCATCCTGTACTATGATGCAAAGTCAAAAACAATGGTTGATTGGGATTGGTACGATATCTTGATAGTGTGTATATTCAAATATCTTACCCAGCATTTGATGTGATGCAGGCCCGCTGATGACGAGAATAACATGATTCTGCCTGATCAGTTTGAGAACTATAGAAAAGAACGCAATCTCAAATATCCTTGCTGTGTTTGCACCGATGGAACTCAACAAACCTATGTAGAGGCTATTGTATATCCTTGGTGGAATGAGACAACAAGAACTTGGGTTTGGATAACTAGATGTGCAACGGATCGTTGCACATATGAAGGTTCGTTTTTTGCTGGATGTCATACATCTTTCTGACTCTGACAATCATTCAGTGAAAATTGACAGATATTTTCAGCTACCATCACAAAGCACTCGCGTATATCAACACAGAGGTTGGTCTTACTCTACCGTATAGATTGAATGTAGTACTGATGAGGAAAAGAATGTAACCCCCCAGCTATCTTGCAGATGTGGTCTTGGCAAGAACAAGATATTTTATTTTCTAGGCTTAGCTCATTTACCAGCGGTGGAATCAGCACAGAGGAATTCAGGACATTGTTCAAATCCTGTGAGTTGTGCAATAGAGTGGGGACTAGGCGTGCTATGAGGTTCCACTGGTGCTCAAACACTGCTTTCAAATAAGAGTATCATATTGGACAAACAACTTGAACTTCTATGTACTGGGTTGCTTGATGTGGTTGACGCAGGTTTCTTATCTCAAAAGCTGAACCGTAGTACAAATTCCCACATCCAAGCACACGTCCTGTACCATCAGCTCTGTACATACATAATGATATCAAGTCTCAAGAACTGCCTTTCTTCTCTCCTTCCACCGTCTGGCATTTCACACAAAGGAGCTCTTGCACTATCCTCCTCCACTGCAGGTGTAGATGGACTAAGATGGTGGATTGATTGCCAGTCAAACCCCACAGTCAGCCAAAAGCCCTTCACATTGGATTACGTTCTGCTAACAACTTGTTTTGTATGTAGCTTCAATTTGAACTCAGATTGTTGCTCTTCCTACTGGAAGAACACGTCTACTCTGGTGATTTATGGCGCCTTGTTATGGCACGCCAGATAGAAGTCATGCAAGAAGAAAGGTTGTATAAGATACAACCACAGAATTGCACCGGCACAGATCGTTTTGCAAAGGAACTAGAGCTCTTGGAAGACAAGAAGGATAGGGCTCAGTTGGAATTATCCCTATACTCTCAGGCCATGGATGTCTTTCGTCCACACTTACGATGTATGTACATTATGTTACGCTGTATTCGTGCATGGAAATATTAATGATTATTTGGAAGCACAATGTGGGCTTTCTGTCTCTGGGGGTGACAGGTGTTTTCCTGGCAATTTCTCAAGAATTGGTACACCTAGTTTGCAACATGCTAAATGCAGGGAGTGGTTGAGTAGCATGGCAAATAGAATTTCCGGTTGTGGCGTTGGAAGTAGGCTGACTTCCACCCACAATACTGGTTCTGCTATAGGCAATACGACTGATGAATCCGCATCCATCACCTCTAGACTCCTGATTTTATATAAGATGCTGGTGTTACCTGAAGTGAGTACGTTACTTCCACCATTGGATTTACTTTCATGATTTCTGGCAGATTGCCTGTCACCCTTACAGGTTGGTCAGTACATGGGTGGAGGAATGCATGGAGGAATATTACATGGATGATAGAGCGACAGAAGGAGCTTCTTTGCAGATCCTCATATTACAAGCTGGTGAATTATCTGACTCTGAGGCTGACATGTGTTTGATTGATGCAGAGTTATCCTTAATGCAATCAAGATATCGCTGTGCTCAAACTGAGGTGGAACTCCTCTCAGATGCCATACAATACCTCATAGAGAGCAACACCAGTGAGTCCGCTAGCATCAGATTCACAAGAGCACTGATTTATGCTTGGTAGTATGCTCCATGGGAGGTGCTGCACCACGTCGTTGCTCATTTATTGACCAATATGAACACCTACTGGATAGCTCTTCTGACACAGGCGATAGTTGTTGGTCTGACTGCTAAACACATCTCTGTGAAACCCTTTATGGCATACAGTATTCATTACCTACGCAATGGACTCTGATACTACTCAAATGTGCATTTTTGTAGTATATGTATATATATATATATATATTATATTCACCTTTGTACTGATGATTGGATTGGAATTTTTATTGTAGAAAAGCAGCAGTTATTTGAGTCATATGTTGTATATTATTTTGCTTAATGCTCAGAACCAGCAGAAGCTTGAGCTCATCGTTGTCAGGCACCTGACAATGATGAGCTCAATGCTTACATAATAATAGTTCATTTCACACAGCTTGCGGTCTGCTTGTGCAGGCTGGTCTGGCTGTCCAACCAAGATAAAATAAAGTTTTACATGGCCTCTACTGCAGCATCTTTTGAACCCTTCAAATGAATCAACCCAATTTCACCTTCACCTGTAACTGTGGTCGAGGGTTTCAGCAGGAAAGCGGTTTCACAAGACACCAAAAATCTTGTGTCAAGGGCAAAAAATGCCTGTTCTCTGCTTTAAACAAGGCTAAAGATCTTCTTGGGTCTGTCAAAAGGGCCCGCACATGCCTTGGTAATCAGGGAGGCTCATCACATCATATCTCTCCAACTACTCGGTCAACCTCTGTGGTCTTGGATCTAGTCGCCAGGGATGATGCTTCTTCTAGGATGGACACCATCTCCATCCCTGCCACTGCCGCATTAACAGAGGAAGTCACTGCATCTGCATCCCTCATTACTGATAGTCAAGAGGATTTGTATTTGCCCTTAGCACAGTGTAGGACTAGACGCAACAATGTTCAGTTACCCAGACGCTACCGTCAATTTGATGATATTCTACCACAACCTCTTCCCAGTGTCCCAACCAGCCATATCAATCAATCTTCAAACTCTCCTCCTCATCCCCCCCTCATACTCAGCCCTCAGAAGCACTACTGCCTTTTCGCACCCCAAGAAACATCTTTGGGCTTTTGCACAAGTTCTTCTCTCCAAAACCGCCATCTCATGATCCTGAAGAAGTGGTCACACTGGAGGACGTCAGTGCCATTCCCTGTAGCAGAAGGGAAAGACCTATGGATGACGCTCTAGATGAAGCTTCTCCTTACTACCCATACCCCAATAAATCATCCTTGGAGCTAGGCGATTGGTACTGGAATAGGAGGGGTACAGAAGTCGCAGCAGAGCTTCAACTGACCTGATTGATATTGTTACGGATCCCAACTTTGACCAGGATGGTGTACGTGCCACAGCTTGGTGGAAAATCAATTCAACTTTAGGTCAGAATGACTATGAGGACAAAGATGAAGAATGGGAGGATGAAGACGCCAGGCTGGCATAAAACCCAAGTATCTATTCAGGTTCCTATCGCGCATACCAATAAGCAACCAGGGAGTTCAAACCTACTCTGGGGTGGATTTATACCACCGCTCTCTAGTCGGTGTCATACAAGAGAAGCTGGTGAATGCAGGTGATGATGAATTGTTTCATTATGAGCCTTATGAGCTCCTATGGCAACCTGACCATCTTCAAAGAGAGGTGAAAATTTATGGCGAGCTGTATCAGTCTCCAGCTTTTATGGATGCGCATCAGAAACTACAAGAATCTCCTGGAGAACCTGATTGCAATCTTCCAAGGGCAGTAGTATCGCTCATGTTCTGGTCAGATGCCATGCACCTCACTAATTTTGGCAATGCCAAGCTCTGGCCAGTTTACTTATATTTTGGAAATGAATCCAAATATCATTGCTGCAAGCCTTCCTGCCATCTAGGCAATCATGTAGCATACTTTCAAAAGGTAAGTCACTCATTCGTCATATTTAATCTCCGACAGCTCAACAATGACCTGTAGCTTCCAGACTCTTTCAAGGATTTTACTTGCCAACATACTGCAGGAAAGGGTGTTGGGTGAGAGTGTACAACGCACTGCCAGAGAGAACTGTTCCAGGCACAATGGGGAGTCTTACTTGATGAAGAGTTTTTGGAAGCATACACTCATGACATTGTAATTGAGTGTTGTGATGGGATCAAGTGTAGATTCTACCCCAGGATATTCACATACTCAGCAGACTACCCAGAAAAGTGAGTTGTTTCTCTTTAGACGCTAGGTCAAAAGCTCATCAGAACAGAGTTCTGGTTGCAACCATATGCCAACTTGGCGGATGCCCTTGCCCTAGATGTCTCATCCCAAAAAATAGACTGCACAATCTTGGCATGCTCCGCGATAGGCAGCAAAGGACCACACTCCTGCGTTTGAATGAAGATCGTGATCAGTTGGTGGCAACGGCAAGAAAGTTCATTTATGACAGTAATTATGGCACCGACAGTACTGCGGGTAGAAAATCTACTTAAGCCCTGCTCCTGGGTGCCAACATGTGTGAGTAACGTTGTTGCTCATTTATCCAATTCTTGAGTTGCTTCAGAATGTTCTCTCTAACAGGCTTCGTCCTCATGGTTTCAATGTGATTGAAGCTTTGGTGGTCGATCTTCTCCATGAAGTCGAGCTTGGCGTATGGTGCTCACTACTCATTCATTTGCTACAAATCATATGTGCAGCAGATAAAGATCTGGTCCACGAGTTAGACAGGAGGTAGGCAGCATTATCTTTCTATCTTCTCTTCAATGGAATGCTGATAATTTGCTCTAGGTATCGACTTGTGCCACCATTTGGACAATCAACTATTCGACGATTCATGGCCAATACTTCTGAGTTATCAAACATGGCTGCACGTAATTTTGAAGACCTACTTCAGGTATATTGAACTATGTGCTAGAATGAGTGAGCTGAGTCTCTATCTTAAGTGTGCTATTCCTGTATTCGACGGACTCCTTCCAGACAACAATCACAACAGGATCATCCAAAATCTCCTTTTTACCTTGGCGCATTGGCATGGCCTAGCCAAGCTACGCATGCATTCAGACCTGATGTTAGATATTCTTGACACAACAATGTCCATAGATTGGAGTTTCTCTTTGTATGGTGGTATGAAGTAGTACATGCTGACTCTGGCATGACTACATTGGATCGCCCCAGATTTCCTCCATTGGATAGCAAGGAAGCTTTTGGGTTTCTGAATCCTGCTGACGTTCTCAGAGCAACTCATGTGATTCCCTGCTTCTCCAAAGGAATGCGACATGAGAATGGCAGGGGTTTATCTAGCATGGCGGGCGACAAAGGAGACTGGTGCCAATATTATGTCAACCAGTGAGTAGTTCTCAAACTTCGTAGTTTCTCTCAACTGATTGTTGTACAGATTCGTTGATAGAGATATGCTTATGCGATTTCATTATGGTCTTGCAGTAGGCCACATCTACTCTCATAGGGACATCCTTGACCCTCCTCCCAACACTACTATTGATCCCCAGGAGATCATCAATAATAGCAATGTTTCAGATGATGGCGGGAATGATCTAGATAATCAAGAGTTGGATAAAAGTGAGTCAGAGTATGACTATACTGGGGTAGAAGAAGAAGTTCTATTCGACCAGGCGAAAAATGGAAGCTCAGAATCTATTGTGGAGGAGCTGGATAACATGTTTATCGAACATGAGTTTAATTATGAGCCCTAGGCCTCTCTGGGCACATCCAATCACAGCCCTTCCAGCCATATTAATATTAATTAATAGTGTACTATGTACCTGTCGGCATCTGTTCTTAGTCCCAGCCAACCATCCTTATTACATCAACTTGGTTGTGATACCCTGCCACATTTCCAAACTTGCAGTGAGCTGGTGCTCCGCCATTAGGGTCTCTGCCGATTATTCTGCTCATTTTACATTATTCGCTTGTGATCTCCTGCCACAGTGCTTCACTGGGCTTTCAACATGGCCTTGAATCTTAGATCCCCTCCACCAGTATGAATAACATCTTACTAAAACTACTCTACATTGATCCTCTCCCAATAATGTTCTTGTCTCCCTCACACACCAAAGCCCTGCAACGTTCAAATTCCATAATAGCACATCTGACGATCTGACCCTCTTTCAAGTATGAAAACCCATCGATTTTCCGACTCCTCTCACTCGATCTACTCCCACTTCCCACTTCCCCCTTGCAATGCACTGTTGCAGTAATGACTTACATCTACAATCATATTCCTGGAATTATCACTGGGTTTGAACACACAGTGCGTATTTTTACCACCACCATGACCTTTCTGCATTAAATTCTAAGATACACATCAGGAGGAGGCAATTTTTTTTCTTGCTATTACAAAATGAAGAAATTTATCATTATCACAGGGCAGTTTTAGCGATCTAAGGCTTGACCTTGACTTCGCTTGTTATATACTGTCCCAGAGAAACATTGGGCCATGTTATGTGAGTTATTATTTCTACTGGCTTCTTACAAAAATTCAGATCATCTGATGTGCCTATAGTGGCCTACAAAAGTATCCATGGAACACTTCTGGCCTCTTCAGAAGGAGCCACCAGGATACATTGCCATGAATGGTCATAGGGGTCCTCTGGTTAAGGCTTCTGGAAGAGCCGAGTATGAGGTCTTGGTACCCATCTTTGGTCTTATGGTGAGAGATCCTGTTACTTCAGTGCTTTGAACAGTTGGTAATTTTTGTCATACAGCCCCAAGACAAGGATGTACTAAACCAGAATGTGGAAGTTGTATCTAGAGTTTACAATTACAACTTAATTGCAGTCTGGATGTGGCCTGAATGTGAGTTTTGTCCCCTTTGCGTCTTCACCATTAGTTGACGCTAGCAGTGGATAGGAAGTTCATAGCTAAACTGGCACCATGGCCTTACGGTCATTACAATCAGGTTATCTTTGACGGCCTTGACGATATCATTGACGATATAGTCACCGAAGACTTTGAAGATGGCTCTTTCAGTCAGATATACACAGACGACCATACCACTGCATCTTTCCAGCAACATTGCCGTAAGTGTTTCACTTTCCTAGACATACATCAACTGAATATGATAGAACACAATGTATATGGCTTTGTTCCTAGCTCCAGCAACTTAGGGTCAGCACTGGTGCCAGCAGTGCTACCTATATCACCGCTCGCACTGGTGCCATCACAGGCTCCAACATCTGATGATTTTGTCGCCGTAGATGAATTGATGTTACCTCAGATAATCAAGCTATCCGAGGACCTGCGCTGGACAACACGCAGTGCACCAGATGGTAATTCACATTGTCAATCCATCTTAGCGGAGCTATCAGTCGATTACCCCTGGTCATTGATTGTAAGATCATTGAAGACGACCCTGTTTGGAAGTCTCATCACAGGGCGCTATGGCAACACTATGAGGGTGGTCAAGTTGTGGCCATTTCGACATCAATTCATCACTCAGTGCTTTCTGGAGGGCCTGTCACGTGTTGGCTGGTCCTACCAGGACTGTAAAAATATTGATCGCAAGCACTATTTTTTCTATCTTTGATTTCTGAACTGACACTAGTTGTCTTTGCTAGTGGACCTTACGAACGGAGTGAAATTCCATTGGCACCATCTGCGTGCCACGGTGAGTATTCTATTATTTCTTAAATATTAATGATAACAAATGGTATCAACTAGTTCGACCACAGACCAAATTCAAGTCTTTCCGACCTTCAGAAAGTGATAGGACACTGTCTGCAGCCATGTCGAGATCTGGGCTTCTGTCTTGATGCCACTGAATGGCGAGCAAGGATCACAAGGATGACGGCTGTGCTTGATGAAGCAGCAGTTCAACTTGATCAAGGATAAGATCAACACCTAGCGGCCTTCAATGTGAGTCACAAGTACTTCCAATTTACGTACCTTACTTCATGTCTTTAGTATCACATCGTGATAGAAATACTTGGCCTGCAAATGGCAAAAGAACTCTGGCATTATATGATCCTACACCCAATTGCTTCTAGCCCAAACATTTGTGTTGCTGACTTATACTGGGATCAAGTCCTTGACCGAGAGGGAAATCCAAACATGAATATAATCTCTCTGATAGTGTGCCTCATCAGTTACTTACATCTCTCGTCTTTGATTTTGTTTTGACTTTCATTTCAAGTTCTATGAATACTGTCAGAAAGTGCTCAAACGCCAACTGAACAGGACAGGTGATGCATCTGTGATCAAGATTTATCGTAGAATTGAACGTCTCCATGGTCCTCCTCTAATGGAGATTCAAGAGGTTGCATGTGATTTGGGATACATCAGGTATTTGTTTAACTTGAATTTCCGTTTCCTATCATCAGCTCAAGCCTCCATTTTGCTTCAGAGAATTCAATGTATACGGTATAGACAAAGACGGAAATCGCAGGAGAGCAAATATATGTGCCATCATTAAATCCTATGATTATCCTCCATCTCAGACATCATTGGACACACAATACCTCCAGCCTCCAATTGATGATTCCTTTTTTCATGACAAGTCAAAGTCTTGACTTGGAGTAGCATGACTTCTGTAGTTTCTCCATGTTGACATTGACAGTGCGTCTTGTACTATGTGTTCTGTATCCTACCATTGTACTACATATGTGTCCTGTATCCTGCCACTGTTGTGCCATCATGATTGTATTGTAATTTTATTAGAAAATGTTCAGCTGAGACCGCCTGAAATGATTTTGTGACAAGTCACACTTGTTCGACATCCTTACCCAAGACTTCAATGACCTCCATTATCCTTGTCTTTGGATTTGCACAATTGTAGGAGATCTCAGGTGAATTGATTGGGTTGGTTTACCTCTGGGTATGTTCTTGTTGTCTTCAAGTTGTTGCTATCTTTGCTCACCAGTACCAGTGTCATTGACACGCCCAATCTCACACCGCCTCAATTATCAACTCAAGTTCTTTATGAGAATTCGCCTTACAACTTTCCCCATCTTCACTTTGGTTTAAGAAGTACAATACCGGTCAAAAGGCACTGAACCCATGAAAGGTCATGGGCGGAAGTTTGATCATCCTCATCTGAACTGAGGGATGTGTGTAGATGGCGGTACCATACCTTGTAAGCATCTTATTTGTGCATCTTCTTGTGTAATTATCCTTGCATTTTGAAGATTATGTGCTCACTCTGGCCACCGGAGGCGATAGAACGTTGAACATATTGGTCAATGGTATGGTTCTCTCCCTTTTCTTGATGAGATCTTGATGCATTCTACCTTACAGTTTCCATGTTTCTAACAATACCTTCTTTCATGCATCTCACATGCCAATATTCTCATGTAGCTCTGGGAATCAGAGGTAGAGTGCGGGTAAAAATCTAACAGGCGAGTCTACTACATTTCTTTAGCGTTTACTTTTAAACTAAAAGTAAGGTATAGTGACTCTAGTGACTCACATCTCAGTTTCTCGCACAGAACTGAGACGCTCATCTGCATGTGCGCTAGGTTTTATACTGTAACTTCTTCTCTTATCTAAATATTACCATAAAACAATATTTTTCTCCAGCTTTGGGCCGACGTCACTCATCCTTCGTTCCTGGCCCGTTTCCTTGCCCTTGCACTCATGCTCGGACTTCCTACTCATCATCTCGTTTTGATTGCAAGGTATGTCCTGGATTCAGTTGGACGTGATAATGTCTTTCTCATTTTGATGTACCAGAGCGCTCAAGACTCGATGTTGCTACTCCAGCTTATGAACTCATTATATTTAACATATTCTAATACAAGAGCAGTATGACATCTGCAGGTGCAGGTGCAGGTGCAAATGCGCAACTAGCGATTTCAGAGAACCTGAGAATGCTGCCTGTGTTGGTTCTCGTGCTTCTGAAGAATGCGAGTTCGTCACATTGTTTGATTACGAGTGACCTGACTCACTCTACTACATAGGTCGGTATTTGGCAAAGTGCACAAATTCCTCCCGATCTCAGGGCCTATGCCCAGGCTCTGCTAACCACCCTACCCTCTCAAACCCTCATCCCATACATTCATCCCATGTTCTTTTCGCTACACAACATGCAACCCAAAGTAGGTTGAGCTTGGATATTTGAATTCAACATTTCACTAACACTTTCTCCAGGCTAGAATGGTTAGCGAGCAAGGCGTGATTTTGCCAACCCCTCTGCCTCTCACTTTGGAATGGTTGGAGAGACATGGTTTGTACCTGATGCAGCTGCTCTTTCTTAATTTGATTGTCATGGCATTGTTAGTGAGCTGCGTATCATTGTCACTGCTTAAGCAAACTACTGTAAGTTGTTGTGCAAGTGGGGCGTCTCTTCGCCTTCATCTGTAGACCTTTATCTCAGTTTTATTATGTTGTATGAAATCTGAAATCTTACCTAGAATGTGTGGAGATGGCGCATCCCACTGTATTTGAGCTGGACTATAGCAGTCCACATTGGGTGGTGCATACTTCTCTAGAATTTCTGTTCGATGGATCTCCTCTAGCCACCTCAGTCTGTACTTTTTGTATAATTCAAAATAATGATTGCAGCTCTTTTCCACTACGTCCAGACGTGCTTGGAGATTAGTAATAGAGGATGTGATATCTTCGACTGCATCACTGGCAGGAGTCGGTTTTTTGTCCAGCTGCAGGGGTGCATTCTCAACGCATGAGCTTCTATACCACATAGGTGAGTTATTTGAACATGCTGTAAAGGGACTTTGGACAAACACAATTGGCGTAGACGCTGATGCTTCACCTCTCTGGGTATTATCAATCCTCACATCAATCTCAATCCTTTCAGAAGACAAAGTTGAGTGATTTTCAAAAGGATGATATTGATGAACTTACCATAAGCTCAAATTTCCACTGCAGTTTTTCAATGCTAAAGATTGTTGCATTGCGAGAAAACCTACCGTGACAAGTTCTATCAAAAGGTATACTTTATACTCTGCAAGGAACTACTGTCTCCTCAACAGCCGAGTAGCATCCCATTTCATTTTGTTTGCGCCATTAGACATTTCAAATCAACGTAAGGTGCTGTGGTCATCTTACAGCATTTTAATGGCATGGTGTTACGTCGACTGTTGGTTGGCGTGTGCGAACTAGGATAGGTCTTCTCAGCGACGACTCGAGTGAGTCTACTGAAGCTGAGCGTGGTCTAGCCTTGACGGAACGTCAAGGATTCCTCCGGCGATCTCGGTAAGACGGCGCTCGTCGAGATGCAGGGCTAGCGGATACGTGCTAAGTCGTATGGGGGCGACTTAGAAGTGCGGTCTCACACAAGGAAGCTGGTAAGCTTAGATGAGCAAGTTCTGGGGATGAACCTAGTAGATTAAAGTAAAGTCTAAGTACAATAATCTGTGTCTACTTATAGGGAAGTACTACAAGTATTTCTAGCTCAGTCTGTAATCAATAGTATATCGTAAATCTATGATAGCAAGACATGAGGTTCAGATAAGATACATGAGGCTTAACCTCTGATCAAGCATGCTGCGCCAAGGGCAGCTGCGCATAGGTACAGGCAGGTACAGGAAGCGCCAAGCGTGCTCCGGATCTTCATGAAGCGACATGTGGTATACATGCGCTGATCTAGGGTGACCATGAGGCGTACAGCCTCCATGGTTCAGGTACAAGGCCGTCTAGGCCAGGGGCGGGGTCATAGCGCCAGGGGCGGGGTCACAGCGGTCCAGACCACTGTCTTTCTAGGCGCGGGCGGCGCACCGCCGCGCGGGGAGTCTAGCAGAGCGGGGGCAGGCGTAGGGAGAGCTGGGGCTCTAGTAGGTGTTACAGATCCCTGTAACACATGGCCATTGGCGCACTAAACTGCGCCAACATGATATATTGTTATTGGGATGAGGCTGTGCCTCTCTCCGTCAGGTATAAATGAGTCTGGTTGGTCTTACTTACTAGGTGTACCTGCTAGCTTTTGATATGGACGATGACCATTCCCGCAAGAGAGGTTCCTCAGCTCTTCAGCTAGGACCTCACAAGAGAGCATGAGTTTTTGAATCACTCGAATTTTCTGGCCTGACACATGTATTTTAGACTAAAATCTGATCCTCTAGTTTCACATGGAAGACATTTTGGCCATACAGTTTTTGCTCTCTGCAACTATCTGTCCCTTTTAACCAATGGTATATTACGTTTGGAACAACTGGAGGAAGCTTCCCTAGAAGATTTTACTGCTGAGTCAATATTGTCTTGATTTCTACTGGCGATAATTAATCTGATGCAGTTCATAGAGAGCGCAGAGAGCATCTCGTATTTGAGAGGCTATTGGACTCATATCCTGGCCTTTTAGAGCAACTAAGGGATGGGTCAGAGGAAGATGTTCTTCATGTCGGAGAACTAGTGAGTTGCTTGTTCCCACCAAACATTCTTAGTGCTTAGCTAGTAGATTGGTAAGGGGGCAACCGCAGCACGAGGTGAAGACACAAAGTCATTGAAGCCTGTGGTGATCGATTGGATAACACCTGCAGGAGAAGCAGTCCTGCCTTCTTTGCCACGTAATTCCAAGATCAGTCGTGGCTTCAACCACCCTATCACTGGCCACTTACTCTGTCCTGCTGAATTAGATTGGAATGATGCAGAGTAGGTTCCATTTTTATTGACCCAAATATCAATCACTGATGCTTATTGATGGTGAAAAGAACAAAACAGAAGCTGCAAAGCGGCGAAATTGCTGTCAGTGGAGACTAATGGCCACTTTTTGTATATGCCAATGAGGCCTATGATCCAGATGATCCTTGGAATGGCCTTCTTAGAAGTCGCCTGCTAGTAAATGTGAGTGCGCTTGGAGACTTTGTAAATTGTATGATTGCTTAATGTATAATTTATTATAAGGCATTTAGGCATATATTTATGTCGCCAAGTTCTGTGGAAAAAGAGCCCAAGGCTACACGTGCCGGCAATGCTCGCCTTCATGGTATGACTGCTGTCACCGCTCCTTCTGTCGCATATGTCGCAACACAGGTCATTAAAACACTATTAATTATTGTCTAATTTTATGGCTGATGATTGAGACAGGTTAGATTCGCACTTTGCTCATCATCAGTATTTTCTCGCACAGATACAGTGACTGATTCAGAGACGTTTTATCACTCTCTTCTTGACCTTTTGGAAGATCCAGATGAAAGAGGGGAAGTAACAGATCTTCTGGTGTGGTGGAATCGGTAAGGCAATGTTTTCTAACAATTATTCAAAGTCTCAGTCCTATTGGTTTAGTCAGATATTTCCTACTTCATCAGCAGCTAGACGAACTCTCAAAGCTAACAGTGCTCTGTCTAAGATACGCCAAAGGCAAGCAGCGCTAAAAGATGCAAATGCCAGTACTGCTTTGTAACGCTTCCACCTCCTTGTATATCACAATATGCGTATAGTTAGCCTAATGTAATATTTACGCCTATCCTTCAATAGTAAGACCTGTTAACACCCAATAATAGTCAGATTGACATAGCGATGTCATACAAATAATCCTTGCAGGCAGCTGTAAATTGGTCACCATGAGGGAGACATTGACAGTTGCGCCATATAAAACTCACCTTGCAGGTTTATGTCAGTGCCAAACATATAGGCAAGGTCTGATACTCCTCTGCCAGCCTTGGACTCCTTGGAAGACATGGTGAAGACTGCCATTAGAAAAGAGAGCTGTAAATTGTTCACCATGAGGGAGACATTGACAACTGCGCCACATAAAACTCACCTTGCAGGTTGATGTCAGCACCAAACATATAGGCAAGGTCTGATACTCCTCTGCCAGCCTTTGACTCCTTGGAAGACATGGTGAAGACCACCATTAAAAAAGAGAGCTGTAAATTGTTCACCATGAGGGAGACATTGACAACTGCGCCATATAAAACTCACCTTGCAGTGAAATGTCACCTCCAAACTACAAGACATATATAGTAGAGTTATTATTCAGAGCCAAGCCTTGCCAGCAGATGTCAAGTGACAGCAAGGTGCAAGCGGCTTGTCAAACTTACCATGCTTGTCTCACCTTACAATCAGTGACCATGCCTTACCATCGTTTGGTGTGGTTGACAATTCGGCAGTTTCCACCATTCATTTAGCGTGTGATAAAGATGGCATTTGGCTACCAAGCCGGCAGACTATGTGACCTCTCCCTCTTACATGACAAAGATAGTTGTGACACTTTTCATCCAAGTCACTCCGGGTATATAAAGCTTTGTCTACAGATCTATCATAATGATATATATTTTATCAAATTTAGACTAGACAATGCAGTGTAAAACATTATCTTTCTGCGGTCAATTCCCTGATGGAGGAGATAGTTAGTAATAAGGCATCCGCGTGAGCATGAGCATAGGCATCTGTATCAGTACTGCGTCAATGCGGGCATCTGCATCCACGAAAGTGCGGAAATCCACATGCACATGGCAGCAGGTGCTGGTAAGGATGATACTCTCGCTTGCCACTAGCAGAAGGTGTCATAGCTGGCTTCCCCACTGAACTTGCATGCAAATGCATAAAAGGATCTGAGCCATCAATGCATCAAAGCTCACCAAGGTCTGGCGCAGAAGATAAACAAAAATCAGAAAAGCAGGGCAATGCTGGAGCGCGCTGTGTGGTAAGCGGAGAAGAATGTACTGTAGTAAACATTAGGTCAGCCTAAGATGACAAAGAGAAAAAAAGCAGAGAAGAGAAGCCACATGCTGCACAGCCACACAAAGTCTCGTACGTACCAGACGGTATCTCGCTTTTGGGGTAGAATTCCAAAATATCTACAAAAGGTTAACCTGGCTAACCCCGTTCTAACCCAACCCAGCAAGGTAGTAACTACAGAAAATAGCAAGGACAACAAACAAATGAGTAAAAGTAGCGCGCGCAGGCCTTGCCCCATTCATGCAGTAGTTATTTTCAGTAAGAATGGACAGGATCAAGACGGGATCGTTTTCGGTATTGCCGTCGAGCCGCCGCTTGTCAGTGAGTTCTAAAATGTCATGTATCCACATCTACAGATCTACCAGTCTTCATAGCTTTGCTGTGGGTCGCATACTAGTCTTATCAGGGAGATGTTTTCTGCCATAAGATTTTATAACTATCACTGGGTTTCTTAGTGCACCAGCTGAAGTGCTGATACTGTTACAACCAACTCATAGTGTCCCTTCCCGTGTCCCTCATGGCGTCCACTGAACTTGCTATGCAGCATGCACTGTATGTTGGGAATACCATTTCCGCAGTCGTTTATGGTGACTTTCTATCTATCAGCAATAGTTTCTTGTTGACAGCTTATACTCCAAGCGCAGGAGGAAATTTATTCCTATATGCCTACTCTACTTACCTGCTTATGACCTCGATCAAGCAGGTGCAGCGCGGGAGATTTTACATAGGTTTTGGAGGCCTTCTCTTGCTTCTTTTGACAATCACCCTTGCAAGTAATAATGCCATCTGCAAACTAATGTGGATAGAACAGCAAAACTACCCTGGTGGCCCATCTGCATATCTCGCTGCAAATTTGGCTGCTTGGTACAATGTCTTTGGCACAGCGGCAGACTGTGCCACAAATATTCTGACAGACGGACTTATGGTGAGTTTACAATATATGATCATTGAGTTCTGATGCTCATATATACATCTCGAAAGCTTTATTGTTGTTACATTATTTGGGGGTCGAGCGTGTCAATAATTGTCATACCTGCAATTATATACTTGGGATCTACCAGTACGTGCTTTGCTATCAATCCTGCACCAAACTAATCATTGCTTTGTACAGCTATGGCGGTCATGATGGTGGTTGAGAGTGCCATGCCGATGTCAGATATATGGCAGGGCCTTGCAGCACGATCCGGCATTTCATGGGTTGCGTTAACTGTCAGCTTTAACATCATCATTACTGCATTGATCACTTCCCGGCTGCTATTCTTTCATCGCAGAGTACAATCTGTTCTCACCAATCAGCAGAGGAGTACTTACACGGGCACTGTGGCAATTTTGGTTGAGTCTGCCCTCCCTTTCACAGTTCTGGGGATCGCCTACCTTGCCACCTATATCCAAGGTGTTCCAAGTGCGACGGCGGTAGGAATAGTCTGGGGAACCTTTGTGGTGCGTTCACATACACTACTACAATGGGCTGTCCCACACTGATGATTTACTAGGTTTTGACACCCCAACTCATCATTCTGAGGGTCGCTTCAGGGGTTGCATGGTCAAGAGACATGGCCTCTAACATCTCTCTAACATCTCTCTAACAACTCTGCATGTAACTTTCCCTCACAACTTGTCTTCTAGCAGCAGTAGTATGAACTGTAAGGATCCGTAATAGTAGGGCTTGGGCATGGTACCACGTCCACATCCGAATTATTTAGGTAACCGACGAGCGGGATGCATTCATGAAGAGTTTGAAATCCCACTCAGCTGCCTACATCGACAAGTCCAACAGAGCTTCCATTGGAGGTTACAGTCTTCAGAGCAAGCCCCCTGCAACTATTGCAAACTACATCAATGGCCTTACTGGGTTGACGGCCTACAATAGTGTGGCCTCATTGATTGATTTTACCCGTGACACAAACGGGGTACTATCATCTTCTTGTGAACATTTTCTGATTACTGATATTCCTTATTTTAGAGAGCTTATCATCGGTTGCCAATATTAATATTGATTGCACAGCGGCTATTGCGACCAGTCGATAACAGCTGTGATACTTCCTTGCTTGATTTGTTCTTTGACGACTACAAAGAAATTCCAGAACAACTCATATCGGTGATATGCGCCATGGTATGTACTGTTGTCGACAACTTGGTATTTGAAACTTACCCCTTTTTATAGTACGTAGTGATGTTTAAGTGTCGCCTTGTTCTCCAACCCAGAGTTTTACATTCCGTGGATGTGCGTGAAGAGGCAGTTTGTCAGTTACATCTCCTCAGGATAGTCCGCAGGAGCTCTGGTGATGAAGCAGTTGAATTAAATGCCTGGATCACTACTTGTGATGGACAACATGGCTGGTTGGCTGCCCTGTGAGTAAACTTGCCTTAATTCTTCCCTTACTCTATCTCATATGTGCATTGTAGCCAAAATGCGCTGACATTAGCGAATGGCCTACAAGGCCTGCTGGGTCGGTCATCTGAGCTAGCATGATTGGATGTTCTCAGGCATTAACTACGAAGACATATGTACTACTATCATGCGATCTCATAAACTTTCTTCATACACACTGTAAGTACTGAGCTGCAATCAATAGACAATTGGCATGAGGGTCGCTGGCTAAGGTTAAGTTACCATGACTTGATCATTGTCCGCCAGCTATGTGGGGCATGTGACCTACACTTTTTCTTCCTGTCCATGTCGAGGGTGCTGACAATCCCATAAATTGCTAACTGTGGGCAAGAGCTCAGTTCACGGTCAGAAATGCGAGCCCTGACTTCAAGTTTGAGATTCCATGGATCAGTGGCTCATCCAATGTACGTGACTTCATACAATGTCACAGATTGACAAGTGATGCTGTGGCTGTATAACACAGGCTCATTGTGAACTACATAAAAAAGTGCGACAGTTCTTGCTCAACATGCAACTCGACGAACTCTGAGTGATTCAAGATATCTGAACTCGGTCTTGAGGCGGACGGTAGTACCTGGTATCAGGCAAATCTGAGTTAGTACTGTTCGTACTTTGCTTTACTTGCACTCACATATTCTCAAGCTCCCACGAACATGATGATCCCACATACTCTCACACCTGGAAATTACCTGCTTCGCTTGGAGACCATGTCCCTCCAACTTGCGAGGTGAGTTTTTCCCCTCATGCATTCCACTTCATCTTCAAATTGGTGGTTCTCAGACTCAGGGCCCTGATGTCAAGCGAGGAGTGCTTATCCCATGGTCGTTACTCTGATGATCCCAGTATCCTAACACCAAATGTGAGCCATTTTCTCGTTTAATTTTTGTTCGAACATAGCACTAATCACCACACAGATCTACACCCAGCCATTCAGTGCATGTTTCCTGAACATCCTGTCGCAAGTATCGTGAGCACCAGCTCAAGCTCTGTTGTGCCTTCTTCCAGACTCCGCACAACAGCCCTTCTACTATTATCGCATCATCCGCCCCAAGTCCAATGGTGACAGCCTGAGGGGAGTTCATGCTTAGTGGACTTTCCATCAACGAGGGTGTTATCAAGCGAGACGGCGGGAACAAGCAGATGTGACGTCTCTGCGCACTAAGTGCAATGTTTGTTCTGCTTTGTGAATACCTTGTCTGTTTGTATTTTTAGGTGCTCGTCTGGAATGGGTCTTATCTATGTGTAACCATGGTTAATATAACTTGCATACTATTACTGTAGCTGCACAGGATGTGAATAATGCTTGATGCATCAATGCGTGTCCCACCCATTTGCTGATGTCACAGTTTTATTTTCAACAACTTCCAACACTCAAAGGAGTCGTAGAACATTTCAATCTCCGCTACCTAGCAGTAGAATCAAATCCGAGTTTGGATTTCTTGTAAAGATATTTTGCAGCGGGTTACGTATACAACTATACTCAATTTGTATGTGAGTCCTCTCCACCAATGAGATGTTCGCTTGGCTGTAGTAAGTCGTTATTTCATCGACCACTACTAGTACTATTACTAAACCAATTCACTACTATTGCTTGAATTCCTAAAACAGATTTGAGTCGCTCCCCCCACCAAATACTACTGCAGCCGAAGGGTATTTAAATTTGAATATAATCGTGATCGTGACCATCTTGCCTTGCTGCATTGCACTTGTCATGTCCGAGGAACAGCAATCATGTGGCCAACATCGCAAACAGTTGATGCTCTTCAACTCGGTCCCAGGAAAAGGCCATGAGTGATTTGTATTTGCAGGAGGCAATTGCCACTGATGACTGGAATTGTAATACAGGAGTGCAACTGATCCGCTGGTACACTATGGACGTCATTTTGGGCGAATGGTCCATGCTCTTTGCAATTTCCAAGCCCTTCTCACCAATGGAATCTTACAGATGGGAGGATTGGCGGAGATTCCAGATGAAAACTTCACCGCAGAGTATTTGTTTTCATGCAGTGTTATGCACAGTGTGTCTAATCTTGTGTGTTTTCCAAGGGAACGGTGCAAGCACCATATTTTTCAAGAGCTCCTCAAGTCTGTAGCAGGCTTGGAAGAGCGGCTGATGCAAGGTGGAGATGATGAGGTTGACCTCATCACAGAGCTGGTAGGTGCTATTAGTTATATGTCATCATATTAAAGATCTATCCTACATGTCATAGCTCACCAAAGGCACATCTGGAGCAAGGGGTGATGACACCAAAAGTCTGAAAGGCAGTGTGCTTGACTGGATCACTCCAAAGGGACAGAGCCTTGTTCCCCCTCTTACTCGCAATGTGAAAATTGACTGGGGTTTTCATCATGAATGGACAGGCGCATTGCTCTGTCCTGCTGGCCTTGACTGGTCCAACTTAGAGTAAGTAATATCTCAGTCGTCAATGACATAAAGACTGACGGGCGATACAAGACAAAAACTAAGCTACAAAGTGGTGAGATGCTTGTGACCGGAGACCAATGGCCGTTGTTCTTATATGCTGACTACCATTATGACTTGGAGGATCCGTGGAATGGCTTGTTTCAAAGCACCTTGCTAGTCTCTGTATGATATGAGTTTTGCGTCGCTTCTAAATTTCTGTCCTTAACAAAATTCACAGGCATATAAATATGTTTTCACGTCCCCCAGTTCTGTAGATAGGGAACCAAAGGCAACTTTTTCAGGCAATGCCCGAATTCACAGAATGACCAGAGTTACTTTGCCCTCCATCGCATACATTTCAATGCAGGTATGTCTATCCTTCAGATCCCTATTTTTATCTGATTGAATATTTCTTCTAGGTTTGATTCACCCTCACCTCATCCCCTGTGTTCTCACATACAGACATGGTCACCGACTCTGAACGCTTTTACAATTCCATCTTAGATATTTTCGAAGACCCAGATGAGAAACAAGAGGTGGATGAACTTGTTGTTTGGTGGAACAGGTGATTAATAATTTGGAAGTAATATATTTGTTCTGTTGATCCTCATGTTCTCTAGGCAAATTTTTCCTTTGTATTCAACTGCCCAACGTCCCCTTGTTAAGAATAGCACGCTGGCAAGAATTCGAGAAAGACGAGCAAGAATGAAAAAGTCGGTCCCTGGTGTGGCAGCTTGAGTATGTAATGTATGGTTGGCACATGGTAGTAGTTCATTGTACCTGGCTAGAGCTAAGACAATCCATGTTCAGTGACATCCTGCCTCTACCTATCTTTTGACGCCGATAATATGCTTTTCAGATTGAAACTTGATCATGACATCCGCTCATCTTGCTATGATTTTACCAATAGTAGCAATCCAGATTAGTGCTGCCACGGTCCAGTTCCAAACCATGGTTCGAACTGGACTTTTGGTCCGGTTCTGGACGGTTCGGTCCACAGTTCTGTTGTCAGCCTGAACCGGACTGGAAATCAGTTCTTGGTTCTAGGTCCTGCCGAATCGTTCTATTTTGGTTCGCCCTTGCCGAACCGTTCCGAACCGTTCCGAACCGTTCTCAACTCTGACTTCGACGTTGAATGAACTTTGAGATTTGCACTCTACCCTTCTGCCTTTAGCCTTTTTGAAGGTACATACTAACTAATCCAAATTTTGATTCTCTCACACACTGACATTTGTTCAAATATGTCGCAGATATATGTTTCCTTGAGTCTGCACAACAATTATGATCCTCCAGCTCTTTGCTTCGAACGATCTCCTCAGATTCCAATGTTCTGGGACGTGCAGGAGTTTTCTCCCTGTTCTATGTATAAAAAAAGATGATGGCAACAAAATTGTGAGTTGTCTTGTTGAAAATGTCCTGCGCTCTCAATGCTGATGGCTCCCTCAAGGATGCGTCTGACATCATGTTTTACAACGATCCTGACGACAATATACCCTTGCCCAATGTCCCACAAACCAAATCATCAAGCAATGCTTTCCCTGTTCTACTCAAGGCTGGACGCACCCCAGCCATTGTTGTAGCTGGTTCTCGGCGCTCTGGCCGCCCTTCAAAGCCGTCGGCTTGCGTTTGTGATGCTGACAATGCCTGCAGGCTGTCAGCATCAGGCTCCAGCACGAGGAAATGTGCTTTGTCAAGCGCTACAGACCCTCCAGTGCCCATCAAAAAAGCCACTATGCGCATCCTATCTCCTCTTGACACTGATGATGAAGACATCCCTTCTCCTCTTGATGAAGCGAAGTCTGAGAATGGAGGTGCAACTCAAACCATATGTACCTCTCTCATTGTCCTGAATGTCTTCCTTAGCTGACACTTGTATTTAGGTTACGAAAAGCGAACGTACAGCCGATATTCGGACTATATTCAGTTGTATTCCTGATGGGTGGGTCTGTAATGTGTGCAAGTAAGTTGTTTGTTTATTTTTCAATCTCTTTTTTAACATGTTTGCACAAGGGACGCTGGTGAACCAGCACACAAGAACATGTTTCGTGGAGGGACTTCAACACTGCGAACACATATTGTTCACTACAAATGGACCCACTTTCGAATCTACAAGGAGCATTGTGATGCTGCAGCCATTACCATGCACTCCTTACTGCGACGCAACAAACTCTTGATGGCAGCCTGGTTTCAAAACCGGCTGTATTTACGAAGGAGGGGCTAATGGAATATATAATGGAGCTCATCGTGATGGAAGATGAAGTGCGTTTTTTTTTGTAATTCATGTTGAGGTTTATTCACATCATGGCAGGCAATCCAACTAGTTGACAAGCCAGCTTTTCGATGTTTGCTGTTGTACGCTTGATCATCCCTGTCTGAGAAAGATATCCCACATCGCACTAAATTGACTGATACAATCAAGTCTCGAGCAATCTCCCTCGTCGAAAGGCTCAAGGAGCGTCTTGCAGTAAGTTTTTCTCTGCTTATATTATTAACTGTTTCATTAAGTGGTTTTGGTAGCATGTTGACAGCGCTGTGTCTATGACATTCGACTCATGGATGTCTATCATCAGCGAGCCTTTTTTTTCAGTGACTGGCCATTATATTTGGAACCCTCCTGATAAGCCGCAACACTGGGAGTTGAAACACGAGCAGCTTGATTTCAGCCGCATTGATGGTAACCATAGCGGCCAGAACATCGGCCGCATCCTTGTCAAGACAATAGATAGGTACAACATTCGCAAGAAGGTATGTTTTTCATGTTTCGTTCTAGCAATGTTCTAACTCTACTTTATACAGGTCGGCTGGATGACATCGGATAACACCTCGAACAATGACACCACCATGAAAGAAGTGGCAAGGGTCTTGAATGAGGACGGCCATGATTGGCTTCCAGGTCCTCACCACATTCGGTGTCAGGAACACATCCTCAATCTTGCTGCGCGACACTTCGTGGATGCAGTCGCACCTACCCCTCAAGCCACCTTACTCAAGAAAATCCACCATGCTATGGATAATGGTGATGATACTGACATAGACAGCTTAACTCAGCAGCTGGCCGCATTGGAATCCGATCCCGAGGCTGCAACTGAGGATGGATTCAATGTGGCAGATGCTGTCGGCAAAGCGCTTGCTCTTATTGAACAGGTGAGGTCCTTTTTTGTTTTTGAGTTGTTTTGTGACACGAAAATTAAAGATTCGCAAATCGCCACAAGCCAGGGTGTTCTTTCAAAAGTCTTGCGAGGAAGAGGGAATCCCCGTTCGTGAGCTTTTGGCCTGGGTGAGAACACGCTGGGCATCTTTGTTTAAGTCCCTCAAACGCTTCTTGTCTCTTCGCCTGGTAAGTGAGACATATAGTCACATGTACAAAGATTTAATGTCTTCGTTTTTTTCAGGCTGTCAATCATTTCACACTTCTTGCTGATGACAGTCATGAAGTCCCGATGTTGCACAATAAATTATATGGAGACTTCAAGCTCAATTGAGCCGACTGGAAGAAGTTATGACTAGTGCACAGTGTTCTCAAGGTAATTTTTATTTATTTGTTCGTCTGTTTATTTGTTCACTTATGATGATCACAGGAGCCTGCGACCATGATAGAGACCACCAATGTAAACAACGTTGACATGGTGAATACCTAATACCTTGGCATAGCGATAGTGGGTTCTAGGTTCACCGCAGTCGCTGAGGACCATGATGTTGCAGTGCCACGTTTTAGGGTTAATGACGTCTTGATCCCTCCTAGTGTTGTAGGTTGTATAATTGATTCTAGCTATGTGATGGTGGTAAATGTGATTTCGCTTGAAGAGAACATTCTTGATATCTCCTTCTGCATCTTGAGCAGATTGAGACTCTTGGATACGACAGAGAAGATGTTCTTGCAGGCGTAAAAAATAATTCTATAGAAAGCATGTCAGATGAAAGAATATATACTTGGTCTATAGTCACGCACCTTCATGGCTGGGTCACCATCTCTAGCATGTAGGTAGAAACCAATATCATCATAGTTTTTCTCACTCTGGCCGATGTGATGGTGTATGGAAGGATTGCTCATTGTACTATCTGCCATGTTGCTAGATTGCGCCTGTTGAAGACAGCTTTTGATGCGCCTGATTCGATTTTGGCGACGTTCAATTTGCGTGAGCTGCCTAACAAACGATTTTCGATCTGTATGAAGGTAATGTCCCTTGCCAGTGCGATGCTCCAGCTCTCCCTGTAAGAGTGGTCAACCAAAGAAATGCTCAGATGCTCAGAAACACACCGGCTCTGTACTGTAAGAGTCAGTTGTCCCAAAATGTCTTATACATGAGACATGGTCTCCAAGGGCATGAAATTTGTAGGTCTGGAGATTGAACGACACTTTCCTGTGTAGCGGTTTGTCTGTAGCCAGTGTCGCCCGGTCCACTTGAGTTCCTCTGGTAGCTTCCTTTGCCTGACACTTTGAACGAGCTTTTACTTCCCTATCTAGCTCTCGAGCATCATAGCCTGCACAGACAACCTCCTTGAATTGCCGGTACCGGTTGCCACTGCACAGCAGTCATTCTCTTCGGCCATGCACCCAATGGCCTGGCAAACCATACCCACACTTGAGTGTCTTGCTGACACATGGCAGACAATGGCGAACGATCCAGAATACACAGCAATCACTGATGCGATTCAGAAAGGCCTCAAGAATGTCGATAAGTACAATGAGAAAACGAGCGACTCAGATGTTTATTTTATCTGCCTGGGTGAGTTTCATTATTTTCTTGTGCATTTCTGAATCTGACATGACTATAGTGCTGGATCCCAACTACAAGTTGGCGTACATCGAGAGCCGTTGGACTGATACTAAGGTTGCAAGCGGGAGAGCGCGTCTTCAAGTTGTGGTAAGTGTTATTTAATTGATTTATTCCACCAGTAGCTGATGAGTATGTACATTGTAGTTCAATAAGTACTATGAGGCTCCTCTGCTGCCGCATGCCACAGAACAAGCTACCATTCCACCAAAGGTCTCACGGGCTGTTCAGTACGGCAAATCCTGGATGCGTGATGCTGTCATCACACGTCAAGCCACAGAACATCGCACACGCGATCACTATCACGAACTCACCTTGTATCTCAATTCACCATTGGAGGAGACGAATGATGTTGTGGCATGGTGGGGGGTGAGTTTATTTTTTTGTCTAACACATTCTCAGCTCACATTATTCATTACTATCATTAGCTGCACTCCCTACAGTATCCAACACTTGCTCGTCTTGCACGCGATTATCTACCAATTCAAGGTAGTGCTGTTCCCTCTGAGTGCGCTTTCTCTAGCGGGGGTATCACGTCAACCCTGCGCCACAATGCTCTGGCACCTTCCACCTTCTCTGCGCTACAGCTAATGAAGGCTGCTTACTGGAATGGACATCTTTCAGCGGCTATGGAGGCAGAGGAGTATGTAGCTTAGACTAGTCACTCAATGTGTAGACTAGTATTTTGTTTATTATAATGTTTTTTTATGCTCCCCACAGAAAATTTTGGGTCCGGTTCAGGTTCGGACCCCAAAAAAACCGAACTGGACCATAGAGAACCGTTCTCTATGGTCCGGTTCTCGGTTCTCATCTAGGACCCTCCAAACCGGACCATGGCAGCACTAATCCAGATAGTCTTGACGCAACAATATCATTTTGGTGAACTATGAACTATGTTGACTGCCTGACATTAAAGTTGTCACGTGCATCATTCTGAGATTCTTGCTCCAAATTCATCATTCATAACTTTGTTGCTCACCAGTACAAGAAGTGTGTTTGTGGAAAATTCTCTTAATAGTGATGTCAATTCGACACAGCTTTGCGACACTTGTCTTTTTGATGCCATTTGTATGTTTCATAAACACATGCATCCGTTATATATTCAGATACTAGAGTCGATGGAGCATCACAGTTACACTAGTACTTAACTTCCTTACCATACAGATACCCCCCTACAATCCCCATCACCATGATGATATTTGAGAGCTCTGTCAGGACAAGCATACATTATAATCAAAGGTTCTACAGTCCATGGATGTATCAGAATTGCAGGCATTGGCAATATATATATATTTGATGGAACCTTGATGAGTGAAATCTCAGCTTTACATATTTCATCAGGAAAAGTGCATGTTACTTAAACATTTCTTAAAGAAACCTTGAATGAGGCTGAGAGCGACTCAAGAGCAAATCAAGTCTAAACGCACTAAGACAGACTCTCTTAAAATAATTAGATCCAAATGCTTGAGTTTGGACTTGACCGTGTCTTGATGAGCTTGAAATTTCCACCCGCTACTTATTCCAAAACAAAACTCGTGGATTGCGATGACTCAAAGCAATGGTAAAGGGGGGATTAAGAAGTTCGTTCAAAGAAGCTGAAGGGCGGTGCAAAGGTGAATCGTGATATAAGCAATAAAAGTTAGAATTGCAGCAGTACGATGGTGAAAAAGTGAGAAGCAGCAAGAACAGGCAGGAACAGTACAGAAAGCAAGCAAGGAACTGTAGCGAGAGTGACAGCAGTGACTTGCAGACGGTTGAAACGACTCTGAGTCTTGGAGAATACAGACAACATCACAAAAATGACCGTGACATTGATGGAGCACGAGTGAAAGGCTGCTGGCACTGGTTGGACCCGTTTGAAGGGAGGAGGACAAAGGCTATACACAAAAAATGAGCTGAGCGGTGGTGATTCTGAGGGACTGGAAAAATGAGCTGAATGGTGGTGCTTCTGAAGGATTATAAGAAAGCACCTGAGATGAAGCGCCAAGAGAGAAACATTGAAGACCGTGTTATCTTTGTATAGAGAGTTGTCCGAGTCAGCGCCGGCGCACATAAAACAAGTAGAAAAAAATCACCTTCAATGAAAGGCAAATATGTCAGCATACTCTTCATCAATGCCCCCATCTTGGGCTTCCTCAGCATCCATCTTTGACCGTCCACTGCGGGTGGTGGTGGCTTTCACGTACTGCTGCGCCTGTTCAATGATATTTTTCATATTGCTGGCGGGAATGCGATTGATTGCCTGCAAAAACATTGAGCTGTCGTATCCCCACAGTGGCTCCAAAAAAGTCTCGTTTTCGCTGATCACAGCGGTCCACTGCTCGGCGTTGTCAGCTGGAGCCTTGCCCTTCCGTGTGGCCTTCTTCTTGCCCTTGGTGACAGTGGACTTGACTTCAAAGCTCATCTGTTTGGTTGACAGAAGATGAAGAGCATGCTTGACCTAGGTAAAAATAAGCATGATGATTAAAATTAGTTGTAAAGATAATCACCGCTGCTCCGGAGAGCGCAAGGGCTGTTCGACAAGATTGTTCCTCGCTCATAAGTGACGGGATGGAGACATGGCCTTGTGTGTAGTTGAGGTGTGCTGCAAATGTTTGCAGGACGAACATGGACTGCCACATTCCTGTCCACAGCTCCAGGATGAAAAATTGGTCAGAATACGACAGAAACAAACATGATTAGATGCGACAAACCTTTTTGTCATCTGATTCAATGTTTGCAAAAAGCCACCTGTTGTCCTCAAGCCAAAAATCAGCAAAATCAGCACGGCTGTCCTCATTGTCGTACAGTGGGTCAGCTGCCACGAATGTTGTGAACATCATGACAGCTGCGGAGGCAAATCCACCGCGCCATTCACTTAAGCGCTGTTTTGTCTGCATGAATGAATATCAATTACTAGTAATCAGGAAGATAGTTTGTGAGACCTACAACTTGATAGACTGCGCTTCCTGGGACAATGGTGTGGCTCATCAATGATGGCTTTCCGTTATAAATGACTGTCCAAGCTTCCTTCAGGATTGGAATGAGGACATCGTCTTCAATGAGCCATGGATCAATGTTGTCTCTGCCAGTAGCATGAGCAACAGTGGGAATGAAGACACCGCGCCATGTGTTGTTGTCGAGGCAGCCAGCTGGGAGGTCGCCATTCTTGTATTTGGCCCTTGTGACTTCGCCAGTGCCCTTTCCAGGCTTCGATCCAGTTTCTGTTTTGATGCGCTTGGTGGGTGGAGCCTCATCAGAATTGTTATCGATGACTTCCACGTTCGTCTAAAGAGTCATTGAGTACTACATAATGCATCGTTGTATTTACATACCATTACTGTTGTCCGCTTGGTTGCTTGAGCAGGATTGGAGCGTTCTTTGATGGCTGGATTCTCATCACCATCATCACCTTCACCTTCGTCCTCCGCATCCTCTACATCCTCCAAGAACATAAGGTCTTGATTGGAACTGTTGCTAAGGTCCAAGGAGATGTCAACGGGCTCCATTTTGAGAACAGCCTCACGATTATATTGTGAAGGCGGAGGTGGAGGTGGTGTGAACGAACTGCTCCTAACCTCAATGATGTCCTACAAAGTTCTTAGATATTTAATTAGAGGCTAAAAATAAGATAATCAACTGGCACTACAGCATTGCGCAAACCGCTAGGCTTTCTCATTCCTACAAGTGCATATGCTGCCATCCGCTCGGGATGATCGTCCTCATCCAGAAAGCATTCTGCACTATCTGGATCATCACCAAAGACTGAGTTGCTTGGAGTTCCTGGTGGAGGAGTGGCAGTGCTTGCAGCTGTTGTTCCCCTAGTGAGTTGCGAGAGTGCTGTATTAGTAGACTGATTGAGAGATGACGCCGCCAGGCTTTGTGGTGCCTTCGCTGAGTGGGCATTTTTCTTGACATTTACTGTGTGAACCTTCTGAGCCCATGTTTTGATGCCACCTTTGTATGCTTGTTTCAAATCACTGGTAAAATCGTTGAGTAGGTTCCAATAGAAGAGTGTGGGTTCGGTCAGTAACAACATGGTGGTTGATGATCAAAGTACTTACGCCGGAGTTCTTCCTTTGCCGATTATGTCATGTGATGAATGCGGACTTGACTTCGCATCAAAGTTGCCATCAGCATCTGATGATGGCTTGGAAGCAAGGATAGCACGTGCTGCATTGACAGCATCACGATGGACTGTTTTCTGGACGTGTTTTCTCTTTCCTTGCATGGCCTCAAGATCTTCGTCATCTTCATCAACTTGAAGCTTTTCCGCCGCATCTCCCTGACCCTGCAAAGTGGTGCCACCATCCCCGCCAGCTGGTGCTTGACTTGATTGATCGGTAGGTGCAGGCCCAGCTTCAGACGGGGCACTTGCCGGAGTTGCCTTTCTGCCGCGTGGAATGGGACGAGCACATGGTTTCTTCAGAGCCAAGGTGTTGTTCTGCTGAAGAGCAAGCTTTTCCTGTGCAGCGGCAACTCGTTCGATGCCCTTCTGGGTCTTCTCTTCCTTCTCTTGGTTCTCTTGCTGGATGCGGGCGTTGTCTGCTTTGACCTGAGCTGGAGTGCGTCGTTTTTGCTTGGTGTCTAAGACTATCTGTGCAGGTCTTTTTGCAGTGTTTGATGGACATGTCGAAACCATATTAGCAAAGAAGAGCACAAGACAAGCAGCAAACACTGTAGAGCAAGTTTCGAAGACGAGACGAGACGAGACAAATGAAATTTGTTGTAGAGTGTTTAATACTTTGTGGGTGGTGACTCGTGAGCTATTATGTACTTTGCCGTCAACTTCATCCACTCAGGAAAAATTTGTTTCAAGGCCTTCCAGCTCAACATCACTACTAGCCCACACAATGTCTCAAGCCCCGGATGTGCCAGCCATGCGCTCTATGAATGCTCAGACCTTCCGCTGTTCCAAGCGCAAAACATTTAACGTTAACCTTATTCTGTGTCCACATCCTGGTTGCTCCCGCACTTTCAAGAATAGATCTGGGCTCATGCAGCACAGGCACGCAATCCATGACTTCTCATTTGAGATACAAAGGGAAGCTCCCCCAAATGAAATGCAAGACGAAGCTCCCCCAAATGAAATGCAAGAGGAGGCTCCCCCATATGATGGTGATGTTGAGATGGACTATCAGCCTACATCTGGAGGCACCCACCGTGACTATCATCCTCAACTAGACGGTCTGTTCCTGACTCAGGACATGTAGCATTGACACTAATTTTTCCACAGGTCATATATGTGACGAAGCAGGTGATTTCATTCACCCAGATTCACCTCCACCTCCTTATACCTCTCGAGCCCCGGATGACTGGACGCCTTATCATAATCAACTCGAGTTCGAAATGGCTGAGTTTCTATATATGAAGGTCCAAATGTCCGGAGGCGATATTGACAAGCTCATGCACTTGTGGGGTGGCACACTTGCCAAACACAATGACGCCCCTCCATTTGCAGATCGCCGTGATTTGTATTCGACTATCGACAACACACCAGTTGGAGATGTCCCATGGAAAAGTTTCTCGATGAAATACAATGCTAACAACCATGATACAAGAAACGTGGAGAGTGCACCATGGATGGAGAAAACGTATACTACATGGTTCCACAACCCACACACCATCATCCGGAACATGCTCGCCAACCCGGATTTCAAAGATGAGATGGACTATGTACTGTACCGGGAATTTAATGGAGAGGGTGACAATGCAAAGCGCCAATGGCGCAACATGATGTCAGGTAATTGGGCATGGGACCAAGCGGTAAGTTTGCTACTATGAATGCTTCTATTCAGCTCATGTGTTATTGTTTAGGATGAGATTGCAAAAGACCCCCTCACTCATGGTGCAACCTTCGTCCCTGTGATCCTTGGAAGCAACAAAACGACCATGTCAGTAGCAACTGGACAAAACGACTACTACCCACTGTATACTTCAATCGGCAATGTTCATAATAATGTGTGTCGTGCCCACCGAAACGCTGTTGCCATTGTCAGTTTCTTGGCTATCCCAAAGAGTGCGTATTTTCTCTACAATGTACTGTTTGACACTCATTATATAGAACTTATAGCTGCAAAAAAATATGCTGAGGATCCGCACTTCCGCAAATTCAAGAAGCAACTTTTACATAGTTCGCTGTCAAAGATATTGTTGTCCCTCAAGCCTTCAATGTCCATTCCTGAGGTCGCGCGCTTCGGAGATGGGCACTTTAGATGCGTGATATATGGCCTAGGACCGTATATTGCTGATTACCCTGAACAATCTGCCCTCGCTTGTGTTGTTTATAATTGGTGTGCAAAGTAAGTGTCTTTTGACCGTTTTTGGCTCAGGGATGGGCTTACAATAATGCCTCAGGTGCTTCGCATTCTCTGACAACTTGGACGGACTTGAGGGCGGGCTGTGCGGATGAGAGACTACTGATGCTCTTTGCGAAGAGTTCGACTATGGAATGCTTTGGGAGGAATGGGGGATTATAGGTGACTTAGTGGTAAGTATCTTCAGCATTCATTTTTCTCTCCTTGTTGATGCTTTTCACCTTTTCACAAATGATTTTCCTCGTGCTGATATTCATGAACTCCTGTCGCCGGACATTTTGCATCAGATCATTAAAGGCGCCTTCAAAGACCATCTGGTCACATGGGTTGAGCAGTATCTACTGAAGGAACACAGGAAGACACGTGCAAAAGGGATCCTTGATGACATTGATCGTCGGTAAGTACTTTTAACACCTATGACTTTAATTTGACTAGTACTAATGTCTTGTCACTCGCTAAGGATAGCTGCAGCACCCTCTTTTGCTGGACTTCGCCGATTTCCTGAAGGGCGAGGGTTTTCACAATGGACGGGCGACGATTCGAAAACTCTCATGAAAGTTTACCTTCCAGCAATTGAGGGACATGTCCCTCAAGACATTGTTCGATGTTTTCGCACATTTCTCGAGTTTTGCTACATCGTGCGGCAAGACATCATCACTGAAGACACTCTTGAGAAGCTTGCAGATGCACTCCAGCACTTTCACCAGTACCGGAAAATCTTTCAAGACACAGGAGTTCGATTGAATGGGTTTTTGCTACCACGCCAACATTCACTCTCTCACTATGTTTTACTCATTCACATGTTTGGAGCGCCAAACGGGCTGTGCTCATCGATAACGGAATCAAAACATATTAAGGCCGTCAAGGAACCTTGGCGACGGTCAAGCAAGTTCAATGCGCTTGGGCAAATGCTACTCACCAACCAATGCCTCGACAAAATTGCTGCATCATGAGTGGACTTCACCGCACGTAAAATGCTTAATTCCTCTGCCATTGGTGTGTCATTTCAATTTAATACTTGTGCGCAATATATATTAACAATTTGTTGCAGAGAATATACTTAGTGCTAGCTTGAATGCACAGAATGACAACAGTGTTGCTCAAAATGGCGATGACACTGCTCCAAACGACAACAACACTGCTCCAAACGACAACAACACTGCTCAAAACGACGATGACGCTGCTTTAAACAACACCGATGGCATGGAGAGAAACCGTATGGTGAAGCACGACGAAATTGGAGATGGTGTGTTGGAGGGGCCAAAAGCACAGAGCAACGTCAAATTGGCACGTACTCCTCGTAAGTTTTCCTTCATGTTCTCACATTCAAGTTAATCCACTCATCAAATCCAATATTGGAGAACGCTCTCGTGCTCGCAATATACGTGCTCTGGCAGTCGAGATGGACATTCCTGATCTTCCTCGACTCGTCCGACTCTTCCTTTACGATCAGCTTCTTGCTGACGACTCTCACACCTCGGATGACGTTCCCCTCAGTGCTTGTCCATGATTCAAAGGCCCTATCAAAGTCTTCAACTCAGCAGTCGCCACATTTTTTGCTCCAAGTGACCCAAGCGGCATTGGTGGGATGCGCCATGAGCACATTCGGGCTGCACCATCATGGCGGAGAGGTCCTCCTCGCTGCGACACCGTTTTCATCAACACTGCCAGTGAAGACTCGATCAATGGAATGGAGGTTGGACGTGTCCTATGTTTTTTCTCATTCTGTCACAGCAAGGAGATCTTTCCCTGTGCGCTGATACATTGGTTCAAGCTTATCGGGAACAAACCAGATCCAGACATTGGCATGTGGATGGTACAGCCATCCTTTCATGAGGATGGCTCACAAGAGCTCTTCATTATACATCTCGACACAATCATTCGCGCATCACACTTGCTACCGATTTTCGGCAATGATTTTATTGAAGATGACATTAAATTTCACAACTCCCTGGATTTGTTTAAAGGTTTCTATGTAAACAAATTTGTAGATCATAACTCGTTCAAAATAGCATCTTGAGTTTCAACTTGCCTGCCTTACTACTTGACTTGATCACTTCGCATCTTAGTTCTCTTAATAGCAACCTAGCCATGTATCTCCTCAAAGACATGAAGTCCGCGTCAAGCAAAAATGTCCAGTCTTGAGCTCAGCTGAGCCAGCTTACTCGACTTTGTGCAAAATTTCAAAATTTCAAGTGCGATTAAGTAATGTGCACATTTCCTGATGTTGGCACGTCCTGCCATGTCTACTATCCTACCATATAAGTCTTGACAAAGTGACCTATCATTATTTCACTTATTGTAGCAATTTTACAGGCTGTAATTGTTTATATATCAATACAATTTCACCATTGGATTTCTGATGTAAAACTCGGAAAAATCAAATAAATTCAAAATCTTTAGCGAAAATAGACCCGAGGTTTTACTGATGTAGCTGTTGTGTCATATATATCATAAGCCGCAGCCCTTGCTTCATGTTCGCTCGCTGGCATATCTCACCTCATTCTGTACACGGTACAGCTTTCCCGATCCTACTTCCAGACGCACATTAAGATCTCCCAATGGCAACCATTGATGCCCAGGACCTTGGAGAAAGAATCGGGCGCTTTCGAGTTCTGATTATAGGGAGAAGAAACGCAGGCAAAATGACCATCCTTCAGAAGGTCTGCAACACCACCAATCAACCAGAAATTTACAATGCCAAAGGAAACAAGGTGCGGATGATGATCTATGCTATGCACACATTTATCGCTGATAAACTGTGGGTAGATCGATGCTGCTATCGTGAAAGCCTCACTCAAGGTATGTGCATCATTTGCCCTGTGGGCATACATACGCTGATGAATATTTTCAGCGTGGAAATCACGACATCAGAACGAGATAGTGTTCAAAAGTACTCCATGTTTCGTCTTTCACGACTCATGCGGTTTCGAAGCGGGTGGTGAAGAACAATTCGAGAAGATGAAGAAATTTGTCTCAGAACGCACACATGCGAATAAATTAGAGGAGCGAATACATGCTATCTGGTAAGTAGCTCCCTTTTGACATTTCGCGCTTGTTGATTGCCATCAGGTATTGTATTCCAAGAGGTGACGGAAGTCGACTATTCCAGCAATCAGAGGAGAAGTTCTTCTTACAGTGCGACACTGGGTGCAGTGAGCCTGCAACTTCATTGCCATTCATTTGCCGTGCTCGGACTAAATGATTGATCTTCAGTGCCCGTAGTTGTGGTGTTCACAAAGTTCGAAACTCTGAGTTCAGTCACGTATGGTCAAATCAAGAAGCAACTACAAGGGGTATCAACAGAAGAATGCTCAAAAAGGATTACCCAACGCATCGAAGAGCTGTTCACGAACACAGGTGTCTTGAATAAGTTGCGCAAACCTGAAAACCGTGCCCGTTATAAGTCTTATGTACGCTTGGAGAGTAAGTGGTTCAGATTGACTTCTTCTATGTGTTGATATATTAGAAACTATCCTAGATATGAACAAACCTCATACAGACTGCAGCACTCTACTGGAATGCACTACTCTCACACTGGACAACGAAGAATTGCGGTTGTGCCTGCTGTTGACACAACAATCGAACCTGGAGCTGTGCATCAAGTGTGCCGTCGTGTGAGTCGCGGATTTGCAGGTCACACATTTTCATTCTAACATCATCTAGAACACTGATCGATCGTACACACAGTCAGCTATTCGGACTACTTCGAAGCAATTACGACGACTATCAGTATGACATTGCTAAGTGGTTTGCACATATCAAAGTAAGTTGAAGATTGATTCAATCTGACAAAACCCTGGTAATGGTGCTCACAATGGTAAATATCGAATTGCTAAAACTGTAGACATTCTAAATTTTTGCTTGATTGTAGTTGTCCATTGATAACAGCTGGTAAGATTGCGGTTTACGAAGCTCAAACAGCACGGACAACACTGATGCCCTGTTGCTGCTCGCTTGTTCACAGTGGGTAAGTGCCTTGGTGGTTTCTAGCCCTCGACTCATACTCATCATTCCTATGCCTCGCTGCTGCTCGCCCGTTGACAGCGGGTAAGTACCTTGGTGTTTCTAGTCCTCCGCCCATGCTCATCATCCTCATGCCTCGTTGCTACTCTCCTGTTGACAGTGGGTAAGTGCCTTGATGGTTCCTAGTCCACAATCCATGCTCATGATCCTCGTGCCTCGCTGTTTCCCGCCTATTGACAGTATGTAAGTGCCTTGATGGTTTCTTATCCTTGACTCAAGCTCATCATCCCAATACCTCGCTGCTGCTCGCCTGTTGACAGACGGTAAGTGCATTGATGGTTTCTACCCCTAGACTCATGCTCATGATCCCCATCCCCCGCTGCTGCTGGCCTGTTGACAGGAGGTAAGTGCCTTGATGGTCTCTGGTCCTCTATTTATGCTCACATCCCCATGCCTCGCTGCTGTTCACCTTTTGACAGTGGGTAAGTGCCTTGATGGTTTCTAGTCCTCGACCCATGCTCATCATCCCCATGCCTCGCTGCGCCTCGTCTGTTGACAGCGGGTAAGTGCCTCAATATCTTCTAGTCCTCAACCCATGCTCATCATCCCCTTGCCTCGCTGCTGCTCGCCCGCTCACAGCGCGTAAGTGCCTTGATGGTTTCTAGTTCTCGACCCATGCTCACGATCCCCATCCTTCGCTGTTGCTCGCCTGCTGACAGCACGTAAGTGCCTTGATGGTTTCTAGTACTTCACCCATGCTCATCAGCCTCATACCTTGCTGCTCCTGGCCTGTTGACAGTCGGTAAGTGCTTTGATGCTGTCCAGTCTTTGACCCATGTTCATTATCCCTATGTCTCGCTGCTACTCGCCTGTTGACAGTATGTAAGTGCCTCAATACTTTCTAGTCCTCAACTCATGCTGATGATCGCCCATTAACAGGACGTACGTGCTTTGATGTTTTCTAGTCTTCGACCCATGTTCATCATCCCCATACCTTACTGCTACTCGTCTGTTTATAGCGTGTAAGTGCCTCGATAGTTTCTAGTCCTCGACTATGCTTATGACCCCCATGCCTCGCTGTTTCTCTCCTGTTGACAGTATGTAAGTGCCTTAATGAGTCCTGAACCCATGCTTATCATCCCCATGCATCGCTGTTATTCACCTCTCGATAGAAGGTAGGTGCCTTGATGGTCTCTAGTCCTGAACCCATGCTCATCATTCCCATGCCTTGCTGCTACTCGTCTCTTGACAGTCGGTAAGTGCCTTGATAGTTTCTAGTTCTCTCGACCCATGCTCATCATCCCCATGCCTTGCTGCTGCTCGCCCGCTCACAGCATGTAAGTGCCTTGATGGTTTCTAGTCCTCGACCCATGCTCATCATTCTCATGTCTCGCTGCTGCTCGCCTGTTGACAGGATGTAAGTGCCTTTATTTTTTCTCATCCTTGACTCATACTTACGATCCTGATGCTTTGCCGCTGCTCGTCCGTTAATAGCAAGTGCGTACCTTTGATGGTTTCTCATTCTCAACCCATGCTGACAATCGTTGCTGCTCACCTGTTGACAGGAGGTAAGTGCTGTTTGCAACTCATGTCGAACAGTCCTTAATCTTGCTGCTGTTTTTTGGCAGGTGGTGGGTATCTTGATCGTATCTGGTATTGAAATGATACTGAATAGTATAACGATGTTCACTCATTTTCGTAGCCTGATGTAAGCATCTTCCATTCTTATCAGACGACTCGAATCACCATTACTCATATAATGCATAGTTCGTTGAGCATCCCTCGATAACTTATTTTATATGTTCATTCATCTTGCATATTTTCCTGTCTTGTGCAGAATGTGAGTTATTCGACCCTCATAATGTGAAGCATTAAGTGTGACAATCATTTTGACTGGTTATTTCGTTTTATAGGATGTGAGTATGTTGCAATCGCTAAGGATTTTAGCCACATAATCCCTTGCATTCATCACGTGTTCACAGAATGTATGTTAATCACATCCTGTCTGATATGATAGTACTCCACTAACAAACAATATTATTTAGCTCGTACGTCTATGGATTGCATATCTTCACCAATACATAGTGACACTCATCTGGTTCCAACCCCTGACAGTTTGTAAGTTACCTGAGCACTGGTTAATTACTCACAATCGTCATATCAATCAAATAGAATGTGGGTCTCTGTTATTAATTGAATGTGAATTTGCATGACTCTGACATTCCTTTCCCGCAGGAGGCAAGTACTTTCCTCTGTGGAGTTGAATCTGATACCTACATTTCCAACCTGTGGCTAGATCGAAATCGAGCGAGATGACATCATCCGCGTCCTTGGGCCTTTGGTAGGTTGTTTTTCTCCCGCATTGATTCTCAGCACTGTAATATTGTGCAACAGGCTGTGAAGCAATCACTGTCCACTACTTCTGTGAGCAGAAACATTCAGGTTGGCCTTGGTAAGTTTCTCGCCCCATGACTAGTTGTAGTCTTAATGACAGTAAGCAGCTACTATTATCGTCCTCGAATACTCCGCCTTTCTCCCAAACAACATGAAGGACTTGAAGCCCATCGAGTTTGCTGTGGCCTACTACCTGAAATCTCCGATGGCTGTCGTAGTGGAGAAAGGAGCGGAAGAGATTTCTCGTGGAGGCTACGATAGAGAGGAACTGGGGAAGAAGATTCTCAAGTTCATTCTTGAAAATCGCTTGTGTACATCCCTCGCCTGGCTGTGAATTTCGATATCGAAACTTACTGACAGCCTGCAGCAAAGGATTCGACAGAAAAAGTAGATGATGCTTAAGCCAAGTTTCCTGTTTTTCGATACAGCTTTCCCATGCCATTTGTTGTGTACAATATAAAGCACGCCTGTTTCCTTGTTTCTGATGCTCTTTCTAATGTTATGTACTATACTTGGCACGCACATTTAAATTGCTGAGTGCTGTAGACTGTATCATGTTTCGACACCCGTTTTTGGATTTCATCACATCGACGATGTTCTGTTTTGTGCTAGGGAGACTTAGGCTTGTGTTGGTGAGATTTTTAATTATGAGAATTCGAGAATTGGCTCAGTATACCAATGCTTCAATGCTGAAGCGGATGGACATGACGACTGACAACATTGTCGATGCTTATCGGAAACCTTCCCGTCCTAATTATCTGAATTATCTGAATTAGCTGAATTTCTCATAATATGTCTAATTAATTATATTATGTAATTACTGATAAGTAGTAATGCCATGGCTCGTGCATTGCGGATCAGGTGATAGTAAAATTCGAAGTGAAAATCCCTAATCTTCCAATTACATTTTGATTCTCAAAGCACAACTCCGATACTGACAATGTGTGGGATCTCGATCAGTGGCTAAGTATCAGACATGAAAGGAAGTTCTGCTTACCCTCATGCCTGCAAGCTGATTGGAGTTTGCCACCCACTGGGCAGGCAGGAACTTAAGTTTATGATCGTGAGTCAGTGATACACGCCGCTGCAACCCGTTCTAACCGGTAATTATGTACTGAATTCAATGCCTATAATGGACACCTTAGTAGGCGGCAAAGCACAAACTTGTCTTGGCTGTGACCATCGACGTCCTCTACCACTACCATCAGTGAATTGAGGAGTCCTTGATAGTGACCACGGCCTCCCTCAATGCCATGACTGGAAAGATCGCCCTGAGTAGTGTTTCTCTCATCTTTGCGTACATTATCTTGTGTTTGTTTTTCATCTTCAAACTGATCACAATGCAATCCTGTATCACAGCTGTGGAACAGCTCTGTTTTCTGATGGTAAGCAGGTACAACATCTGACTCTTAACGTGAATCTGATAATCGTTCACAGGTTATGCCAACAATGTCATTGGTTCTGGTGGGTGATGCATTCAACCTGATAAGCCCTGTTTCACCTAAAATTCGACTGTCTTGCAGTCAATACTCGTGAGCGATTTTTTCGATGAAATTTACTCAAGGTTCAATGTGAATTATAGTTCTAAAACACATATACGGCACTGGTTCCGACGGCATCACTACGAACTACAGCACCACACTCTCTAGTGTCGCCTTCGCAGGTGCATACCTGAGTCTCCTTCGTTGATATGCAATTAAATCGTCCCAGGCACCGTGGTGGGTATGTTTACCTTTGGCTACCTCTCCGACAAAGCTGGACGCAAATTCGGTATGGTAAGTAGATATCAATCCCAATCGATCAACCCATAAGTCATACTTTTGAAACAGATGTCCGCAACTGGGATCGTTGCAGTATTTTCTGGTCTCTCATCTGCTTCGTCTGGTGCTAACAATAGCCTTGACGGTATGCTTGCTATGCTTATTGCATGTCGGTAAGTACACGCGCCGGTCCGAGATCATCTCTGCCGCTCATCAGCTCTAACACAGCTTCCTTCTTGGGATTGGCATTGGTGCTGAATACCCTTGCGGTTCCGTGTCCGCATCTGAACAGTCGGAGGAAGAGGGCATTGCTAAGAATTCGCAACACCAATGGCTTGTGCTAGCCACGAGTGAGCCGATGTGATGAAATGTCTCTATGACCAATAATCTAAAACACGCTGCCCAGACACCATGATTGATTTTGGTTTTGTTATTGGAGCATTTGTACCATTGGTACTTTACTGGATGTCTGGCCACCATTCACTTTCACATCTTGTAATCCATGTATAACAGTTGCTTTTCAGATTCGGAGACAACCACCTTCGAGCCATCTGGTGCCTCTCGCTTGGGCTTGGTGTAGTTCCTGCTACTGGTGTCTTTTTTTGGCGGCTACACATGGAGGAACCTAATCGCTACAAGTGTGATTCAATGAAGCATGTGCATATTCCATACCGACTAGTCATTAAAAGATACTGGCATGGCCTGCTTGGCATCTCACTGGCATGGTTCATCTATGACTTCATCACATATGCCAACGACCGCTTCCATGCACTCTGACTAGTCACTCACATACCTTCAGATACCCAGTATGTTATCAGGCACCTACAGGATACATTATCACTGATCTTTTCTATAGTTCATACTGTATTCATCCACAATCATTGATACGTATGCATTTACATTTGTTTTCTTGAGTAGAACTTAACCGTCTTGGCAGGGTTACCGGCGGCAATTCATCCCTCACCGTTGTCTTTGGTTGGTCTGTTGTGATCAAGTAAGCTTCACCCATTCGTGGTTCATGCTCTTATTTACATGGTTTCACAGCCTGTTCTACATTCCAGGTGAGTCTATTAGACAACGACGAACTTTCAGGGCTCACATTCTGTCCGCAGGCACCGTTATAGGTGCCTTCTTCGTTGATCTCATGGGTCCAAAGGCCACCATGGTGGGTGGTAATAAACAGATGTGGAGTGCCTTTTCTAAATCCCATGTTAGATCACTGGCCTTCTCACACAAGCGGTCATTGGATTTATCATGAGTGGTCTTTATACCCAGCTGTCACAACATGTTGCCGCTTTTGCTGTAGGTATCTATGTAACACATATCATTGATGCTGAATGGTTCATTAGGTGGTGTACAGCATCTTCCTGAGCTTCGGCGAGTTTGGTGCGTGGAGTTGTGCAATCACTCACTGTTTTTTTGAACTCTGTTTGCCTAGGTCCTGGAAACTGCGTTGGTGTAGTAGCTGCAAAATCCGGGCCTACTGCTGTGCGTGGCCAGTATTACGGTGTTGCAGCTGCCACTGGAAAAATTGGCGCATTTATTGGAACTTGGGGTACGTGTCATACAGTCCTTGTACGACGGGTGGACTAAGTTTGTTTGTCTGTCCAGTGTTCCCTGTGATGATCAAAGATTTTGGTGGCTCAAGTTCAGCTAAAGGGAACACTGGCCCCTTCTGGTTTGCCAGCGGTCTTGCCATCCTAAGTGCAATCATTGTATACTTTCTTGTGACGCCTTTGGACCACGATGGTATGAAGAAAGAAGATGCCAAGGTGCGCAATTTTCAGATTGTCCCTCCCATTACTCACGATGTTTATACACCTCACAACATAGTTCCGACAATACCTCGCGGAGCACGGTTTCGACGTCTCACGTATGGGTCTTCCCAAAACTGAAATCGTGTCATAAGCGGAAGGAAAAGAGACGGGTTCAGCGGTCAAGGACACTGACTCCGCGACCAAAGTTTAGTTGTGCTGCAAGTAGATGGGCCTTTATGTTTGTGTTTGTGTACCATGATATTTCTTTGCTCACTTGTATGAATACCTTCTGAATACTCAAGATGCATAGTCTTCAGAGATCTAGACTGATGTCATATTTTTTGTGAGGGAAATCATTCTTGTTGAAGCGGTGGCTCACCTTTTACGACCCCTGCTTGTTATCTAATGTAATAGTGCGGATAGTGAAGCTTCTACATACAGATATATTGAATATTTTATAGTAACTGGACGTGTCACTTGATAAAGGTGCAACACAAAGTGCAACAGGTGGAAGGAAGTCAGACACGGTTCTGGAGATCTCCCAGTCATGGGGAGAGGTGGGTATTATATCTGGCCCTCAACGCTTTGTATCCAACATCCAGTCGTTTGGGTGTTCCATGCCTACAGTCGACATACGACCTTGATCGGATGGAGAATGCGACTCGGTTGATGATTCTTATCGTAGACGCAGGATGTAAATTAAGAGAATACTGGTAGCTGAACGTTGAACAATGAGCATGCAGAGCGGCTGTTGATAACTCATCAATCACACTGGCATTAGGGGATGGTAAACAGGATGATGTTCCAGACATTCCTCAAACCAGTCATTATTACAGAAATTGTGTCCAGGTAAAATACTATATACCGATTTGATGCAACAATTGCATTTGGGCCCATATTGACGTCAGCATCTTGGGTATTTTCCGACTGCTCAACCCCAATGCTCCCGGCAGTCCTCCAAACATCACCAATAGTCGCTTTCCACAGTTGTACACGACCATCATTCCCAGCAGAAGACAGGACGGTCCTGAGAGAATGGTGTCAACTATGCAGCTTACGATACCTGGAGACAAAAACAAACCCAGTGATGCTCCACTCATCACGGCCAACCGCCGATCTGCACGCATCCAATCAGTAACAAAGCCATAGGGGAGTGCGTATCGCACGTACTTGTGGTGATCGAAATCTGCTACTACATTTGCAGACCATTTAGGATCGCCTCCTTCTCCTTCGACCTCAGGTTCTTCCTCTGCAGGCTTAACTCGCCATATCCTAACATGTCCATCGCAGCCTCCAGTAGCTATAAGGTGATATGATCGCCCACACGAAGGCGCCCATGCCACCGACGTGATCGCAAATGGTGTTGGAGTATCTCCGTCACTTGCAAGCGAGGTTCCTGCCTCGGTGGGCAAACCCGCCGGCGAAGGAGATGGGTCCAAAGTAAGGAGAGTGATAGGTCGACGAGAGGGAGATAATTGTATAATCTGTGACTCAGAGTGAGCAATGCCACAAAAATGAAGCGTGGCAATACTTTGATAGCGCCAGATACCCCACAGCCAGCCGCGATGATCTCCCCCCAATATCTATCTTTACACCATGATATGCACCACCCTCCATCAGCTTCTCGATTCCCCATTCCGGGTCGTCCCTGAGTGGCGGGGTTTTGCGATTGTTGCAGGGCTTGAGCCACCAGGGTTGCAGAAGCACCCTCAAGAGTTGCGCTTGTCTGCGTTGGTGTCCCAAACGCCACGGAGTACGATGAGGACAGTGATGCAGATGAGAGCGTTGAGACATCGACTTCTTCCGAAAGCTGCCATGTGGCCAGCGATGATTGTTCCAAGCACTCGTAGATATGAACATGATTATCGGAAGAGACGGTTGCCTTGCAGAAGCTCTCATAAATCTCTAAATGAGACGAACGCCTGACGTACCAACTTCAACCCAAAATGATGGGGGGCAAATTCGACTGCGCGGACAGTGCCTCTTGCATCAACCAATACAGCCCTTTCCACCCATCTTGAAGAACCACATGAAGCAGCCTGAGGAGACCCGGTACCAGCACCATTCATTTGGGAATCAGTTGTTGACGCAAAGCTAGTTTGCTCCCAAATCTTGACTGTATGGTCGAAAGAAGTGGATGCGAGTATTGTCCCAAATTCTGGGTGAGCCCAGCTTAGTTTGGAGACGGTAGCATCGTGAGCCTGGCATTAATTGGTTGATAAGCGCAAAAACGCGTCTTCCAACATTTCAGAGGGTGTCTTACATCCCGACATGCTCTTGTTTGCTCTCAGACATTTCAAGGATCAATCATTCAGAAGACCTTGGAACATCGAGTTCACCTTCATCTACAGAGATATCCGGTATTGCTACTTTCCAGCTAGACAGGTAGGGAAGAGAAAAATTGCGTCATTTCCATCATGTTCTGATTATTCAATATAGTTCATATTTCTATCAACTTTTCGTTGTTCGACATCGTTTATTGTGTAATCCTTGTGCTTAGTCGTATGAACGATTGAACATTTGCAACTGTTTATCAGTGGTCTGATGCAGGAGATAGATAAGAGATAGATGCCGTGTGTGACTATTGTGTGATAAGCCACAGCAGCCCTTGCTTCGTGTTCGTTCACTGTCATATCTCGCGTACAGCTTTCACGATAAACCAAATCACCTCCACTTCAGGATACATCAAGATCTTTCAATGGCAACCATCAATGCCCAGGACCTCAAACAAAGAATTGGGCACTTTCGAGTTCTGATCATGGGGAGAGCAAACGCAGGCAAAACGACTATTCTTCAGAAGGTCTGCAACACCACGGATCAACCAGAAATTTATGATACCAAAGGAAACAAGGTGCGGGTGATGATCTATGTCATACACACGTCCATCGCTGATCAGTTGCGGGTAGATCGATGCTGACATCGTCGAATCATCTATCAAGGTGGGCATTTGCCTTATGGACACATACATGCACTGACAGATGCTCAGCGCGGAAATCACAACATCACGAACGAGATGATATTCAAGAGCAATCCCGTTTTCATATTTCACAACTCCTGCGGTTTCGAGGCGGGCTCTGAAGACAAATTCGAGGACATGAAGAAATTCATCTCGGAACACGCACATGCGACAAAATTGGAGGAACGAATCCATGCCATATGGTAAGTAACACCCTTCTGACGTTCTGCACTTGTTGATTGCCCTCAGGTATTGTATTCCAATGGACGACCCGTGTCGAACATTCCAGCGGTCAGAAGAGAAGTTCTTCTTGGAGTGCGATACTGGGCGTGGTGAGCTTGCAACTTCATTATCACTTGCTGCGTTTGGACTAAATGATTAATCTGCAGTTCCCGTGGTCGCGATATTCACCAAGTTCGAAGCTCTGAATCCATTTGCTTATGGAGAAATCAAGAAGGAATTAAAAGGGGTATCGGGTGAAGAACGCTCAAGGAGGATTGCCCAACGCGTCGAGGGACTGTTCACTAAGACGGGTGTCTGGGATCGGTTGTGCAACCATGAGAACCGTGCCCATCCCAAGTCCTATGTACGCTTGCAGAGTAAGTGGTTCAGATCAACCTCTCCCATGTCAAAGTTAACATTAGCAACCGTCCTAGATATGAACAAACAGAATACAAACTGCGACGCTCTACTGGAAAGCACCACTCTCGCATTGGACGATGAAGAACTGCGGTTGTGCTTGGTATCGACGCAACAATCGAACATGGAGCTTTGTATCAAGTGTGCTATCACATGAGTCGCAGATTTGCAAGTCACATATTTTTCACCTCAGGCAGCACTTCTCGGTGGTAATAAAGGGTCTCGTAGACCCGGTTTCTATGTTATGGAAAAGTTATCTACGAGACCCGACCTCTCTGCGGCCTATTAATAGATTTTATCTTTGATGACCCCCAGCGGCTCTGGCGCCACCCACAATAGCCTCGTTTTCTCTCGATCAGCCTCTAGGTAGCCGCACATTCTGCACTGTTGGCTCTGAGGAGCCTCGATATGCCCACCCTCGCATCTCATTGTAGTATTCGCTTTATATTGTCATATAAGTATACTTTACATATGTTTATGCTAGTACTAACAACCATGTCTTCAGCACCGTCGACACCTGGCAAGGTGTGACTATTTCGCAAGTCTCAAGTTGTATCCTCCGGCCTTGGCCACCATTTTGTGAGCCCGTACAAACCTCGCAACAGGAAGAAAAGTTGAACGTTGGTCGAGTTGCCTGGTGCAGAGGCCAAACGGCGCCGCCTTCTTGCTCAGATGGAATACTTAATGAATCCAGAATGTAAAGCATCACAGTCACCATCCCTGCCTGTGAACAGCGCAATGAAGGAAGTGCCAGATCCCACAGACAATTTCACCACTGACTTGGATGATATGGAGATGGAGATGTTTGTGCTGGAGACAGTACCTGACTTCACTCCCGAACAACCATCATCCAGACATCGTATTTCGCCAGGCAAGTCGACTGACACGCTGTACTGTAGCTGGTCAGCCCTCATCCCAACTCTTGTTGAGCCTCAAGTCCAATATACTGCATGGACACAGGGCCAACCCTTGGAAAGGGTCAAGGAAGTCATATCTGCGTGCGCCACTCTCAAATGTGCAGGGAAATGGACGACTTTGACATGTTTGTTCTTTGACCGTAAGTCCTCACTCACAGTCTCACACACCAGCCATGAGGTTAATATGTCATTAGGATTCTTGTCTGTTGATGTTTTTAGCTGCAACTGCTCCTCAATTGCCCAAGTCCTCGTCCTCCATGGTCTCTTCCCCACTGCACCCTCCCAGCCTCGTATGGCAGTTTCCCTTGACTTTCTACCAGGCGCTCTTCGAGCGCTCTTGTGATGCGATTAACGCACTTGCATCTGCTCTCAAAACATATTATTCTCGCCGAGGCTTCCAAATGATGGACAAACAGGTAGGCAATTAGCACACTTCTGAACACTACTGACATCTTTCTCTCAAGGGTGAATCAATTCGTGAACCTTTTCGTCGTGGCCTTGGCTACGCAGTACAGTGGTTTGACATTCTCCAAATTAAAGTTGAACATCAACTCGAGTCACTTATCCAGCAGTGTCAGGATTGTGTCACACAGTTCAAAGAGGCGTCATCAGTCCTCGACACATCTTCGTCTCCTGATGCACAGCAACATCTAGAGCAGCCCTCCTCCCCCCCCATCTTACACCGGAAACAATGTTCGCCCCTCCTTGTCCAGCGATGCCCTGCATGTTTTGGCGGCACATTGTATGGCAGACCTACTGACGATGGTGGCGATATACATGTGGCAACAGATGGAAATTTCCACCACCGCCATCGGCGCTCTGCAGGCGACTGTCCATGGTTCTACGATCCGACTTACTTTCTTCCTAAAGATTTCATCGATGAAGTCGGCCGCCAGATAGAATCTCAACGTAAGCGGCCTCCCAGGGCACGTAAATGTGTTGTACCTGATGAAGCTATTGATCGATGCGAAAATGCTTACGAGGCTGCTGATGGGAAGAAGCAGAAGGCAGCTATGGACAGTTTTGACGATACGGGAATTATGGCTCTCATTTGTCGTCATGATATTCCCTTATTCTTTGCTAACATAGATTCACCTGGCGAGCAACAGAAATATTCTGTTGCGCTTCTCCAGCACTTATTTTCATTGCTTCCCCCTCAGGCAACTGTTGTTGCCTTATACGATGTTGGATGTGTTCTGGCACGGTCGCTTTTAAAGGTAGACTTCTCGGTCTTTATTCGTATCCCCATTCTGATTGACGTCAGTATGAAATCCTTCCCCAAGACATTACAAGCTGCCTCCGATTTGCCACGACGGCAATGCACGCATATGGACATGAATGGGCCTGTCAATTGGTATATAATCCGCGCATCTGCGTTGGACTTGGGTTGTCAGATGGAGAAGGAACCGAGAGACTTTGGTCATGGTTTGTTCACCTGATCGGTGTTGAGAGATCCTCATCTGTGAGATTCTTTTTTCATTTGTGATAATTGACCAATCATTAGACACCTTCTAGCGCCAGCGTCGTTTATGGCTGATTGATCGCCAGGCAGCTGCAATAGGCTTAGAGATGCGTGCAGATCTTGGCGACTGGCTCAAACAACATCTCAAATGTGGTGTCAATGACCAAGCGTCAACTGTTACAGTAACATGGCATGAGTCCCCCGCCAGCAGAGAGCCCTCTGCCACCGCACGGCTATAGACGATACCGGAGCCTCACCAGCTCTATAGACGACAGATGACGATAGATGTGATAGACGATAAGCGGCAACTGCCGGCTTAGATAAGCGGTCTGGACCGCACGTGACATGACATGACGACATAGGTCTAGAAGACCTATTTATGTTATCAAGATAGAAGGCAAGCCTCGTGTTGCCTCATGTACTGATAGAAGGATACCACGTGGATCCTATCTCTGATGGAAGCGTACCGCATGGACGCTATCTACGATAGAAGCCCGCCTCATGGACGCTATCTCTGACTCAAGTAGATAAGCAGATTAGAACCCAGCTTCGAGCTGAGCTTAGATACGATAGAGTAGCCTTATATAAGGTCGAAGATTAAAGTAGACGTTCCTTACTTTAATCTTACTAGGTTTACCCTTGAACTCCTTGTCCCGCTAAAGCTACCTGCTCGACATCGACTCGTACCTTCAGTGACGCCTCTCACTGTCTGTAAACCCTGCTATCATCTCAGCGTAACCCCTCGTTAACCACCACGAGCTACGTTTGAGTACGCAACCTTTGCTTGTCTGTAAAGGCCGACGACTCTCAGCACTCGGTACCACTGTCGTGGTTGTCGCTGTTAGATTATCCTAGTCGCACATGACCATGTGTCGTAACATCAACAGCTCAAGGCATTTTGAACCAATGTGAAGTACCTATTGAGGAGCTGACGTCCCAATGGTTGCATCAACAGGAATCTCAACTTTCAATCCGGGCTCGTAAGCATCTTCACACCACATGTAGTATCTCATTAATTAGTCTTTAAGACACTCCTGCTCGTCTGAAGAAAGAACTCGACACGATTCTAAGTCTGCAAGCCGATCTCGATAATTCGAGCAGAGCACTGCAGGTACAAGGGTCATAATTGCGAAACAGTCACACTCTGATGACACACACGAGGCTCTAGAGAGCCTTGAGAGAGGTCACAATCGCTTGATGGACAAAGTTGAAGCTCTATATGCGTCTCTTAACATCCACAACAATTTCCCCGAGCTTCAGGGAATTGACCTCGAGTTTGTTCGCATCCTGTTGATGGCACGCGACCTCAAAATAAATATCCGCAAACGTGCCATAGCCAGCTTCTTCGAGTGTGATAAATTAGATTGGGCCGTTGGCGGTGCTCAACAAGCGTTAGGTAAGATGTCCCCCTTTAGCCCCCTTTTCATTGTTAATATCCCTCAGGAACAAAACTCCATCAACAGACAAGGAAGGCAATCGCCAAACGCCAACCCGCTCTCATGACAGCCATCAGAAAATTTAATTCATACTGTGAACAGTTAGATTCGCTCTATGATCCGTCATGCGCAATTCCGTTACCCACTCCCCTTTCCACCAAACTTACTGAACTACATGCTGATCCCACACTAATGGAGGATGTGTGGATCGCACCATCCATTGGAGAAGTACCACGGTGGTTGGATGATACAGACATTAGGGATGGCATCCGTGCTCTTCTTAAACGCGATCGCTGCAGGGAAGAACAGGTGCGACTTGGCACTGAAGCTGATAACCTTTGTCGATTTTTTGGACAAGAGCTTGCAGCACTCGAACTTGCTATTCGCATCCCAGAATGTAGGTGAATGATTTCAAACAGTCTTCTTTTCTGATGAAGTCGCTAGGCGAGCCTTTTACGGCTACCCTGCAACAGCGCCGGTCTAACTTTCTTCAGCTTCAATCCCACTGGAGCAATGCACTGGTGTCATCGTTACAGTTCGCCACTCATGTTAAAGAAGCAGTAGATATTGCCGTTACCATCTCAGGAGGCTCTCAAACAACTGCCCTTCATTGGATTGCTACTACAAGTCTCACTGCACTTGACCTTGATGGTGAAGATGAACTGGTCTCTGCTGACCTCGACGATCCCCCACAGATGGACTCCGAACAAGCCACACTCGCAGATGTTCTGGAGCAAGAGATGGCTATGTTGGACGTGGACGACACTGCTGAGGCAAACGACATAGGCTATGACATTAAAGCAACCATCGTGTGGGAGCTTCCTAATGTGTGTCTTGTTAAATCTAAATTAATATCACACCACTGATTCTATTTGACGCTAGGACCTACTAGTCGATAATTTTTGTGTCCCAATTCCAGAGCAGGACATTATTATCCCTGACACTCTCGTCACACGAATTCGACCTCCACACGATGGATTCCCTGATCAAGTGTTTGATCCGAAAGACATCAATTTGCTCCGCTCTCCTACAGCGTGCCTTAATGATGTTTGTATCAACAGCTGTGCTGCTCTACTCTACTCTGAACTAAAATCTCCAATGCTCTCTTGCGCAATATTTTCTACCCATGACCTCCCGTGCATCCGTTACAATGCATCCAACGACATCCTTTGGCGCAATATTTTGTGGACGCGTTACTGGGAGAAGGATGTATGGGTCCTGCCAATACACCGGCCCTCCAGCTCAATTGGACATTGGGTAATTTGTGTGATTCACAAGTTCGACAAGGAATTACTCCTCTTTGATAGCCTTGGCGAGAAAAAACCATGGAAAAACGACATCAAAGTAAGCTAATATTCATGTGACCGAATCCTTTGCTGACTACGAAGAAGGATGTTATGAGATTAATTGCTCGGTTGGTTATTTTGGCGAAAAAACACAACCATGACATTCCAACTGATCTCCAGGGATGGGTTGCGCAACCTCTCAATGTGAGTTTCATTTTTAACATCAATTAACCGCTTTGATGAAATACATTGCAGATCCACCGTCTCCAGAATAACAGTTACGACTGCGGTGTCTGGGTTTTAGCAGCACTCAGTGCAGTACTCCGTGGGCGGCATGTTACAGGACTGCGGGAGGATGACATTGTTCATATGCGCCATTATCTCTTCACTCTTACTCTTTCTCTACCGCCAGCTGTGTAATAACGAACTTCATAATATAATTCAAACTTCTATCTACACATACGGATTTTCTCCCCTAGCTAACTGATCCTCCTCCTGTTGATAGTTCAAGATCTTCCTCGCTTGCCACTGCTGATAACATTCTGCCATGGCCTTGTGTCTCGCGCATGCCCGCAAGGTTGTGACACGTGTATGAAGGTCATTCCAGCCATCGAGCAATGCTTTTCGTGCCTCCTGGATCTCCTTCGTGATACTAGCAATATCACTACCTCTGGCATTAAACATGGCTGCATGACGAATGCAAGACACCCTTAACTGACGCAACTGATATCTGTGCATGACATCCAGCAGGTTCTGAGTGAACTGTTCTTCATCTGGTATCTCCGGTGGAGGCAGAGAGTGATAAGGAGGAGGCTTGTCCCATTGTGCAAGATCGGACTCATCGATCAAACGTGAACCGGCGAGAGCATAGCGAAATAGATATGAATTTGGCAGGGGAAGAGTTGCAAATGCAACCAGAGTTGTTTCTAGAGGTTGAGGCTCGTTCTTTGGTGCTGTCCAACATCTGTGTCGACCATGACGCTTCGCATATGCACGAGCATTCTGAGACTGTCGAGTTGTTTTCCCTCTGTCAAGAGAATGATGAATGAATACTAACACTTTCATTGGATTTTGAATACAACTTGCCGTTCTGTCTGAATGTATGACGCCTGCTGTTGTTGTTGTGCTGCCATTTTGTCTGCTACAGTAAAATACTTGGCTTTGCGCCCCATTGTCAGGAACAGAAAGTGGTGTCAGAATCAACCCAAAGTGCACGCTAAGTTTATATTATAATGCTGCGAGTCAACCAGCGGAACTCAGCACACGATTTCAACATGATATTCTTGCTTAAATCTTGGCACTGATGGAACGGGGCGTGTCACTGGAATCATTGAGCATTGTTGTGGGACATTTGCACCCAGAACCTGTCTGTGTGTGCATGTTCAAAGTTAGCATGGTTTGTATTTTCATTCTCATTGGCTCTCGCCGGCTCTCATAAGATATCCAGCCTCTCGTGTGAGCCTCATTAAATATGCAATACCATCCTGAGGCTCTGAGCGCGACCTGTAATTTTATTATATCCTCGGTAGTATACCCTCTCAAGGCTCTCTTTGGGCTATTCTATGGCTAGGCCCTGTGTTGTGGGTTGCCGCATCATGTCACTTTCTTCTAACTTCTTTAGTTCCCCGGTGGTAGTACTACTACGTGCATTGGCACACAGTACGGAGCCGGAGGATGAAAATTTTCTATAAGAATGTGACCTTGGTATGTTTCCTACTCGCCTTCAGAATTCTACCCTCCTGGTGACAATATTCCCTCTGCCCTCTCTGAAGGTCTCTCTAAACAATCTCCATTTGCGCATCCCTGCCTTTTTTCTGGCTGATATATCCTTCTACACTTCGTGAGTGTCCTCTTTCTCACCGTGTTTTTTATTTTCTTGCTCAACCGTACTGGTACTGACGGTATTACCCCAGACAGTATTACTAGGAGTATTCCAAGACCACTATCTGTGTTCCTCATATATACCAAAACTTTATCGTCAGTGAGTCACAGCTACTCTCACATTGTCTCTGGCCCTCACATCACGCTGTAAAGTTGTTTGTGAATAAACAAGTATTCGTCATTGATATCTGGTCTTCACTGTACGTCTTTCTACTAAAAAGGTGATGTCTCTAGTGCTATTCAAACCACGTCACTAACAAACCTACAGCTATGACCCAACAAATGCTGGACCAATCTGGTACTGCAGAAAATCCATACTCTCCCCCTCCCGGATACATGAACTCGTCTTCCATCATACACTACCCTAGTGGTGATTATATCCACGAGCAGTTTGGTGGTGGTGGTCGAATTCCAATGCCTCTTCCTGAACTTACCCCAACGAGACTCAGGACTAACATCAAGGCTACCACTCGGGATGTTGGTATCGCAAGACAGGCCAATATTCGACGCCAAGTCCACTCAACACCCTCTTCTCAACCTACCCAGTCTACTGACTCATTGCCTTCTCTTGTCGATGGTCATGATGGAGCCGCGAGCTGCGACGCATCTTCGCTTACACTCCCACCCACGAACAGTCGTCACCCCTCTCCCATGCTACCCTATCTTGTAGATGGTCAGGATGGAGCAGCGAGCAGCGATTCGTCTTCGCTTACACTCCCAATGGGAAGCAGCAACTCGTCTTCACTCCCGCTCCCACTTCCAAGCACCCATCATACCTCTCCCTTTTCTGCTGGCGCTGCAAGCAGCCACACAACACGCCACCCCTCACTATTTGTAGGTGATCCCGCTTCACAACACCCTGCACAGCTCGACGACCTCTTTGATGTGAGCATAGAGTCACAGCCTGGCTGGTCATGCCAAGATGCTTCCGACACCTTTGATTTTACTACACTGCTCTCAGACCAAGTACCAGGAATGACCGCAGCGGGTGGTCACCTTATTGACGACATGTCCCATGTCCCACCTCCCCTCAATCTTATCCCACCAACACCACTAAAAGCTGATGATGACACTGCTCCATGTAGCACCCAAGGTGGCCAGACATTTACTGGGGCATCGGGTCAGCAACTGGACTTAAGCTACTACCCCGCCAATGGCACTCAAGAGCGGTTCCCAGAAGAGAATTCCAACCACATTGATCACGAGTCAGGTGGACTGGAGCAATCCTTGACGGGGCGAAGGTCATCAGAGGCCAATGAGAAGCTCGAAGAAGGATTTGCACTGCTTGATCGCATCTTCAATGACTTAACCAAGTCTACCATGATGCCAACTAATCAGGTGATCAACACATACCTGAAGAGTCGTGGACAGGAGGTTCACAGCGTGAATTATTGGAACATTTATGCAAACTACTTCAAGGCATACAAGGAGCGAGAGCTTGCGCGGCTCGAGAACGGTAAAGGTAAAGGCAAAGAAACTCAAAACGTAGAGCTTCATGGTACACCAGGTAAGTGAACACAAATATGTAGTCCGGCAGCGTCTAACTTATAATCCAGGTACGGCTGTGCGAAGACTCTGCTACGAAAAATTCAAGGAGGCATTTCCCGACGACTACCAGGATATTCTTAGTGCATACAACGAAGCAAATCACATAGGCTCGGCTTCAACTCTGAATCAGCATCAACAATCATTCCAAAAGCTCTACAGACGAGTAGCAAGCTTGGTATGGTATTTCTCACGATGATTGAGAGCCAGCTAACATTAACTTTAGCTCGATTCTGCTTCAACGAGATTCGGATTTGAGGCAGCTATTGTCTTTTGTGGCAATATCGTCAACCAGGATGCCTCTCTGGGTCATGTACACACAACACAGTCTGCTGCAGGGGTCAGTCGTTGTCGTCCAAAAATCTTTTCTTATCTTTGTTGATTTGCTCTATCAGTTCTTCGAGACACGCTGCCGTGCCAATGACGATACCATCATTGGGCATCTGAAAGCTCATGCGTTGTAGGTCTCAGATGTCACTTTTCTTACTTCCCTTATTGATCACTTACAGTAATGCAATGTCACTCTCAGTGGTTGAAGATGCATTTCATGAGGGTGAAGATGACATCTGCAATGGGGATGCTTCATCCTTGAAGGATGACACGCCTGACATTCAAGCTATTGGGGATCCGCTCAAGTGGCTCAAACAAGAACTCAGCCGACAAGTTGGTAAGTTTTTTGTGATCCATAATTCATGCTCCAATTTACGAACGGCTATACTAGACAATCTCGATGGGAAGTTCGCCTCTTATAAGAACTTCCCATGGATCATGATGCCCAGTGCGCTCGCCAACGAGAACCTTTGTATCAAGGGATACCCAGCACATAAATGTCTATTACCTGGGGAATACCATAACATTAATGCGAAGAGCAAAGGTATCGGAGGGTTGACCCAGAAGGAAGTCTGTATACTTGTAGAGGCTCTGAAGGCGGGAACAATGTTAGTGGGTAAGGTCCCAAAAGCGTCACAAGGTATGTTCAAAGTGGTTGACGCTGCCATAGCACTTTCATTAATATTTGACATCATAGGGGCGCTGATCGCATCAGAGATCCCTGTGATCACTGGTGAAGCACCTCCTTCAGACTACCCTCATGCTGGAGCCCGACAAATGTTTGCCAACCGTCACACAGACTATAATGGACCTTCTCGTGTGAAGATCAGCACTGCAACTACCAAAGTCAAGAAGACTCGAAACACCCGCAAACTGCCCTCAAATTCTCAACAGGAATCTACTACCACTGGACTTCTACCACCAAAGCCTCCTCCCTCGCGCCCGTTTATAGTGGTTCCTAGGCCTCCATCAGCTTCTCCAAAGCCTTCGCCAGGACTTCTACCGCCAATGCCTCCTCCCTCGCGCCCATTTATAGTGTTTCCTAGGCCTCCACCAGCATTTCCAAAGCCTTCGTCAACTGACATGATCGAGCTTCACACATCTGAGTCCGAAGATGAGCCTCGCGAGATGGTACCTGAGACGGAATTTGAAGATGCGTTTCAGGGGGAAAAGAGGAAGGTGGCAGATAGTAGGCCACATCGAGTGTCGAAGAGGTGCGCACCATCTGCTGAGGATCAAGTGGAGATGAATGTGACGAAGAAAAATGTGAAGGCCCGGACTAAGAGAAAGGTTAAGGAGAAGGTCCAAGGAACTACGAAGCCATTGCCTGCTCCAGGGGCACCTCCCTTAAAAGGTGGTCCTTTGTCACCTCTGACTGTATCATCTTCAAGTGACGAGCTGCTTGCTCGTGTAGCGACATATCAACTTCAGCATGCCAAGAGGCTTCGAGATGGCCCCATCAAACCACGCCCTATCGTTCCAGGATCTCGGCGTATTCTGAGCCATAAACATCGCATGATGTATAGCGATGAGTCGGAAGAGGGTAACAAACATGTTGCCGAACAGGTTGCCGAGAAGGCTGCAGATGCTCCTGTCATACCACCTCCACTGGCAGACGTGCAGCAGGCAATAGATAAGAAGGACTCATCGGATGCCGTTGCCAGTGAACAAGGTCCAGTGCAGTCACCAATTCCTCAGCATGGACCATCATATGAAGACGATTTGTGCCAAGTTCTTCCTCACACCTCCGGTGAGCCTGTTGACCGCCTACCTGAGCCTAGCGACCCTCCCCAGCACATTTCTGAGCCTAACGACCCTCCCCAGCACATTCCTGAGCCTAATCACCCTCCCCAGCATGGTCCCGAGCCTAACGAACCTCCCACGCGCCTCTCCAGAGACACCAGCTGGAACCCTCCTGACCACAATCAATGTGCACCTCATATGCCCTTCGCATGCAATCTCCGACCGGCAGAGCCTCAGCACCTAGAGTCCCGCGAGCCTGTTCTTCGCACATCTGGTTGGCATGAGCCTCCTGATTGTGGATATGACACTCGGGAGACTAAGTGAAATGATATTCGTGATGGGCCTTAATACCCTCACAATCCCATTCAGTACCACCACGGTCGTGATCGTGATGACCCTTACGCACGCGAGATATCTCCTTGGAACCGTGATGGAGTCGTTCCATGGGATGGACTCTATGGTCGAGGTGTACATCCCCATGACAGCTTTCATGATCGAGAACCATCTCCCATTGTTGCCATGCACTTGAACGAAGAGACTCGTTCTGCTTATTCTGGTTGTTATAGCCCCATTCCCGGTGTGTATACTTATGAAGTTGACACACGTCGACAGCATGCTCAATACCATGACAATATGGGAGGCGGAAGGGGGTATCAGGATAGACAAGAACCGTGGAGGAGACTTCAAGACTCACGAGGGATGGATCATGACCCACCTTTTCCTGATCACCGTCATGATACTCCAGCCCCTCGGACCTATAGACACGATGACCGTCACCACGACCGCAACCCAATGTCTCGTGAACACGAGCCTTACTTGGACTCCAGACCCTCTGCAAATGCTCAGCCCGGGCCTTCCTTGTCTCGTGAACGCGAAGATTACTTGGATTCCAGACCCTCACCAGATGCTCAGGCCGCACCTTCCTTGTCTGGTGAATGCGAGCCTTACTTGGACCGTAGACCCTCTCCAAAACCTCGGTCGAACTAACCAGCAAGTACTCATAAGGCACTGTTCTGTAATTTAATTTGCCATCTCATACTGCTAAACTTGCCTGCCTTCTTTCATATATCTCATGCTACCGTGCTTCTGATCTCGATCTTTCTGATACCCACTCGGTCCCCCATGCTACTGTGTTGCGTTGTTCAGTCTTTTGAACCCTTTAATGCTACTCTGTTCTACTCAGAATGTCATGCTACCATGTTGCTTTCTTTGATCTGTTTACGTGCTCCGTTGGTGTGATCATAGCGGCGCTGGGCCAGTCCCCCCGACTTCAAGCTTCAACTTTGGAAGTTCAAATGATGTTGGATTGGCAGCAAACAGTCTAACGATGTTGACGAGGCACAGGCTCCATAGGCAGACAGAAAGTAGATGCAAAAAATGTGTATTACAATGCAGTAATGAACAGAGTTACAAAGTTAAAGTCGAAGAATAAACATAGATGGATTAAATTCTCGTCATAGAAGTGAGTTAGGACATGAAGGGGGGTACTCTGGACAAGCAGAAAGATGCGTAATGAAGCGAGTGCATAAATGGGCTGAAGGAGGATGAGAGCAGCGAAGGTTAGACCTATCTACCTACATCTCCAGTGGAGGCTCCCTCAGATTAGTTCCACAGTATTACACATTTCGTCATTGATATTGTCGTATGTACATGTCGGGCAAGGAGGGTATCTAATGTAGTGCAATAGTACAACTACTACAGATCTATGTGTCATACCAAACACATTACAACACAACCCATACACGCAGAAAGGAGTGCGAGAAGAGGGTCATGGTGCTCTTATTCAGATATGGGCAGAACGACGAGGGGTAGTGGACTATCACGATCTCTGTTGGATGCGCGCAGAACGACGAGGGCCCGCAGATGATTGGGTGTCAGGTGGAGGATGTGCCAATCTCGACGATGATGCCATGGGCACAGGAATTTCTTCGGGCAAATCTGGGGGGAGCTGGGTGATCCACTTTCCCAGGAGCGTCGCGAGCGCCGCATGAGTCACACCGGGGGAGGAGTCGTTTGTCTCGCTCGCTGCTGCTAGGATTAAATGACGCCATTCCTGTATGATTTGACTGAATGGTCCAAAGAATGGCGTTGTTTTTGTCATCAACGACCTGTCGACAAGCGGTGAGAGTACATATCCCTGCTTGGATACCCAGGAAGTGGAGCCCATGACTTCATAGTGCTCAACCCACAAGGGCCGCCTGTTCTGATCTCTCGTTACACCGCATGGCCCGTCGAAGGTGGTTGCAAATTCGACGAAGATATAAAACAGTGACTCCAGATCATCGCTTGCTGTGTGTTCGATCATCACCTCCTTCTTTTGGTTATCAACATCCTCCCGCAGAAGACGGATCAACATATAGGGTTTAGTGCCCTTCAGACAATGTGCTCAACCGTGTGCCACACCATGAAACTTCTAAGCTTCACTTACCGTGCCCTGTGAACGAATATTCTTGGAGCCTTGAGTAATCCCAGCATGATCAAAGTCGATATAATACCCTTGTCCATCATGGATGATGAAATTATTCGGACTTAAGTCTCTGTGGAGGATATGCCTTCCGAGCATTAATCATGAGCTAACTAATGGTCAACCTCAGGCTTCAATTTCAACACATGCGAAACTCACCCCTTACAAAGTCATAGAAGGATCTCAACAGCTTGGACTTGGAGGAGTAGGATAAGAGCGGCTCTCCGCAGGGGGTCAAAAGAAGGCGCCGGTGAAATCTGCGAATGAACCCCAAGGTATGCATACCATGGGAGGCTCGAATACGATGCGTGCAGTCCAGCTCCCCATCATAGAGGACATCCCAATCGGCCACAAGCCTAACTACATTTGGGATGCCTTCAACCATCCGGAGAACGGTAACCTCATGGTATCTCTTGTCCTTGGCGACCCAACAGTCTTTGAGTGCGTACTCCACCCCAGACGAGGTCTGAATGCGATAGCAAATGGTCCCACGAGAAAAAAAACCTTGGCTTCGCCAAAGCACATTTATGATTGATAGACGGGCTTCATCAGGACCCTCTATCCAACCAATCGTGTTCTCCCTCAGATCAAGATGCGTGCCCTTGCAGGCAGGGTCGCACATGTGCATTGTGGGATCATACCCGAGGGTGTTGGTGTGCGCGAGCGTCAAGGTGTTCAAAACCTCAAGAAGACGCACAGGTTTTGCAACAATGGAGGTGGGGCGTGAAATTATGAGACCTGAGCGATTGAAGTAGTGAAGACGAAGCTCATTATGGGCGATGCTGAAAATCAAGACAAACCGGCGCCAGGGTTGCTCTCGCATTATCAGATACCCTTTAGTGGCGCTACCCCAATACAATTTTGAGGTCGAGGACAGTGAGCTTTCAGTGAGCTCGAAACATGTGATAATGTTACACCATCGCAATGGGAGGCTACGCAGATTGTAATCCACCAGAATAATGTCTGGCTTCTGTGCGTTTGTGTCATCCGGGACGGCAGAGTTAGAGAATTGGGAGGACCAGATACGCTTCGGCAGGCCGCTGGTAATGTCCATGGGACAAAAGGGGAATGCAGCTGAGGGGTTCGGGAAGATCTTCGCGTACATTATGTGCATGGCAGCTTGTACAGCATTGAAGAGCAAAGTCCACTTGCCCTCCGATGTCGCCGATGCCCTCTGACGCTTTTTGTTGGGGTTCTTGTCGTCATATCCTTTGGCACCGAAGCTCTTGTTGGTTTCGGGCGATGTGAAAGAGGAATCTGAATCCACTTCTGTGTCAGTCACCACCACCGCCTTGCTCATCTGTGCGTGCGGTTGTGTCTTCTGTCCCCTCTGTGTCTTCTGCCTGCTGTTTACCAGCAGCCTCGGCCAGACATTTCTCTTATCAAGTTGCCACACCCCGCCCATGCCACGACTAGCAGGATGAAAGACAGGCACTCCCTGAACCTTCTTCTCTCCTGGCCCGGATACTGAATAGTGAATCTTGCTGAGAGATGTTGGTGTGAAATTGGTGTCTAGGATGAGGGCATCCATAATAGACTCGGCATCTTGGGGGAGAGACTTTTCTTCCCACAGAACTTGACCGATGAGTTCTTGCTCCAAGAGTTTATCCATGGCACTCTTGTCCTGAGGTTCAGGGAGCGCATTGGTAGTACTGACCGATCCAAAGAGGCGTCTGTGATAAGAAGTTGTGCTCACTGGCTGTGGGAGCATCGTCTCGGTCATTGTTGGTGTTGGGAAAGCAATGTTGCTGACAACAAAGCGGAGTGGTTGATAACATACCGCTAATTTTGGAAACACTCCTGTATACATTGCCATGTAGGATAGTAGGTTCTCAACTTGTCATGAAACCGGTCGACTAACTTGATGTAATTGAGTCATCACGTATTCATATGCCTAAGATGTACTTTACACATGCTAGTGCAGCCAAATAAAACATTCATATTCATACTAAAGATCATCCCACACACCAAATAGGACACAAATAATGGTATATTTTCTCGATCATCGAAAGTTACATGTCACATAAATATGGATATAGTAGTAAGGGAACACAATGGTCCAAGCCGAGAACGTGAGATAACGAGAACGAAGGCAATATCAAGACCATCAGATAGGTTTACATGTCAGATACTGACAACAGCACCACGAGGGAACTTGGGAGCGCATAAATGGGCTAGAGGAGGACAAGAGCAGCGAAGGTTAGTACCCTGGACAAGCAGAAATGCGAAATGAAGCAAGCACATAAACGGGCTGGAGGAGGACAAGAGCAGCGAAGGTTAGAAGGGGTACTCTGGATAAGCAGAAAGATGCATAATGAAGCGAGCGCATAAATGGGCTGGAGGAGGATGAGAGCGGCAAAGGTTAGTACTCTAGACAAACAGAAAGATGTGTAATGAAGTGAACACATAAACAGGCTGGAGGAGGATGAGAGCAGCGAAGGTTAGAAGGGGTACTCTGGACAAGCAGAAAGATGCGTAAGACTCACCATCGATAGTTAATTTTTTGGCCGAAAACGGAGGCTCACCATCAATGGTTAGATCCTCGTCTGAGAAGGGAGGCTCGCTATTTATGATGAAGTGAAGATCCAAGGAGTGGGTGACGAGAACAAGCTTCCATCTGGCTAGCATGTATCAGGGCTGGCTGAGAGAGTGGAAGAGAGAAAGTGAGAGGGGGCAACATGCAGGACAAAATGTACTTAGCATGGTACGAAGTTGAATGACACACTGTGTCCGAGTTGTATTCAAGTTCCCACGCATCAGCGTATAGGCTTTTGGAACCCTCCATGGGAAGTCAAGATAAGGACTCTAGGTGTGAGGCACGAACACCACAGAGCCAGGTCTCGGGCTGAGTCGGCGTCTGAACTTCTCCGCGCTGTCAACAACGCGCTTCTCCTTGCCCAGATATCCTCCTTTCTCTACTCCTGCATTCCCCAGCTAGTAGATCTCTGACACTCATCTGCAAGTGCTCCTTGTGCTCACTCAGATTCTGGGGTTCTTCACTCTGTTTCTGCTTCTCTCTCGCAAAATGCAGCTTTGAAAAAATAAGCACTTCAGTCAAGTCGAACCCGAGCGCCTCGTATTGCACAAGTCGACGTCATGGATTACCATTGGACTACACACCGCTAAGTTAATGTCAACACATACTTCAATATAATGCATTACCTTATGGCCTTTATTGATGGTCGCATGATATCTTATCTGCGATGGTCGCGATCCTCCTCTACCACTATACATCCATTATGGACTTCACTAGGCTAGATTATCATGCGGAACGCATCGCATCACAACACGGCATATCAGTGGAGATGGTGTTGGAGAGGTGGTTGGAGAGGCGGCAAGTGAGTGACCCCGACGGATGGAGAACACTTGACGACCTACCATGTATTGTTGGTGGTTTATCTGTGTTACTTGGTAAGTCTGATCGTTGAAATTTCTTACCAATGTTTGCTAAGAATGATTGAGGGAAGCTCGAAGGACGAGGGGGGACGTTTCCGTGGAAGTTGCTACCAAGAGAGTTAGCTCATCATGGCTGCATCCTCCAGCACTATCCCGAAAACGTTTTGATGCCCGGTGAGAAACGCGCGACCCTCATAAAGAGTAAGGGCATACACGACCTCTCGCTTCGTGAGCGCCAAGTCTTTGTGGATGCCCTAAAAAACAACCTGCTTACCATCAAAACCGTCACCAGACAAGGTGCTCTCGCGAAGCTTATCGTGTCCCATAGCCCTGTCATCATTGAGGAAGCGCCAGCTCCTCATTCCAACCACACGCATGGCCGACAATGGTACGCTAATGGTCGATCCGATTGACAGGGTCTTCCTCGCCTCGGAGTCAACTACAGTTCCCCTGAGATGTCTCCTGGGCCATCTCTTGCACAAAGGCCTGCTCCTGGGCCATTATCTCGTGTATGAGAACCTGTGTCGTCTCCTACACAAGACCATGTGTCATCTCTTGCACATCGTCGGCAGAGACTCAAGGTATTTGTCGAGGTCCCACTTCCCCCACCCTCCTGGAGGTCGAATTTCAATGCAGAACGAGAGCTGTTACCGGGAGAGAGACCCGATGTCGATAAACTCATCCCAGAGATTTCCTGCATTGGACAGAGCTCGCAATGTACTGATGGTGCTGCCCTTGGGGGAGATGAGGTCAAAGTAGATGAGCTTCTTGTGTCTCAAGGAAGTAAAGTCACGCATCGATAAGTCGTACTCGCTTTTCTGTCGTCTTTTCCCCTTTGAATCTTAGACATCTACTGTGCATGTTATTAGTGTTGCCGCGAAGCGAACTGAAGTGTAAATTTGACACACTTCAGTAGACTTCGTTGTCAATGAAGTGACTCGAAGTACACTTTGAAGTACTTCGTGAAGTTCTTTTATAATTTACATTGTGCACATCTAGGCATATTCACGCACACTCGCGCTGTCCTCCCAGAATGGGCTCCAAAGGTATCAAATATGCTTTGATTGCTTGGTAGTGGAATACAATTGGTACAAAAACAGCTGGAAATACAGGAAAATCGATGCGAAACAGGTGGGGTATACCTTGAAAACACGTTGAGAGCTGAGCAGAAGGGAAATAGACAGCTGAGCGGATTGTGAACATTTGAGAGCCAAGCAGAAAGGAAGTAGACAGCAGAGCGCATCGAAAACATGAACATGTCGAGAGCAGACAGCGGGGGAGATCGAAGATAGGCAGACAACACGGCGTCCAACACGTCTTGTGTCTTTGTTCTCGCACGCTCGTTTGGCAAGCGTCTGTATTGTGGCTGCGCGACGAGAACTGGGAGGCAGAGAGGAGCCAGAAGCTACTCAGATGTGCAATGATAACAATCAATCTATATGCATAGTAACTTCGATTCACCTCTCGAGGTTGGACAAAGTGCACTTCAACTGACTTCGAAACAATGAAGTCAACCGAATTCTCACGTTTTCGAAGCGAAGCGAAGTTACCTCAAAGTCACTTCACTTCGGCGGCAACACTACATGTTATAGTACTGAATTGATTGATGACTCACAGCAAAATATGGAGGGTGGGAAGGAAGAATGAACTAGTATTTCATAGACCTCAGGCATATTACAGTAATACCTACAACTACACAAGAACTGGAACTGTTGGAGGCTTCAAGGAGGCTTGGGTGGATAGTACGCGAGCCTCTGCACAGGAGGACGAGCTTCACTCAGCAGACAGCATACCTCCGCATCAATGTCGAGAGGGTCGCAAACACCTATAACGGATTTGGGTGAGAACCTCTCAGGAGAGCCAGGTCTGTTAGACAGGTTTTGCCCTACAAGAAAACCCGGTCTAACAGACCGTGGGAACCTCGAAAAAGTGCTGCCAAGGGTGATATTTTTGTTCCAACATCATCTAGAATACTCTTGGATCGTGTGCATCAGTCATTCGGGCTACTTCGATCCGATTATGGAGCCTATCAACATGAAATTGCTAGGTGGTTTCCACATCTCAACGTAAGAAAAAAATTGATTCAATCTGACAATTCGCTGGTAATGATGCTCACAGATGGTAAATATTGAAGTGCTGGAACTATAGACATTCTGATATATTTTCCTTTGCAGACGTCCATTGATAACAGCTGGTAAGATTGCGTTTTACGAAGCTCGAACAGGATGGACAGCGCTGATGCCTTGTTGCTACTCGCCTGTTGACAGTATGTAAGTGGTTCGATGGTTTCTAGTCCTCGACCCATGCTCATGATCCTCATCCCTCGCTGCTGCTCGCCTGTTGACAGTGCGTAAGTGCCTTGATGGTTTCTAGTCCTCGACCCATGCTCATGATCCCCATCCCTCGCTGCTGCTCACCTGTTGACAGTCTGTAAGTGCCTTGATGGTTTCTAGTCCTCGACCCATGCTCATGATCCCCATCCCTCGCTGCTGCTCGCCTGTTGACAGGATGTAAGTGCACCTCAGGCAGCAGTTCTCGGTACTATTAAAGGTCTGTCAGACCCTATTTTTATGTTAGGATTATATGGTCTAAGAGACCCAGCCTCGCAGATGTTCTAATTATAGCACGCCTTCCTTCCTCCATAATTCTCCTGCAGCGCCTCCCTCGAGCCTCGTAGCCCTCTCCTGACCCTCTGGATATTCCATACATCATCTGCGATGCTCTGCGATGCCTCACCGATCTCACCAGCATCCCCGTCCCAGGACTAACATGCTCGCACTGTGACAATTTGTACTGTTGTTTGCTTCGTTATCTTCGCCTTCGTTCTGCCTCACGTCGCTTGTATCTTCAATTGTCTTTACCTAGGATTAGTATAGTGGGTTGGGGTGTGTTTATCCAGTTTTATTTCCCTACTAACTGATGCTCCCGTCACTTCAGTCTCACACCATCCTGAGTCGCAAGTCCACCACTCATCCGCCATCCTGCTCACGAGGTTAGCTTCCACCTTCCAACGCTATTCACCTGCGATGTGGCTGACCCGCTATCATCATGCCCACCCTCCCGTCGCCCATCATCCCACGCAGCACTGTGCACGCCACTCATGTGTAGTCGGTCATTGAGCAGGGCTCCAAGCATGGGTCTGCTAGTCGAGGAGCCAGAGGACCTTTCTCGAGTGCTGCCACTTGAGGCCGACAATGAGCACAACAAAGATGATGATGGATATTCACGCTCGACCAAGAAACGAGGAAAGCATGGGTCGCAAAAAGCAGTGCAGAAGACCACGACGGACGAGATGCTCGAGAGTCAAGACTCTCACTGTTGCATCCCAGAGCTTAGCACGGGAGATCAGTCTTGCAAGTCGGGGTGTGAGCTATTCGTCATCACTCGCACCTGGGGGCGGGATCATAGTCATATTCGCAGGCCTTCTTCTGATGTGGCATTTACACTTTACAGTGATCGTGCAGCAGCAAACAGAGACACCAAGTCTATCGTCCAGATCTCACGGTCCAACATTTATTGCTTTGGTGACCCAAACTTCGCAGCACTGGTCTTCTGTGATGTTGAATGGACTATTGATGAGGGTGAGAGCTGGGCTGTGATAGGGACTGGCTCGAAGCAAAAGATAGCCCTTTTGCAGGTGCGTCATATTCTGGAGTGTTTACATCGACAAATTCAGATTACGCTTAGACACTCCTAGGTCATCTACGCATAACTCCTCCTCCGTCCTTACCCGGAGGACTATTTCCTTTCTTCTCAGACCCTCCACATGGCCCACACAACTGTGTGGCCTTTGTGTCATTCGTGCATCGGCCGCGCGCAGCAGGTGGTGCCTTCTATGACTACACTTCTTGATACGGCGCAGTCAGAGAAGAAGACTGCATCACCCTTCAAGAAAGTATGTTTGGAGAGCACGACTTTCTGAACGTCCAGTCAAAAGGTGGAAAGGTGAAGACTCCCGTTGAAATTGCACAGGACGAAGTGAAGAAGGGCATATTTGAGGACCTAACTTCGAGACTAGGTCTTTCCTCCCTGTTGGGTCTACCTTTGATAGCTTTATCAAATGGCCAGACGCATTGAGCATGCATCGTGAAGGCTATATTGTCTGAACCAAAGCTCCTCGTACTCGACGAACCTTTAAGTGAGTGATTGAACTTAAATATGACGAGCGTGAAGTATCATGGCTGTACTTTATCCAGCCGACCTTGATGTCAATACTCGCCCAATATTGCTGAATGTTCTTTGGTCACTGCATGAGCCTCGCAGTCCACGCATTATCATGGGTCTCAGGATCCAGGACCCGTGAATCAAATGTCCACTCATGTCATGACCACGCCAAAAAAATGGGCAAGACCACGAGTGCAGAGATGTGGTACATACATTGAAGAATGCCACTCCTGCGCCAATGAAAAGTTGTGAGGCCTTGTTTTATCTTCCGATAGCTCAACATTTCAGCGAGTTGCTCGAGACGACACGTCAAGCGGTAGTGTTCTCTCGTATTAAATGTCTGGCATCTCCTTCATCGTGCCCGTAGGATTGTACTCATGTACTTAGAAATAATAATGATTTATACCTGCGCCAATCCCTACTAGTAGCTGAAATATTACAGTATGTGAACAGTCTCTACTACAGTTGTTGTATGCGACAGAAAGCTGGACAGCAAAGAAATTGAAGTAGATAGTAAAGTTGCGAGCATAAGATCAGTTTCGGTCCAACCGTATGTGACTAACCTTCTTAGTAGAATCATGTAAAGTAAATGACCCATTGCACTGCACTTTTCGTGCAAAGTGCAGCATTGTGGATCATTTGCCTTACAATAGTACTTAATGGTGGTCTTATTATATGTAGGGACTGCTGTGCTGTTATCATCAGTACTCAGTCCATAATCAATGTTTTATGTTTTAGTTGGAGTTTTATTTGTTACTTGATTGGCTGCTTAAACCTCTCGAGAGCATCTCACGAGCCTTGCGAGATGCCCTTGAGAGCCATAGCACAGGCCCAGGCACCTGAAGTTGATCCACATCCAGTGTTCTGCAGGTGATTCGCATCATGTTGTCATGCCATTACATGGTGATTCTCAAAGACTCAGTACCGAGGAGGATTCATAAGGTGAGATGAGCTCTTGAATTGGGCACACACGCATCTCTGTTGATACATTCGCGTCTTGTCACATGACCTTATGTACCTCCAAATTCTCCAACTTGAAGCTTGAAGTCCTACTTACTATCATTCAGCTCGTCTCGCAGCGGCGAAGACAACCGATCTTATTCTCATCATCCTTGATGCAACAAAGTCTGAAGAGCAGCGATGGCTTCTCAAACTCGATGCAGTTGGTATCCGCCTTAACAAATGCAAACCTGACGTAGTGTTCAAATGGTGGACAACTGGTGGTGTGAGTAGTTAATTCATGTCTCCTGTCACATTCTCATTATACTTACAGATAACTGTACGCTGAAGCTGCATTCATGTGCCATTCAAACCTTTAATGGATTATTTAGCTGAATACTACCATAAAACTCACCAAGACAGACGAGAAGACTATTTGTACCATTCTGGCGGGATGTATGCCTGAGTTTGGTTTCCATGCACCTCACTGACCAGACACAGATAAACTACACAACTGCGATGTGATGATCCGAGAAGATGTATGTCAATAACTCTATCATTCGGCTATCACTCACAATGTTATTATTGGAAGACAAGTTCATCGATGTTCTCATTGGTATGATAGCTGTATGTGCCAAGGCGAACTGCTCATTTGACTTCCCGATGCTGACATCTCTCTCCTATCTAGCGACACCCGATCTGGGTCAGAGGGACCAGAGGACGACACCATGACAAAGGCCAACTCCGACTACGAAGACAACGCTGCTTCTAAGAAGCGCAAGGCAAAGTCGGAGGGTACGTCGCGAGCGTCCAAGAAGAGGGTCTCCTCACCTGAAGGTCCTCCGACCAAAGCTGTCCGCCCAAAGAGCACGTGGGCAGATAAAGGCAAGGCGCCTGTAAGGTCCAGGGGATGAGGTGAGAAGGAAGGGCCACCTGAGATCAACGAGTCCTCAGATGAGGAAATGCCTGAAATGCTGGCTGATGCAGCTAAGCGAGGTTTGTTTTATTACTTTACAAGCTATAACTATGCTAACATGCCATACAGCGTCATCTGCCAAATGCCTCCATGATGGTGCTCAGGATGATCCCAAAGGTATGTTCTTTTCCTTGTTTGATCCTCTCACTCATGAACTTACAAAATATCTAGAGCTCCCAAAGGCCCGTCCGGAGGTTGAGCCCAAAGGTATTATTTTCTTTGCTTGATCCTCTCTGTGGTGAACTTACAACATATTTAGAACCCCCAAAGGCCCATCTGGAGGCTGAACCCAAGAGTCCTGTTTGCGCTGCCTCTGGAGAGGCTCCCAGCACTGAGGTGGCCAACAGCCTTCCTCCACAGTCTTTGGCACCATCGTCACCCTCACCAATGCGTCGTCAGCCTTCCCGTATGCTCACGGACCATGTCGCGCCTGCAGTCCCTACTGCAAGTGGTCCGACCGATGATATTCCTCCGCAACAACCTTCTGCCCTACAGTCATCAGCTCTGCAACCCCCACCTGCTCCAGGACCTGAGCACGAGTAGCGTGCAGGATCTGTTGGGATTCAGCAAGAAGGGAGTTTGGCCACCGAGTCCATGATGAGGCCCTATGACACCAGCCTGAGACCAGGCATCGTTCAACCTAATGCTCGCTTGTATGGTTCACGCCAGGGATTGCGCACAGACCCGCGTTATCCATCGCCCCAGTGGAATGACCATCCCCACGGAGAGAATCACCTCCAGGGCCCTGGCCGTGGCTTCCCCCGCTACCCACCAGATTATCAGTGTAATTACCACAATCAACGCATGCAACACGCCCCCCTGCCCCCTCACAGTCAGCCCTCTTGCGTTCTGCAACCCCCTCATGGTCCTCTGGGCCCTCAGCACTATGACGAAAGCTACCATCATAACAGCGGATACACTGAGACTCCCTTCAGCGACCCTCGAGACAGGTACCGTGAAGAATACTGGCACCCACCAAGCCACCAATATTTTGGCACAGTGGGACAGTATCAGGATGGATACGGGCGCGAATATCCTAATGACCCAGATAGTTGAGGTTCATAGACTCACGAACACATTTGCTCGGCCGCTACCTCCATGTTTAGTTCTTGCCGTTGTATTTACCATACCAGTCTGATCAATGCATGTTGTTTTGGATCATTTGAATGAGCCCCTCGGATTCAGACAGATAAAAAAATGGAAAGAAAAACATTCAATTGGAAGGATCACAGAAAAAAACATATGGACCTAGACATATTGAGAGGCTACAAAACTTATCCGCCATCACCCTCGCCAACATCCCACCGACATACGGAGATGCTCAAATAGGCCTCAATGTTGAGGCTCGTCAGGATGTTTACCAGGATGGTGGACTCACCCTCCGCAATGAGACTCTACATGTATGTTCTGGAGCGAACTCCGGATGGCCCTGCAAAACTAGGGGGAGACCTCCTGGAGGATGAGGTCTCACAGACCATATATCCCCTACATAATAATAGGGTCTGACAGACCGTGGGAACATCTTTGAAGTGCTGCCAAGGGTGCGTAAGTGCCTTGATGGTTTCTAGTCCTCGACCCATGCTCATGATCCCCATCCCTCGCTGCTGCTCGCCTGTTGACAGTCTGTAAGTGCCTTGATGGTTTCTAGTCCTCGACCCATGCTCATGATCCCCATCTCTCCCTGCTGCTCGCCTGTTGACAGGTGGTATGTGTCTTGATGATATCTACTATTGAAATGATACTGAATAGTATAATAATGTTCACTCATTTTCATAGCCTAATGTAAGCATTTTCTATTCTATCAGATGAATCGACTCATCATGACTCATCATGCATAGTTTGTTGAGTGTCTATCCTTGATGATATTTTCCATGTTCATTCATCTTGCATATTTCTTGCCCTGTGCAGAATGTGAGTCATTTGATCCTTATAACGCGAAGCATCAAATATATCGATCATTTTGATTCTTTCACCATAGGATGTGAGTATTTTTCAATCGCCAAGGGTTCTTCCAGCCACATAATACCTTGTATTCATCATGTGTTCGCAGAATGTGTGTTAATCATGTCCCGTTTGAAATGATAGTACTCCACTGACAAACAATCTTATTTAGCTCGTACGTCCATGAATGGTATTCACCATTACATAGTGATGCTCATCTGGTTCCAACCCCTGACAGTTTGTAAGTTACCTGAGCACAGCGGTCATGGTCTACAATCTGGTGGTTAATTATTCACAACTGTCTCGTCAACCAAATAGAACGTGCGTCTCTGTTATTAATCAAATATTAATTTGCTACCTCATGATTCTGACATTCCTTTCCCGCAGAAGGCAAGTACCTTTACTATGTGGAGTTGATTCTAATACCCATACTTTCAACCTTTGGCTAGACCGGTGTCTACCAATATCACATCATCCATGTCCTTCAACCTTTGGTAGGTCGTTTTTCCTCCATATTGATTTTCAGCATTGTAAGAGTGCAACAGGCTCCGAAAGCTTTAATGTTTGCGAATCAAATAATCCAGACTGGCATTGGTTAGTTCCTCACCGCATGCCAAGTAATAGTCTTGATGACATGATGCAGCTACTATTATCGTCCTCGAGTACTCCGCCTTTCTTCCAAACGACTTGGAGGACTTGGAGCGCATCAAGTCTGCCGTGGACTACTACATGAAATCTCCGACGGCTGTCGCAGTAGAGAAAGGAGCGAAAGAGATTTATCGTCAAGGTTACGACAGGGAGGAAATGGGGAAGAAGATTCTTGAGTTCATTCTTGAAAATCGCTTGTGTACATCCCTCGCTTGGTTGTGAACCTGGAAATCAAAGCTTACTGACAGCCTGCAGCAAAGGACTTGACTGAGAAGAATTAGATGTTTTTTGATGCATACTATGCGCTCGTATTTTGTACGATACCAAGCACGCCAGTTTCAACTCCTGAGCGGTGCAGACTGTGATGTTTCCTTGTTTTCTGATGCTCTTCCTCATGCTATCATGATGTACTATACAGTTTCAATTGCTGAGTGCTGCAGACCGTATTGAGTTTCAACACCCATTTTTCGTATTTCCTCATATCGTGTTCTGTTTTGTGCTATGTGGATTGAGGCCTGCGCTCGTTAAATAATTGCTGTTCATTCTTGTTTTCAATCATGAGACTTCAAGAACCGGTTCAGTATACTTTAATGCTCAAGCAGACAAGCATGCTGACCGGCAACATTGTCGGTGCTCGTCGGGACAGCAAGCAGCCTTGTACATCAAAGTCCGGTAGACCGCAGTCGATTGAGAACAGAAAAATCATCCAGGAGGCAATCACAGCATTGTATTATCGTCTCATAACTTCATTGTCTCGACGAAGGGAAAGATATCAGATAGAAAGCCAAAATGATATGAAATGACGCAGACGTATCAAGTCATTGACAGTGTTGTGAAGCGTAGATATGGTGTGGATATGACAAGGTAGCGCTTGAATAAGTTGAAGTCGGATGGGAAAGGTACTAGACAATATAGGCTAGACACGAGTAATTGTGAAGATGAGAAACATTTTCATGACAAGAAACACACCATCAAGTGTACTACGTCTGCTCTGCGCGGTTATTACCGAGTCCATCCTTCCATACGTCATCAAGGGTGAAGGTGTTCTGACATCTTGGTCTGCGACTCCAAAAAGACGTGTTCAGCCGTCGGGTCAGGACAGATGGTGGTGTCGCTGAAGACCATACGGATGGATTTTCCATTTTTGATATGTTGACAGGCATGGTAGGTGTCTTAGCGCTTGAGGTTGCATGGCAGGTGTGGTCACTGGTCCACCTTCGGGATGTGAATTAATGACATCTGGTAGAGTTCTGAGTGAAAACAGGTACCAGTGCAGTCACTGCTTGTAGGCGACCAAGGACCATGAGGATGTCACTGAGGTTGATTTAGATAGCCTGATCAACACCATGCAGGTGCAAGAACAGTGAACCGGTGACAGCCAACAGTGGTGGATTTGCTGGACGCTACCATGAGATGTCTCAGACTCACTAGTACTTACCGAGGGAAAGTGATTGTGAACGTGATCGATTGATTCACGGGTACAGATCGTGCCGCTGACGCACCGGTTCCCAACTCCGCCTAAACTTCCTCTTTGTGCTGTCGATGTCATTTTTCGAAGCACTCGTTGCGCTCAGCGTTCAATATCCCAGTGAAAACCTACAAGAGGCAGATCGAGGGATGTCAAGGTGCGATCAGACCTTGACCGGCCTTGTCAGATGACACACTTTCCGTATATATGCCTCAATGACATTCGAGGAATATTGAGGCAGGTAGAGTAATTCACGATCTATGTAGATTACATTCTCACATACATAGTACTAGGGCTTTTTGGCCTCAGAAATCAAAGAGCCACAGTATCGCACAGAATTCAACTATACATTTAATTGTGCAGCTCGTGTGGTATTACAACAAAGTAAGAAGAGTAGTAGTGATTGTAACAGCAATAACAGGGGACGAAAGCTCATGCAAACAACAGCAAAAGGACAACAGCAGTGAGAGAATGATGGCGAGAGAATATAGCAACGGAACACAGCGAGAGACGAAAGCTGATCCAAATGATAGCGACAAAGAATGGGCAACTCGGAGGAAATGCGAGGGTACTTGAGGCTGTGTGATGGTGTCATGTCGAAATTGCTTCAGCTGAGGCAGCTTTCTGGGCCTATAGTAGATCAAATCCATCAGATAGAGTCCACATGGGAAGAGTGAGATAACATGAACAATCTTAGCCTGGATTGAGCGCCGTTCCCAAACCTCTCTCTCTTCTAACACTAGTGAGTTCCAGTAGTCAGTGAATTGTCCTAGCAAGATGGTGCGGCCCTTGTTGTTGCTGACATAGTCAATGCCGCATAAGTTTCTGCATTGTGTTCGGTAGGTTAGATTGTTCAGACTCGCATGTAGTACTAGAGAGTGAAAAAACGCACTGTGCAGTAGTCGAACTTCAACTGGGCCTAAAAATTGATTCGCGACTAGAGTCTTTCTTTCGTCGACTCACCACGAGACTATCATTGCTGTTACCCAAGCTGTCATCGGCAGGTAGGACCATAGTAGTTGGAGTGACGACTGAAGAAGGCATGCTCCGAGTCGCATTGAGGGAAGATGCTAACCGATGGAGGATTGTTGGTTCGTTGGTCGAAGCCATAGTAGTACTAGGCTCCAACATTGGGACTGTTACGTCGACTGTAGGTCGGCGTGTGCGAACTAGGATAGGTCTTCTCAGCGACGACTCGAGTGAGTCTACTGAAGCTGAGCGTGGTCTGGCCTTGACGGAACGTCAAGGATTCCTCCGGCGATCTCGGTAAGACGGCGCTCGTCGAGATGCAGGGCTAGCGGATACGTGCTAAGTCGTATGGGGGCGACTTAGAAGTGCGGTCTCACACAAGGAAGCTGGTAAGCTTAGATGAGCAAGTTCTGGGGATGAACCTAGTAGATTAAAGTAAAGTCTAAGTACAATAATCTGTGTCTACTTATAGGGAAGTACTACAAGTATTCTAGCTCAGTCTGTAATCAATAGTATATCGTAAATCTATGATAGCAAGACATGAGGGTCAGATAAGATACATGAGGCTTAACCTCTGATCAAGCGTGCTGCGCCAAGGGCAGCTGCGCATAGGTACAGGAAGCGCCAAGCGCGCTTCCGGATCTTCATGAAGCGACATGCGTTATGCATGCGCTGATCTAGGGTGACCATGAGGCGTACAGCCTCCATGGAACATGTACAAGGCCGTCTAGGCCAGGGGCGGGGTCATAGCGCCAGGCGGGGTCATAGCGGTCCAGACCGCTGTCTTTCTAGGCGCAGGCGGCGCACCGCCGCGCGGGGAGTCTAGCAGAGCGGGGGCAGGCGTAGGGAGAGCTGGGGCTCTAGTAGGTGTTACAGATCCCTGTAACAGGGACCAGTGCCGGGTCAGTCGAGGATGATACCACACTGGGAACAGCACAGAGTGCAGGCTGTGCAGCAATTGGATCAAGTAAGATAATATCCGAGTCTGTTGTGTCTTGGGGAACATCGTGACCACCATGACCGAAAATGACATCTTCAAGTTCATTGATTTGAAGAGGCTCAGTAACATTTTCTTTGAGTGTGTCGTGCTCATTCGAAGGGACTACTGGGTGGGGAAGTGCCGCTGGTAATGCTGATAGTGGATTTGTATTTACGACTTGCTGCAGTAGGTGATTGTGATCCGAATGAGTCCAATACTGAAAGAAAAGACAAGACAAAACATACCACTCGGCGAGCAATATGGACTGTTCGTTGTGGGCCCTGGATGTTCGACTCGGATGATGGTAAAGATTTTGTCTTCTTGATACGATCGGATGTCACAGCTGTAAGTGATGATGGCCGTTTTGAACTCTTGATGCCAGGTTCTGCCGCTGGCAGCATAGCAGGCTCGAGCTTCAAGTTGACTGTAGCATCCTTTTTCTCAAGTTTGACCTTGGTCTGTGGGTCCCGGTCATCCTTCAGGTGTTCGCTCCATTGAGAGTAATAGTGTACAGCGAATGCCTCTGCTTTCCAATCGTTGTTGCATAAATGGAACTGAGGGAATTTTTTGTGCATACATCGATAATAGAACTCCTTCCCCATCTTGTCGGTGTGTTTCCACGATGGTGCAGCATATCCATGCTTTCGTAAAGTCTTCCAAACAGTTCTCTGGTAATCACGCATTGATTTCTGAACATTGGCAGATGCAACTGTACCAAGCTCGTCGACAATGTAAGATAATGTTTCAGCATCGGCATCGTCACTAGCTTGAGCTTGCAAGATACCACGTGAATTTTGCTTAGCGTTGTTGAAGTCCTGCTTTGTCCACAGCAAAGATGGTAGCTCGTCGTCAAGAAAGTCATCCTCAGCATGAAGAGGGAAGTGGTCAGGTTGATTGGCGAGGAGGAGGATTGGATTGGATACATTTGTGGCAGATTTGGGGCGGTCGAGTGAGTCAATACGTGAAAGTAGTTGTTGGTATAGTTTCCTATATCGTTGTAGAACATTGAAAATAGTCAGTATTAGAAACAAGAGACTTACTCTGTCGCTCTAGCTTCACCTTCTTTGAATGAAAGCTCATTCTGGAGATCTCGAATTTTCGAACATAGGTCACTATTTTTGTGGAGCAAAGAAGCATTATCTCGCTGGCACTCTGTGTACTTGGTGTGCAACAGAGAAAATTCACTGGACAGTCGTGAGAGTGAGTTTTCAGTAAACGAGGTTCCACTACCATCTGGTGAAGCGGCATCCTGGGGGTAAAAGAATCAGTTATATGCAGGTATATACAGACATAGCACATTTACACTATTATAAAAGTCTTGTTCACAAGACTGGTTGTGTCCTATATGTGCTTGAGATCCTCGGTGGGTATGTCCAAGGATACTGCCACATGATCCGCTCGATGAATGAAGAGAAGATGTGCTTGGATAGTCAGAATCATCCTGGATCAAAGTTCTGGATTGTGGGAGAGGGTAGGAAAACCCATCATAGAAATTACTCATGGTGGCTGCAGAATGGAACGAGCAGCACAAGAGGTACTTGACCGATTTACTACCACCCATATTATTTCCTTTTTCATTTGTCATCAAAATTTTGTTAAGTCTATCATGAAGCACACAACGGTATCAGAACAAATCCTCCTCATCTGCATCTTCTGGAATACTATAGCCCCCCATATCTGCTACGTCCAAGCTAGGTTTCTCAACTACATAGAATTGATCTTCTCCATTGATCTTGTGTGGAACCATCGTGACAACTGATTCAATCATTTTCACGTTGATGACGACAAGTGCAGCATCTCCTTGATGGCAACATGACCACAAGGTGTAATGAGAAGCCCGAAGAAGTTCGACATCAGGTGGTGAATAGAGTGTGATGACAGCAAGAGTCTCGGGAGGCTGATCTGCATGGATAATAGCTTGGAAAAAGTAGTACACTTCAGCAAATTGAAGTTTTCCGTTGTATGTGAGCTGTAAATAGAGCTCAATGACATCAATGGTACGGGCAGCAAGTGCAAAAAATGTTACTTGGATGTTGCGAGCTTGCCGAACATGTTCACGATCTTCTTCACACCATAATGAGCGGGCGGTCAGACCACTGGGTGTTACGCTGACCGTCGGTCGGCGTGTGCAAACTAGGATAGGTCTTCTCAGCGACGACTCGAGTGAGTCTACTGAAGCTGAGGGTGGTTCTCGGCTTGACGGAATGTCAAGGGTTCCTCCAGTGATCTCGGTAAGACGGCGCTCGTCGAGATACAGGGCTAGCGGATACGTGCTAAGTCGTAAGGGGGCGACTTAGAAGTGCGGTCTCACACAAGGAAGCTGGTAAGGCTTAGATGAGCAAGTTCTGGGGATGAACCTAGTAGATTAAAGTAAAGTCTAAGTACAATAATCTGTGTCTACTTATAGGGAAGTACTACAAGTATTCTAGCTCAGTCTGTAATCAATAGTATATCTAGGATCTATGATAACAAGACATGAGGGTCAGATAAGATACATGAGGCTTAACCTCTGATCAAGCATGCTGCGCCAAGGGCAGCTGTGCATAGGTACAGGAAGCGCCAAGAGCGCTCCGGATCTTCATGAAGCGACATGTGGTATGCATGCGCTGATCTAGGGTGACCATGAGGCGTACAGCCTCCATGGATCAGGTACAAGGCCTTCTAGGCCAGGGGCGGGGTCATAGCGGTGTAGACCACTGTCTTTTTAGGCACGGGCGGCGCACCGCCATGCGGGGAGTCTAGCAGAGCAGGGGCAGGCGTAGGCAGAGCAGGGGCTCCTGTAGGTGTTACGGATGCCTGTAACACTGGGCAGACGGAGGCGAGCTAAATGAGCAACTTTCACAGGTCCAGAACCAAACAAACGAAGAGTGGGTGACTGCAGAGCATTTTCTTGAACATACTCTTATATTGCTGAAGATTCTGATATTGTCGTTGCACATGCTGTGCGGTCATGCTTAGTGAGGAGTGCAAATCCACCACTGAGATCCTTTGCCCATGCTGGTAGAGTTGATTTGAGGTTGTCGTGGTCAAGTGCAGGCATTATGATCTTGAGGGTGTTGGTTTGTGCCTGTCGTAAGCATCGTTGACCGAGATTCGCAAAAGGATTTGAATGCTGGTGGATTTGACTGCCAAAGTCACCAATAGCTCGCTCCATCGGCCACTGAGAACTGCAGATCAATGGGCCTTTTGTGAAGACTTCATTGGCATAGTGGATAGTGCTGCCGCGGTCCGGTCCAGAACCATGGTTCGAACCGGACTTTTGGTCCGGTTCTCTGCGGTTCGGTCCATGGTTCTCGCGCCAGCCAGAACCGGACCAGAAAACGGTTCTCGGTTCTAGATCTTCCCAAATGGTCCAGTTCTGGTTCGGCCTTCCCGAACCATTCTGAACCCTTATCCACTTCCACTTCGACAACTGTCGTCTTCGGGATTCACGTTGTTGATTAATCAAGCTACATTTAGCCTTTTCGAAGGTAAGCACTAACTAATTAAACTCTCAAGTCTCTCACCCGCTCACCTCTATAACAGGAGGTTCTATTCATTGAGGACTGGCTACAACACTGCGCAAGACTACCTTTTACTGGAGGTGGATGTGTTAGGCGCGGTCAAGGTGGATTTTGGAGGGATTGTGTCTTGCGCTATGCTGCAGAGGTGTGTATTTGTGCTCTGAATGCTGATGGCTCCCTCGAGGGCCAGCACCCATCGCTACCAGCGCACGACCCATCACACGCCACACCACCTGCACCTATGTTGATGCCCGCCACCTCACCGCATCCCCTCTCACTCGCTTGCTGTTCTTTCTGGCTGGCTTTTGCTGGCTCGCTCGCCGTGTCTCACTCACCCACTGTCTCTTGCTCACTGTCTCACACACCCGCTGGCTGCTCTCGCCCACTGTCTCTCACCCCGCTGTCTCTCACCCCGCTGTCTCTCACCCCGCTGTCTCTCACCCCGCTGTCTCTCACCCCGCTGTCTCTCACCCTCCGTCTCTCACAGCCTGCCTCGATGACCTACTTTCGGATCCAAAGGTGAATCGATATGCATGTCTCATTGCATATTCTCACAACTGAATGCGCTCTGCTAGGCCAACAAGTTGGCACTCCATGTACGGGACACGCCACCCATGTACGGGACACGCCACATGTTGACAACACCACCGGGAAAGTTGGTCCCATTTTCTGGAATGTAGCTCTTGGTGGCGCAATGGTCTCATTCGAGTTTTGGGCTACTCAGTGAGTTCTCTCTGGCATGCTTTGTGGAGCTCAAGTATGTGTAACGTTCCCACCGGTCGCATCATATTTTGGATCGAACCTCTCGTGCCAACCCAACTCCCAGTACCCTCTCACTTCCTTTGGCACCCTCTCGCTACCTTTGGAGCCCTCCCGCCATCAAGTTGACAAGTTCAGCGCCCTCTCACTACCTTCAGCATCCTCCCGCTTAGCACATCCAATGCCACCAGCACCATGCGCAAACGCGCAGCGCATGTAGACTCGACTCTAGATGGGGAGTTCTCTCAGCTGCAAAGGTGCGTCATGGTGTTTTATTGTTTCAGTGTCTAATAAATTTATTATTTGTATATGGTACCCGCGCTCACCACCATCTCACGCTGCTGCTCACTGCCATCTCCTGCTGCTGCTCGCCGCCATCCTCGACCCATGCTCATGATCGCCATCCTTCGCTGCCGCTTTCCTATTTCTGGTTGTGTCAACCCCTCGTTATCACAATCACTCTCCTGATACCTCTCGCGCATGGTAATTGGGGGGGAGCAGCCATGTTATTAGATTAGTTACTCAACATGTATACTACTTAGTACTTTGTCAATGTTTTTTTGCGTGCTCTTACAGTTTTTTTTTTGGTTCGGTTCGGGTTCGGACCCCCAAAAAACCGAACCGGACCATAGAGAACGGTTCTCTATGGTCCAGTTCTGGGTTCGGACATTTTGTAGAACCGAACCGATGGTCCGGTTCTTGGTTCTCGTCTAGGACCCTCCGAACCGGACCACGGCAGCACTAATAGTGGAGGGGGGCATGCACACTCTGACAAACAAAATGAAGTCGGTCAGCATGTCGCTGGTAGTACAAATCCTCAAACTCGTCTTCAAACTCTGCAAAGCACCGTGCAGCAACAACAAGTTCTTCTCATGTAATACTTCTCTGGCTGATGAGCCGAACACCACGCACGAGCTTGCAGAAACTCTGCCAGTGTGGGTCTGGGAGCACGTCATGAAAAACTGCAGGGCCAAGACCCCACATGTATAGTGTGTACTCCCATGCCTTGTATCCACTTGAAATCTTCTCAGCTGGGTTGCGAGGTGGGCGATCAAAGAACCCTGGGAGATAATGAGAGGATGCTGCAACAATGCGCCCATGGTCCTCCCAAATATCTCCTGTAAGTGTTGCCCAGACCCACATAGAGACATGATCAGTAGGATCACATTTGAAGGTCCCACGCCACAGTGGAATCAGGAGATCGGGAAGGTTCAGCGAGCAAAGGTGCATGATATCAGAGCCAAAACACCGAGGGACACCAAGAATGCAATGTTCGGGAAAGCCAAGAAATATTGAAGGCTTCGAAATCCCTGTCTCTAGATGCTTCTGCTGATATTCTCTCTCCTTTTGACTCGAGAGCAGTGTGACAAGATTGTCCCAATACTTGTTATGGGCACCATCACATGAACCAATTGTGTATGGGCTGATATCGTCGTGATTGCAGTCAGGGACATCATAATCGAGAGGCTTCTTCAGTGCAGGATAATAGTGAGAACCACCTGGTTTACGGCGTCCTGGGAGTCCACAGTAGAGACGGCACCCATTTTTCCCATGGTGCCCAACAAGTCCATTGAGATACATGAGACCTGGGCCATCTGCAGTCGCGATGGCGAGAAAGATATTGGAGAGGTAGCGTACATCACAATGGGCATCCCATATAGGTAATCCCTCTTTCATAATTGCAGTGGCATGATGGAAACTTGGATAGAGGAAGGAATCGAGGTTTTTGGCTTGTTTGGTCCAGGGACGACGAGTCCAGGAATCACAAACTTTCTTCTTGTATCGTGTGTCCAGAGAACGATCAAAGACAATCCAGATTGAGATCCAGCAGTCAGACTGCTTGTTCTTGTAGAGTTGGGCACCGTCGACAGACATCATCAAAATAATGTCATTGTCCTTGATCTTCCCGTCTTGTACAGCCTTGATATAGTCATCTCCGTCGAAGAAATCGCTATACAAGTCGAGACTGCCACTTTGTTCCAATTCCTCAAATATATCCTGTGTTTTTTCATCACGGTAGCACATCTCCTGAGCACTCTGTGGATCCCGGTACAGTGCCTGTAATTGGGGGCCAATGGGGAGAGTGGGAAACTGCATGCGAGGTTTTTTTGTACGTCTGGAGGTCTTTTCTAGCAGTGCTTGATCATAGCGAAACTCACCACACTCTGGACAGTGTTCCAGGTGCGAAAACGGACCTGTATAGCCGATGCAAGAGTTGGGACACATGTCATGCATGACAGAGTAGACGCCTGTAATATCTTCAGCAATTTTCTTTGTTTGATAGAGTGTCGGGAACTCCGCAGGATCAAGATTACTTTCTTTGACATACGAAAGCCATGCGTGGTCAAAATCAGAGTCTGAATGCTTGAGATGCATGTAGTTTTCGAGAGCAGCCCTGACATGGGGATCATCGATCGTAGCAGGGTACTGTGGTGGGTTGCGAAGGCGTCCAATAGTATTGCTATCAAGTCCTGAGGCAGGATCATCTAACGAGGCAGCTTGGAGACCTGCAATGAAGGCGAGAGAATGCCTGAGGTCATTGAGCTTCACATTACTGTAGAGATCATTAAGGATGTCTTCGTCTGCATCAACAGATTCGGGCATCTGAGGCAGTTCATCATCAACAAAAGGGCACCTACCATACCTAACTTCACCTGCCCGTATAAGGGTCCACAAGCTCCCCAAGTTGTCGCAAGGCGGCACAAGTGTTGTGTGACGCTGCTATGCACACATACTCTATGAGATTCATGCCAGTCCGAGTCAGTCATGTGGTCCGTGTACCGCCATGTGGTGCCTGGTGACCCATGTATGCATTGGGCAGCTTGTGTGGACTTGCTGAGGTCTGGGCCAGTATTATATAGTCATGTCATTGTAGCTACCGGTCTTAGATCACACTTGGATGTAACTGAAATGACATAATAATTGTTCAAGTACTAGTACAGGACATCGAAGCAAGTAACACATGGTAAAAACACATAGAAACGACTAAGGGAGAGCTCAGGACTAGCGTCGTGATTTCGCCTTGCCACGACCGCGGGCACCAGCTCGAGGCACTGGCGCTGCTCGTTTCATTTTGCGTCCAGCAGGTGGAGGAGATGCCGGAGGTTCGCTCAAAGGAGAAGGTTCGCGTTGAACAGGAGCCAGGGAGCTGCGAGGAGGTGCCGGTCCAGGGGAACTGCGAGGAGGTGCCGGTCCAGGGGAGCTGCGAGGAGGTGTAGGAGGGGCATCGTTCTGAGGATTGCCGGTGTTGCTCTGATTTAGAGTGCGTGAACCTAGTAGATTACATCAATGCAAAATAATGAAAACAAGAGGGGAAAAAAAAAGTTACTGCCTGCCGCTGCCTGAGTGAGAGATTCATCATTGTTGGCGAGTCTACGTGTTTCGTTTTCCTCATCTTCCTGGTCAGCAGCCGCTGTATCATCTCCAAAAAAATCAACCATGTCGTCATCAGTATCACAGTCGCCGGTTGCAGCAACTCTGCGGTGCTTGGAGGGATGGTTGTCGGCCAGGCCAGGAGTTTCACTTTGCCCATTGTCATCTCAGGTAATAACAAACGGATGGTGCACTTACTCCTTCCAGAATTTCATTAGATCTTTGACCCACTGCTGCTCGGCGTTATCATGGACGATGTCGATGGCTCTATAGTACAGGTCACCAAGGTCCATGGCCCCAATGACAGGCGTCCATGACTCTGCATTGCTGGCTGCGAAATACATCTGATGTACAATATTCAGATGTAGTAGATATTGAAATACAATCACATACCTGACACGCCGCATACATTATGTTTCTGATCCCCGGTTCGGCAAGGTGATGCATTTTCCCCTTCCCAGGCTTCGACGAGCGACCGATGTTGTCTTTGGATAGAGCCGACATCGGACCTGTGAAGATATGGCGCCATGCCTAGAACAAGTGAGGTCAAAGCGTGGTTCTGCTATGTCAAAAATGTTACCTGTATCACAACACGACTTCGGAGGAATCCCTTCTTCTTGTTCTTCGAGTCGTACAAGCTCATGTCGTAGAACATCGATGGCCATTGCTTTGTGCTGATCTTCTTCTCCCCTGCGTTGACCTTGTCCATATAAGCTCTGAAGCATGTTAGTGTCAGTTTCAATCAAGTACAAGTACGTACTGCGGGTCCATGTCAAATTCAGTAATATCCCATGCAGGGCATAAGAGTCATGCCATCTGTGGGTGGTTCCACCCTCGCAAGGCCTTACTGTGAGATTTGAGTATTGGGGGGTCAAAACGATCCTTGGCTGGGTCGTCGAGCATGTACTGAAGTCCAGCATGCTTGAGAGATCCTGTATCGTCGCAACGAGCTGCATTCGCTGCACTTTCCATCTACAAAATGTCAGTATGCAAAATGTATGCTAAAAAGTGCATATATGCGCTTACTGATTTGAGGAAACTAGTTAGTGACTCTGGTTCTCATTCGAGTTTTGCGATGAGGCCACTGAAGTTCGGAATCGATTTTGCAAATGTCGTAAACAGATGAATGTTGGCTCGTGTTCTGCGACAGATGAACCATTAGCTAATAATGGCTAGTTGGAATGAAAACAAACTCTTCGTCCTGCTCTTGGTCATGATCAGCATCCTCGGGCTCGAATTCAGCAAGTATTCCATCTCGCAGAATAACGAAAACATTAGCAAAAAGGTCGTAGTTTAGACGGAAGAATCGAGCAGCAGTTAGGTAAGGATCGAGTGGGTTCCTGTAATGATAGTCAATATAAGTCACAGTCTTTCAATTTCGCATATGGGTGACTTACACTTTCTTCTGCTTGCGTCCGGTTGACGAAGTATCATCTAAGCTCTGGAGAAGAGCCTCAAAAGAGTCCTCGGATCGATTGTTTTGGTCTGTGCTCTCGGGCATGATGTGGTTCCGGGTAAGGGGTAAATATGATTCAGGAATCTTGTTGACGCGTTGTTTGTTTGGTTCTGTTGACTTACCAACACGTCAAAGTTTAGTGCGAGTGACTATATGCGCCATTCAACGTTCAACGAAGTCTAATGTTACAATTACAATGAGTGCAAGCAATACAGTGACACGAGCGCAAGTGTATGACAACAAAAAACAGTACGGCTATATAAGTGCTACGAGAGGCAGTGTCCATGGGAAGTGATATAACAGTGAGTACAAGTGCACGACAACAAATAAGAATAAAAAAAAACTGCAATTATACGCGACGGCACTTAACACTGTGGACCATTCCTGATCCTCTCCAAGGTTGCTTGTACCTCGGGGATCCATGAGCTTGGGAATGGTCAAACCCAATAGCCCCATACCTCGCTAGTATCCTTTGGGTCTCGTGGGTTATCTGCGCGCCTGGTAAGTAGGTGGCATGGGGATGCGGCACACTGAGTGCTAGAAATCTATGAGATTAAGTGTATAAACAAATGATACTCGTACCTTGGCTCACTGAGGCCGACGTCCTGGTCTTCAATCTTGACACCAATGACTTCCTCCTTGACACTCATACGTTCCTCCGATATTGCAGAGCCGCTTGCAGCCGGGTCTTTGATCCGAAAAACCACTCACTACAAATAAGATTAGCACAAGCATCAGCGAACAGAATTTAGACTAACGTACCTTTGGTCCCGGAGATTCAATGTCTAGGGCGAAACAATAAGTGTCCCATGCTGACTCTACGCCATCGATCTCAATGAATATAACATCCTGGAGCATCTTGACGTTTGATAGAACGGCCGAGGAAGACATTGTAGTAATTGAAAAGTTGTGGTGGAGGTGTGATAATGAGCGTAGAAATGAAAGGCTGTAGCGCAACTGTAGCGTCAATATCCATTACCGGCATTTGCCGGCTGGCTTTGAAAGTCACATGATCACATGTTCACCCGCTCTCGCATCTTCACCTATAGCGCTGAGAGCATGTTCTGTTCATATCCGACTAACAATTCTATCTTTTATTATAGGTTAATTTTCACTTATGCGCCTGGGAGGTGCTGGCTGTGCTGGAGGTCGGCGCACCAGCACCTATGATCTGGCATATATACATATTTATTCATTTATTCTTGTCTTAGGCGCCCTCATGGGGTACCAGCACCTTGCAGGTGCAAATCCCTAACTAGGTGTCCTGAAGGTGCGTGTCCCTAACCCTACCATAGTTACAATGCGCTCACTGCATCACCCACACACTCTCCTGATATGCTCTCCTCGTTGCATACGATGTCAAGCAGCTTAGCCCCATACTCGTTCTCACAGCCGGCGTCATCGTTGCATTCTCTTTACATGTCGTCTCACAGTGTTTCGCCTCCCGCATATGGGGGAGCGTACGCGCTGGTCATCAACGAACTCTGCACGACATCAGACATTCTCACCCACCCTCACATTCTCACCCGCCCTCGCATATTCACCCGCCCTCACATCTTCAACTGCCCTCACACGTTCACCCGCCCTCGTACCTTCACCCCTTGCATTTGATCAGTCTCTTCAACGCCTTCCTGCCATTCCTGTATCCCGCCCTCAAAGCACACGAAGATAATAGGCGCGTTCATGAATGTTTTACTTGAGAACCTGCAGAGCAACGTTCTTAACCGCAATGTCAAGATACCAATACTATCATGCTTTGGCGATATCGCACTTGCGATTGGACCTGCTTTTGATCCTTATTTGAATATGGCTATGGACATGCTTGTAATATAAGATTTATTGAATCCAATCGAGTGATCTTGTCTGCAGCATGTCTGTAAGTTCCAATGATCTCGCCTGCAGCGTGTCTGCAAGTTAATAATATCAGTCAATTGCAGTTTGGAACGTGACAGATGGTCGGACCGTGTCCCTATCAAGCGCTCACCCATGATATAAGTATCAGACTGCTATTGACAAGCCCCTTGATTGTATGTCCATTATGGTCAGCTACCCATGTTCTGTTTGCAGAGCTACCTTTGACAGTGCACGGGGCCTTTCGAATCACAAACGTGGCAAGTGTGCACGGAAGGAGGCAGGGTCAATAACATCTTTAATTGAAAAGCGGCGTCAGGACCGGGACAATCAGCTTGCTGCCAAGGTGCGAAGGCTAGAAGATGAAGATGCTGCAATCAGGGAGCGGGAGGCAATCCGGCAACAGAGTGCAGAAGCACCAGACAACAATGAGATACCCGTATGTTTTTCAGTAACTCTTGGGGCCTAGAATTTAATGCCTGATATTAGGATTTCCAGGAGCCAACCCCACCACCCATAGTTCGCCCATCTGGATTACCGAACCATGCTCGTCGACTGCCCAAACGTTACTGGGACATCCTCCCTCCATTACCTGTCCTTCCCCAACCACCACAGGTGCCTACTGCTTCTCCCCCAGAATCATCACCCACTGGTGTTCAATTGCATTCTCCGACACCGCCGCAGTCATACACCACGCAACCTGACCACTATGGACTTTTTCGAACATATCCAGGCTCACTCCCATCATATAACCCTGACGAAATAACCTCCCTAGCCAATCTTTCTGACTCAGCACACTTTGCACGTGTGCAGCAGCATGCAGCTGGTTCGAGGCCTTGGTGGTCCGGTTTTGGTGCGTCGATGAAAACACAGAAGGAGAACTTCTTTGTACTGTTTCTGAATGCAACCACATATCGCTTAATGTGTTGGTTTTATGGAGGGTCGACTATGAAATCCCTTGCTGAACTTGATCGCCTCGTCAACGAGGTGATCCTTGCAGAGGATTTTGATAAGGTGGACCTGCAAGGGTTTCGTGCTTCGAAGGAGCTGGAACGCCTGGATAATTACCAGGGTAATCCAGAGGACATCCGCTCATCGTTTTCAACAGCTGACAGATGGATAGAGACCTCAGTGAAGATCCGTTTACCTGCTGATGGTGTCAAGCACCCTTCAGAGGAATCTGCCCCCAAATTTGCTGTACCTGGACTCTTCTATCGCCGCCCATTAGAAGTCATCAAAACGGCTCTTTGTGAAGCTTCAGCTGAACAGTTTCATCTCACGCCATTTGAAACCTCCTTCCAAGCATCGCCCAATGAACCTGTGGAGCGTGTATACTCAGAACTGTACATGTCCCCAGCCATGATCAATGAGCATCGCAAGATTGCATCTACACCTAAAGTTGATGGCTGTACCCTCGAGACGGTAGTCGCCTCGATTATGCTATGGTCGGATTCAACACACCTCGCTAGTTTTGGCACTGCATCGTTGTGGCCCATATATATGTATTTTGGGAATCAGTCAAAATATGTTCGGGGCAAGCCATCGTGCTTTGCTGTGCACCATCTTGCCTATATTCCTAAAGTGAGTTTATTGTGAGATGCCGTGCATTTCCCACTGATAACCTTTTAATAGCTTACAGATATGATTCAGGATTTTTATCAGCAAGCATTTGACAAACCTGCAACTGCTGAAGTACTGACGCACTGCCGACATGAGGTTATGCAAGCCATCTGGCTACTCCTCATGGATGATGACTTCATGCATGCATACGAGTTTGGAATTGTCATTGAATTTCTCGATGGTATCTGTCGGCGAGTCTTTCCCCGGTTTTTTACTTATTCTGCAGACTACCCCGAAAAGTGAGTCACAGAATCTTCACCAGCTCGAATTTCATATTGACTTCACACACTCTGCAGAATACTTCTGGCCTGTATCAAGTTTCTGGTGAAATGTCCTTGCCCTCGATGTTTAGTTCCAAAGGACAAGATCGGAGCTCTTGGCACTTGCGCTGATAGGCGCCGTCGCGATCGAGATGCACGCCAAGATAGTCATGGCCTACGATCAACAATCAAGAGGGTTCGTAACTGGCTGTATGTGAAGGGTACCAACATTACTAGTATTTTTGTCAAGCGTCTACTTGGCCCAGAATCTCTTATTCTACTGCGGTTTGTCATTCTCACACAATTGCATTATGGTCACCAGTAACAGATTAATAGAGTGCATTTTCGACTCGACTTGCTCAATTGGATTCAATTTTATTCACTTTTCGTACCTGACCTACTCCATGAGTTCGAGCTCGGAGTCTGGAAGGCCATCTTCACTCATCTTCTTCGGATTTTGTACTCATACGGGAACGATACAATTCAGGATTTAAATGAATGGTTTGCCTATTTTCTATCTTACACCATCCTCATATTAAGACTGAATTTACAGGTATCGACAAGTACCAACGTTCGGACGGGGTACAATACGTCGATTCAGTAACAATGCCTCAGGTATGAAGTGTCTCGCAGCGAGGGACTTTGAAGACTTGCTGCAGGTAACCATTGTGCAATGTGGAGTTACCGCTTGGAGCTACCATTGACAAAACAGTGTGCTATACCCGTTTTTGAGTTGCTGCTTCCATCTCGGTGGAATGAACCTTTGCTAGATCTGCTATTCGAACTTGCACCATGGCAAGGCCTTGCAAAACTGCGAATGCATACTGACACGACACTTGGCTTTCTCGACACATCCACGACACATCTTGGAAGGTTTCTCAGGCACTTTGTCAAGGAGACTGAGGAAGAGTTCGAGATACGAGATCTACCAAGCGAGGAGGCTGCTCATGGACGCCGAAAGGCTCGACAGGCAGCAAAACAAGGGCCTTCACAGTCTGCAGCACCGACTTCAAGGCGAGGTACAGATGGGCCGAGATCCGACGCTTCAACTTTGAGACATACAAGCTCCATGCCCTCGGTGACTATGTAGATGCTATTCGTCAGTTTGGAACAACGGACAACTTACAACTCAACCGGTGTGCTCTAGAAGCAGTTTTGGTTTATTTTGCCACTGAATCAATATATTCCAGGGCGAGCTTGAACATTGTCGTGTCAAACGATTCTATCCGCGAGTCAGCAAGCAAAGTTCACATCTGTAATTGCGAAACAGGAACATCGTGAACGGATTCTGTTCAAAATGGCTCGGGCAGAGCACAACAATTCAAATCGGAGAAAGGCAAGTCTACAACAGTCCATAGACCTGGTCATACAACGACGGCAGGTGAAGATGCACCCTTTCACATACCCTTTGAAGCATTGGAGCCTTTGGCTTACTCAGACCCAATGTCACACTACCACATCTCCAATGGCATGAGGTACCACTTGAATCTCCCCCGATGGCTCATCAAACATGCAAACGATCCTGCGTTAAATGTAAGCTGTCAGTTTCTTTGAGTTAGCAGTGCTCATGATCATAATTCCTAAAGGACTTCCTTCCTCGGCTGAAAGATCACCTCCTTTCTCGCATACTTGGTCGTGAATACGATGGTGACGAGACAGAGTTCTCTTCCAGCGAGCGTGCCAAGTCCTGTTCGTCAATGACCCGCATATTCCAGCCAAGGCATCATGTCAATTACACGACATCTGATCTGCGTCTCTCTCAAGATTCTCTTAATCCCCGCACGCATGCAGATGTCATGTTCTCGGACATGAAGATGACGACACACATCCATGACTGGTATGCACTATCCTGGGCGTGTTTAACGCAAACATCATCCATAGAGGTGGGGATGCACCCTCATCGAACCCCGGCAGATGGATTTCTTGTGGGTTCGGTGGTTTGTTCATTGATCCTAATAATTATCGGTCTGGATGGAAGGCAAAGTGTCTTCATAGGCTTGGGTTCATTTGCTGATGTACCAGGAGCATTTGGCTTTCTTGATCCACAGCAGATTATTCGAGGCATTCACTTGATACCTGCATTTGCCCATGGTCGCACTAGTCTA